TTTAAAATCACAAAACAAGCAGCAAAGTAAAGCATGGAAGTATATAGGCTGTTAGATCTTTAAAATAGCCCCTTCTAAATTCCTTTCAAAGTTCCCCTTACTTCCCATAGAAAAAGAGACTACACATTTAGTAAGTTTAAAAATGGTTTAGTTACAAACTCTTCAACAGTCCGATTCATGCACCTTTCCATAGAGCAACAAGAAAAGACAGGCAGTTTAATTTAGTTTCAAAAAGGTAACATATTCCAAATTATAGAAACACAAAGATGGCTTGCTAAAGCTATGGGGCCCAAGCTTGGAGCATCTTGCTCAGACATCTTTTCCGTTTGGGTTCACATGATGGAAGAAAATGAACTAAGGCTTCGGTAATCCTTCTTCCCAAGGCAAGGGGATGTGACCCAAGGGGAACTTTGGGAAGAAGGGAAGAAGCAAGATGCTCCAAGATTAGACCTCATAGTTTCAGCAAGCCATCTTTGTGACCTAGCTAAGCCTGGAAAGCAGCTTATTCTACGGTCTTTACCTTTCCAGCCTCAAGCAGAGAAAGAATGTAAGGATGATGAGGTGAATCGATTTGTTATTGGCTTTCTCAGGCAACGTGGTATTGTTATCTCTGATATTGCAGATGGGGTGGGCATGGGGTCAGAGAGAAATGGAAGAGAGAGTGAGAGCAATTTTTGCCATCTAGTTAGTTCATGACATGATATAAATTGGGTACTTTCTGATTTGTAGTTCAGTCCATTTGCCACTACACTTACGCCAGCTCTCACCTGGGGGTGAGGGGAAGAGACTTTAAGTACATTGGTTGTACAAAATTCTACAAAACTAGCCCACAGCTATACAGTCATTCTCTTCCCTTGGGAAAATAAGCAGTGAAGGAATGGGAGTAGTTTGGCAGGGGCTTCACAGGCAACTATTCTCTACGCTGCCAGATGCTTTCCTTATCCGTGTTTTGTGATGCATGCTTCCCTCAGCTAATGTCCTTGCAGTTGGCTGACATGAACTTGGGGGAATCAAGGTGCCACGTCCTTCATTGTACTTGCACTCAGCTCTATACAAGGCAACAGAAGTTGTTGAACTAGCTCAGATGGGCTGCCTGTCTGGGCCATGGGCAATAATTTGGTTCTCATGTTTTTCATTCTTCTTAATATTGACATTTTAGGCAGCACTTATTTCCTGCAGAGGTGTATATTGGCATTTGCCCTTCACAGTTGACATCAATTGTAGTTTGAGAATGTGAAACTCTTGTGGGAATATAAGGGCAGATTCACACAACCATTTTTAATGTGGAGGACTCACCGTGAGGTAATTCCCCCATAATTATTTACATGGTCAGGTAAAGTAGTCTTGTGAAGGCGCTTTCTTGTGTTTTGACTGGCCAAGGAGTTCGAAGGAAAACTCAGCTGAGCTCTCCAAACTCTACATACATTAAACATAATAGAAACACCGCCACCTGACCCCACCCCCATCCATCTTCCCTCTCTCCACCCCCCCTTTCTTTTTTCTTTTCTTTTTTCTTCTCCCCCTAATGCCTCAACAAATGAAACGGATTTGTAAAAATGTTACATGAAAAAAAAATACGAGGCACTACACTTCTGTAAAACAAGAAAATCCTTAATAAAATATTTTTTTAAAAAAAGAAAAGAAAAACTCTCACCTCAGGAAAAGAATATGGCTGGTGGCTGTGTGATGACCACCATCTCTTGCCTCCTGAAGAGGATGTCAGGGCAATCTATGACCTGCATGAGGTAAGGTTTTTGCCACATGTTGTTTCCAGAAGCCATGACAGGAATCACGAGCAACCCATGAGGTCTGCATGAGGGAAATATAAAATTACAGTCCAAAATCAAAGTGTGGCTTGCCAAGTATTTGGGTTTCTTCGTTGTTGTTTACTGCATCTCTAGGAAAACCATCAGTTTTGTGGGTTTACATAACAGGTCAAAAATGTCAGGTTTCAATCGCAGGACCACATTCTCTAGGAATGTTTTACAGACCCATTTAGACAGGTTCAGTGTTCAAAACTCCCATTGTTCTAGGTGCATTTTGAGACAGGGAATTTTATTAGAGCAAGCAGTTTCTGAGCTCTGGGTGCAGTACTGCACCTATGATTTCAGATTAAAACTGCAGAGTGGAAGGAAAGGAGGACCTTTTTTCTGCCTCCCCACTTCCAGCTACTCTCTGAAGACTGGAGAATAGACCCTCTTAAGAATATTAGGGGGGTGGGCAGGGAAAGGACTAGACCATGGGAAAAGCGAACATAATATTTTAGCTGCAGTTCATTCATTTTCAGCTTTGTATTCTTGTTATTAAAAAAGCACACCTAGACATTCCGTTGTTGCGCCCATAACCTAGTTTTAAGGTGCCGTTTAGCTCCCAGCTTTCATATTTCAGTTTCTAACCCTGGGCAGGTTGTAGTCACATTTTCTCTAGTTTTGCCACAGATGACCTAAGACCCTATTCCTATGTTTATTCTGTGGGAGCAATGGCTCTTGGCCACAGCTTGGTAAAGGTAATATCAACATCAGGCATCTTAGGACTTGTGGGGGAATTTGTCGCCTCAGGGGGTTTTTTGGGAGGGGGGAAGGGAGGTGGGGAAATAAGAAGAGCCAATCTACACTGAGCTTGCGTAATGAGCTGATAGAATTGCACCATATCAGAGATGGGGGAGATATTTTAGAATGCTCCCCTTTGTAAAGCACACACACAAACACTGTCCCTGCATACAGTAAATTACCACACAAGGGAGAGAGCTGCCCTAAACACTGATCTCTGATATATTTGTTTACTCCATGCGGGAAGGGTTTGTTTGCTTTTTAGGTGGGGAATCTCCTCCTATGGCAGCGAAACACTGCACACACAGTGTCCTGATTGTGGCAACAACAGCAATTGTCCACAGCTGTACCAGTGAGTTCTCTGATCACTGCCAGGCAGGAGGCACCATTTATATTTCCCACAATGCCCTGTAACACCGGACATAGCATTCCATACCCTCCAAAGTTTCTCTGATGAAAATAGTGATGTCCTATTCTGTTGTTGTTGTTGTTGTTGTTGTTGTTGTTGTTGTTGTTGCTGTTGTACTTATACCCCACCCATCTGACTGGGTTGCCCCAGCCACTTTGGGTGGCTTCCAACACATATAAAAAACACATATAAAAAACATAAAAAATCATTTAAAAACTTCCCTATCCAGGGCTGGCCTCAGATGTCTTCTAAAGGTTGTATAGTTACTTATCTCCTTGGATCAGGGGTTGCATAACTCCATACCCACATTTCTCTGATGAAAACAGAGACATCCTCAGGAAAAGCAGGACATTCCAGGATCAAATCAGAAACCAGGACAGCTGTAAATCTGGGACTGTCCGTGGAAAATAGGGGCATTCCTCTGGAGGGTCCGGCATTCCTCTGGGGTACTGTGGGGAATAAAAATGGCGGTTGCTACCTTGTATGGGGCCCAGGGTGTGCCCCAGCAATGATGACCCCTGTCTTCAGTACTGTCAAAGTGTACTAGGTGCTGATGGAGCTGGGAGATACAATCATAGAATGTAGAGTTGGAAGGGCATATGAGGATCATCTAGTGCAACTTCCTGCAATTCAGGAATATGCAGTTGTCCCTGCATAAAACCTGTAACCATGGCATTATCAGCATCATGGTCTAACCAACTGAGCTATCCAGGCTTGGCATTGACGAGGGGTCAGCAAACTTTTTCAGCAGGGGGCTGGTCCACTGTCCCTCAGACCTAGTGGGGGGCCCGACTATATTTTGAAAAAAAGAACGAATTCCTATCCCCCACAGATAACCCAGAGATGCATTTTAAATGAAAGCACACATCCTACTCATGTAAAAACATGCTGATTCCCGGACCATCTGCGGGCTGAATTTAGAAGGCGATTGGGCCGGATCCGGCCCCCGGGCCTTAGTTTGCCTACCCAGGGCATTGACTAATGTCAGTTTGAAGTTTCAGAGTCTGGAATCTTTCCTAGCACCTCCATCTGTGTAATAGATGGATTATCTCTGTCGATTAACTATGGTAGTATTAATTCTGTTCCATGCTGACATACTTCTGCTTATGTTTAACATGCCCCTTATTTCACATCATGGCCAGACTGAAATGCAGGGTTCAGTTTTGTTGATGAAGAAATCTGGTTAGTTTTTCCCTTTCCCCCCTTCCCTCATGCAAGTATAGTTGCTCCATTCTGTGTCGTTATGATCCCCCAGCAGCTGCAAGTTCTGCATCCTACTGTGGGCTGTTAGGCTGTGTAAGTGCCAGAAATTATGAGCGGTGGTTTAATATGCATAGTTACAGCTACACATCAGCCAAAGTGAATAATAGCCAGACTGTAAAATAATTACAACAACGTCTTGAAGAGAAGCCAGGCACAGAGACCAGAGCCATTCGTCTCCTTTAATTTGTATACAGTTCTGTACAACGGCACAAAAAAAAGGAAAAGGGAAAAAAAACTTTCTGAAGGCACTTGCAAAGGGGTGTGTGTGTGTGCTTGCTGAAACAGCTGGACAACTTTTATTTTGAAGAAAGAGGAGAAGAAGGAGGGGAAAAGAAGAAGTGAAGTCTCCGAACTAACGAGCTTGTTTTACACTGCAAGGGAGCCTCTGCATCAAAGACTTTGACCCGTGTGTGTAAGACGTGTTCTCATGACTGGAATAATCGTAGCACTTTTTCTTTTCCCCGAGTTAACTGGCTGGCAAAGTTTTGCATTTTTCTCAAGCACCTGAGAAGATTCCAAGGCACTTCGCCACTTCAATCGACTTGACTCCAGCACTGCTGTTAACAGCCTGCATGGTTTGGTCTTGCTCAGACGTTATGTGGTCTCTATGGCCTCACTTTGCTCAACTGTCAGAGAGAGGGAGGGAGGTTTTCCCCAGCACCAAAAAAAAATCCACTGTGTTCTCTTCAGCACAGTAGCTAAGTACAGGTCCCCTGGTTGCTCCCAGGTTCTCGCTGGAACTATTTTCAGGCCAAGGAGATTCCCCCACCTTCATTTAAATGGCTGATTGTGTTACAATTAGGAAAAAGCACCTCCAGAGACCAATCTTTAGGTAAGTAGTGCCATGATCATTTCTTGGGATTAGAGTAATTCTTCTGAACTTTTCCTCTTGCATCTCTTCTTGCTAACTTGGATTTCAGATGTGAAAGCAAATAAGAGGCTCTGCACAGCAGGAGTCTAAAGTTTAACTCGCTCTGCGTGCCAGCAATGTCCTCCCCCCCATAATGATATAGTCATTTTCGTGGAAGTCGGAGTAAATGTTCTGAGACATTTGTTGCGGAAGCTTAAGAGGGAGGAAAACAACAGCAACAACTGAAAAGAGACTGAAACTTTCTACGAAGTTTTCTGTGGCATTTCCATGCTTGCAAAAGATGCACAGAAACCTTTCTTTTCCTAACGCTTCGCTGTTGCTCGGACCCATTCTGGAACGGTAGAGCCCTCTAAATGTTGTACATTGTTCAAATTTGGCTAGCTGATTATGTTTGTGTGCCAGAAATGTAATGCCTACTAATGACACATGATTTGCAACTTCTGCAGCTCAATGCTACATGTACCTACTTGAAAATAAGTTGCAATGAGTTCAGTTGCACTTACTCACTGGTAAACATGCTTAAGGCTGCAGCCTTAATAGCATGTTTGAAGTAACATGGAAACTAAATGCAATTACTTTTCTTTTTCTCAAAGGAACTATGCAACCAACAAGACCTGATGTACATTTATTCAGTGATAACTCCCATTCATGTGAATGAGGCATACTCCATAGGAAGGAAGAGGGAGATATTTGGTTTGGTTTGAGGTTTAATGTGAACTTACCTAATTTATGTCCAGAAACAGTATGAAACCAAAATGTCGCTATCCTTAGAATTTCACACTTCTCCAAATTCTGCAGAGCAGTTCTACAAATGATATATAAAACATTGGATATATTCAGGAAAGTGTGCATTTTTGTATGTACATTATATTAGGGGAAATTGCATGCAAAAATGTGTGTACTGAGATCAATGGCACACTGAAATGCTGACAAATTTTCACAAGGACTTTTTCTTTTAAAATAAAATCACAAACTGTTGCGGAAACCTTGTGAATTGAATTAAAACTGGAAAAATGGGAAACAGAGATAGATGGAAATTGAAAGATTCATCAGTCCCTACTCCATAGTAAGTGTATGTAGGATTGCTGCCGAAATATATAATGGGGTTCTTACAGCGAAGAAATAAAAATCATGAAACAGAAGTAAATTAGGTTATAACTCTGATTCTGCGGTGTAAGTTTAGATTGCAAGAAAACCCACTGAAGTCCATTAAATTATGACTTCAATGCTATGCGCAGTTACTTGGGAATAATCCTCATGGAGTTCAATGGGATTCCTTCTATGCAGACATGTATCGGAATGGGATGAACACAACCGTTGACCATTAGTTTCCACCCAAAATCAGGCATGACTGAAGGACATTTGCATATAGTACTGTACAATCCAAATCAAAACACTAGTATATATTCTGAGTACATTTTGACCTGTAAAACTAGGCCGCGGGGGAGGGGAGAGGAAATCTTATGAATGGCAATTATGTTTTTATTGTATGAGTTTCATCTCATTTGTTTATTTTATGGCAAACGTCTTTACACCTTTGCTTTAGGCTTAGCCTAATAAAGTGTGGAATTGCATAGCTATATAATAAATATAAAGCAGAACAATCACAGCTAGTTCTGCTGCCTCCTTTAAAACACCTCTGGGAAGAACACGATGACAACAAGGAGATCTCGTTGCCAAAGTGTTGATAAGCTACATGAATGCCAAGTTCCAATGGGCCTCAGAAGGGCAAATGGGGCCGCAGTTTGATAAGGTGTGGATATCTGCCCAGAAGTTAAATTCCAAAGATAAGAGCCTTTGCCTTCTGTGTGGACTCAGATAGAGTGTCACAGTCAGTTTGACTCACTGCGAAAGACAAGTGTCCAGTGTTGGCATCCAAGTGTCCCTATTTTCCAGGGACAACTCTGATTTAGAGCATCCATCCCAGTTTCTGATTTAATCCTGGAATGTCCCACTTTTCCATAGGATGTCCCTGTTTTCATTGGAGATGTTGGAGGGTATGGAGTTATCTGACCCCCGAGCCATCTGAAGGCAATCCTGTATAGGAAAGGTTTTTAAAATGTTTTTAATGTTTTTATATATGTTGGAAGGTGCCCAGAGTGCCTGGGGCCAACAAATAAGATGTCTGGGGTATAAAGAGTAAAATTGTCATTATGGAATGGGACCTCCCTATATTCATCAGAGAAATGTTGAAGGGTATGGCATTGTCAGGGCTGGATTTAGGTTTGATGAGGCCCTAAGCTACTGGAGATAATGGGGCCCTTTTTATGTCCAGCTGTCCTTTGTCAACAACAAATTGTTGCTGTTTTTTGTGTTGAATATACGCTATATGGTAATTTATGGACCTAATAGGTATCTAAAGTCATTTGCACATAACACATAGGAGCCTACACAGCACAAAACACTGTTGTCGTATGTAGGTTTTATTTTTATTTTTTTTATCTTATATTTTGGAAATGTACATCCAGTTTATTTTTCTTTAAAAAAATTTGGGGCCCCCAAGAGAGTGGGGCCCTAAGCTATAGCTTGTTTAGCTGATACGTAAATCCAGCACTGGGCATTGTGCAGCTGCAAGTCACATTTTCAACCAACCTTTGCTGCAATTTAGGATTTCATGCGGGCACAGAAGTTCCCCCATTCACAAGGCCTTTTCCCCAATCACTTCAGACAAGGAAATGGCATTCTGCTGCATGCAGGGTGTGGCTCAGCCCATTGAAGAGACTGTGGAATCCCCTTACACAGCATTCCTGTACTATTATCCAACTCTTCCTCCTAGGAGCTGAGGTTGTCATGCAAGGTGATCCTCATAACAGTCCCATGAGGTAGGTTATGCTTAAAAATAGAACCACAGAACCGTAAAACTGTAGAGTTGGAAGGGACCCTGAGGATCTTCTCATCCAACTCCCTGCAATGCAGGAATATGCAGCCGTCCTATACAGGGATTGAACCTGCAACCTTGGCATTATCAGCACCACACTCTAACCAACTGAGCTGACAAGCCCAGGTCACCCACTGAGTTCCATGAGTGGAGATTGGAACCTGAGTTTCTGTCCCGCTCCAAGTCCATGCGCTATGGAGCGACTATGGAGTTGCGGCGCTCATCTTGCTTTCAGGCCGAGGGAGCCAGTGTTTGTCCACAGACAGGTTTCCGGATCATGTGGCCAGCAGGACTAAACCACTTCTGGCGCAATGGAAGACCATAACAGAAACCAGAGTGCACAGAAACGCTGTTTACCTTCATGCCACAGCGGTACAGTGGTACCTAGGGTTACAGATGCTTCAGGTTACAGACGCTTCAGGTTACAGACTCTGCTAACCTAGAAATATTACCTCGGGTTAAGAACTTTGCTTCCGGATGGGAACAGAAATCGTGCAGCGGCAGCAGCGGGAGGCCCCATTAGCTAAAATGGTACCTCAGGTTAAGAACAGTTTCAGGTTAAGAACAGACCTCCGGAACGAATTAAGTTCTTAACTCGAGGTACCACTGTACCTATTTATCTACATGTACTGGTGTGCTTTTGAATTGATAGGTTGGCAGGAACTGGAACAGAGCAACAGAAACTCACCCTGTCATGAGGATTCGAACCGCCGACCTTCCGATCAGCAAGCCCAAGAGGCTCAGTGATTTAGACCACAGCGCCACCCACATCCCTAGTATTAATGCACCTCCGGCACTAAAGCATATTTTCTATTCAATGCTTATTTCTCTAAACCACCTGCTAACCACTGTGTGCACTGGCGTGTAGGCAGAGTCCTGGGCTTCTTCAGTTTGAAGATCTGAATTTCACAGGCTTTAGAAGCCAAAAGGAAAAACAGTGTCATTTTTTTATGCTGTCGTAAAAACTTTCCGGCCACAATGCAATTCCCTTCGAAGTAAGTTCAAGCGGAACATTTTAGTGGCCCTTAACTCCAGGTAAATAAAGACTGCAACCCTGCGCACTCGTTCCTGGGAGTTAGCCCAACTGAACTCGGTTGAACTATGTAACAATGAACATGGAACTATAAGAGTATGGTAGAGCGTGAGACTCTTAATCTCACAGTCATGGGTTCAAATCCCACATTGGGCAAAATGTTCCTGTATTGCAGGGGGTTGGACTACATGACCCTCATGGTTCCTTCCAACTTTATGATTCTATGATCACAGCTTTTGGTCACATATAGGCTTGAACTCTAATATACTTGAGAATGTATTCTTAAACTGTACAGGAAAATAATAATAATAATAATAATAATAATAATAATAATAATACATTTAGAATTTGCTAGTCACCCTATACACAGTTAGGCCATTTAAATCCCATTGACAGTAAGGGTTTTCAGCAGCCGTGCCATTTGCAGAGTAGCGGCAGCCTTTGTAGGCTGTATTAATTTACATTTTAAAACATCTATCCTGTAAAGGTGTCCAAAGTTTGACATGGTTTACAGATGCTTCAAACAAAAAACCTGCACAAAATGACAATTAAATCATAGCCAAATATAAACAGAGCAAAACTCTACTGTGTGTCAGCTCCAGTCATAAAAACCCAGTTCAAAAGTGACGCACTCCTGAAGGTTTAGTTTGGGGCCAGTTATCAAGGGAAGTGAGTCCCGTAGTTTCGGGGGGGGGGGGCAGGCAGTGGGGTTGCTTGTTCTTACTCTACGGCTTGGTCCACACATGCAGCAGAAGGAGGTGAGAAGGTGATAAGAGAGTCCTGATTCCTGAGGCTGTTGTGGAATGGACAGTACCCAGTGCCGGATTTGCGTATAAGCTAAACAAACTATAGCTTAGGCCTCACTCTCTTGGGGCCCCCAAAATTTTTTAAAGGGAAACAAACTAGATGTACATTTCTGAAATATAATATAAAAAAACAAATAAAATAAAACCTGCATACAGCAACAGTGTTTTGTGTTGTGTAGGCTCCTATGATGTAAGTAATGGGCCCTGCCTGCTAGCCTGCTCCCTAAACTATCACTGGTTTGCTCATTTCTATATATAGGGTGTCTACATTCTGCATGTGCAAATGGCTTTAGATACCTGTTAGGTCCATAAATTACCATATAGCATATATTCAACACAAAAAACAGCAACAATTTGTTGTTGACAAAGGACGGCTGGATATATAAAGAGCCCTCTTATCTTCAGTAGCTTAGGGCCTCATCAAACCTAAATCCGGCCCTGACTGTACCACTTCAGACAGCAGGTAGAGGAAACATTTTTGAATGCTCCTTGATTTGAGGGGATAAACAAACAAACAAACAAACCCACAATCCTGTAAGTAGTATTGTTGGAAGTGGGCTGGGCTAGAACCTTGATTTGCTAGCTTTTTACTTGCAGGGTAAATCTCAGGATCCTGCTGAATTTGTCAATCAAGCCTATTTGCCCTGAATACTGGAAACACTGTGTCTCAAACACGGATGGAAAACCTACATTGGCTGGGATCATAGGAGCCGTCTCCTAGGTCCCTTCAGCACCCCACAACAGGGCCCCCCAAAGTTGTTGAGCATTGCCATTTGAACGGTGTGCATGTGCTGCTTCTTGTGATCAGTTATGCGAGGCTGGGCTCCCGTGATATTTTATTCAAGTTGGCCCCCTTGGCTGGGATTGTGCATTCAGATGAAATGTTGGCTCTCATCTATTTTAGCAAATTGACACAAACACATGAAAAGCTTACAGAACACGGCATGGCAGTGCCTAATACACCCTGATGAACTAGTCCCTAAGCATTCCAACATGTTTTATAGCAGGTTTCAGGTGTGTACTTTTATGACTTCCCCTGAATTTTACAGATTGGACAGATCTACTGTCTGATGCATCTAAAACAGGGATAGCCAATATCATCTCTGATAGCCAATATCAAAGCATCCCTGCTCCTATCATCTCTGAGCATTGGCCATGCTGGGTGGAGCATATGAAATATGTAGTCCAAAGCATAAAGGCAGCACCACATTGACTATCCCTGACCCACAGTATTGCATGGTACTTTTATTGAGTTTTATTGCATTCGCTTTAATTGTTTTAAGCTGGAAACCACCAACTTAAACGGAAGTGCATTCACTTAATACTGATATTGTTGTCGATGACGATAATTATGACCAGGGATGTGTTGTGAGTCTGGGGCTATTGCACAAGACAGAAAGTGGTTGGGTGGAAGAAACAGGCGGTGCAGATTCTCCCTTGCAAGAGTTACCAAAGGAAAACAGTCTTGAAATAGAACCACTAAGCTAGACAGGGGTTGGGGAATTCTAGAAAACAAGACTATAGCACAGATGCTGTAGTTATTTCCCTCTTGTGTCTTTTGTGGACTGGTGCATCTCAGTTGCTTCTGGGCTGTGGTTTGAGAGAGGCAATTCTCAAGTTCCCCAAGGAGGATCTGGGTGCTATTTCATAGGTGTTGGAAAATAGGGGCATCAACAGCACAGAACATTTAACCATCACTTCTGCAACAGTGCCAGAATGTCACTTATGTCACTGCAAGGCACACCTGTCCTAACCTCTCCCACTCATTGGATACTGTTATCACCAGAGGTGTACCCAGGGATTGGCGAAACCGGGTACTTGGTCCACATAAAACCTAATAATTTCTAATGTGGGTATTGAGGGAAAGTGATTTTTCCCCGAGGCAGAGGGGCGATGGTGATACAGCACCTTGAGGTCAGGGTGCAGGGGACCCCAGGAACGCCTCTGGTTATCACACACTTCAGCTGCAATATGACAAGCCAGTCTTTGCAAATAAATGAAAAGCCTTTTCAAAAATACCTCTCTCCGTTTGCCACAGTTATGGCTCATGTTAACCGAATCCCTCCTTTCCCACTCTTTTGCTGCACTGTGGACTCAGCTACATTAGTCCAAAAACAGCGTTTTGAATGCGCTATAGACATTCAACATCAGATGGCGCTGAAGAACAGAAAAACCCCACTATGCGATTTTCCATAGCGTGTTTTTTTCTTTTGTTATAACGACTTAATTTCTGACTTATTTATCGTGGTTCCCTCCCCACTTGTGTAAATCCACCCTGTCTCTTCAGCTGATACGTGATGTACTTTATTGATGGTCTCTCTGCTGAGTCTAGCAAGTGTGGTGTAGGCACAGATTAGCTTTGACCAAACTGTAGTCCAATGTTTTGGACTACAACTCCCATCAATCCCAGTCAGCACTAGTTGGGGTGGATGGGAATTGTAGTCCAAAACCTCTAGAAGGCACTAGGTTGGGGAAGACTGAAATGTAAGGTGTTGGACTGCAGAGATTAGGGTTGAAGTCCCCACTCAGCCATGAAATTCACCTGGTGATCTTAGGATACGTGTTCTTTCTCACATACTAAGATCCAACACCAAGTTGTTGTGAGGACAAATTGAGCACAGGAGAGGCCCATGCACTATTCCAAGGTCTTTGGCGGAAGGGGAAATGTTAACGTGTAATGAAATCACCTGAGGGTACTCTAGTAAGGTTTCAGAGGAGGAAGTACTTGAAATGGAGCCATCTGCAAGCTATTTTGTACACAGTAGACTGAGGAATACACTTGTGCTGCATGTAGATTGATCGGAGACTGAGATAAGAACAGCTGAAAAGTAAAGGAGAAGTTTGTTTTGGCACCTTAAGAAAAAATTCAGATGCATTTGAACAGCTGCCCAAACATTTGCATTTCAATCTCTTAATTGTTCTGCTGCAAGGTGAATGGCAGGATGATCCCCGCAAATATGTTGAGGGAAAACCAACTTTAATAGAATGGGATTTAGAACAGATTTGCAAAACAGGGAAGCACAACACACTTCTCTATCCCCCCCATATGGTTTGAAAGGGCAGCGTTAATAGCTGTCAAACACAAGATTAGCTCAGTATCAGGTGTTCCATTGTTTACTGTTAGGGACTGAACTTTCGAAGTGGCCTGAAACGGCAAAAGCAGGCAATGTTCTGATGAAGCTGAATGTTGTACTTAGTGGGGAGCTATTGCTTTTCCAAAAGACACTGGGCCTGAGTCTAGGCAGTGGAGCAGTTTGAGTTGTTATAAATTGATTTCTCTCTCAGATGTAAAAGTATTGTATACATTCAACAGCAGGGGTAGAACTTGCCTGCTCTCAGTGATTTTTATTATATATGGGGGAGATTAACTGTATGAATGAATCCAGTTCACTTATACACCCCATATTCGTGTGTAGCACTGGAATTCAAGGGGAGAGAGTGTGTGTAACATTTCTGTCCCAAAAGGAATGTATGCACAATTCTGACATCAAGAGATCGATGGGGGCCGATCCTCCAATTTAAATGTTAGTTATATGTGTGAATACAGGGAATACACATACATTAGACAGATAGGGACAGCAGCAGGTGCAATTTGGAGCAGAGGTTTGGGGCCAGTGGAGTTGTCCTGCTTACCCTTTCCCCATGCGTGCCCTATATGTGTGGAGAATCATAGAATTGCAGAAACAGGGTCCTTCCACTTACATACCCCACAAGTGTCCCGGAAAAACTGGGACATCCCATTTCCTCCCATGAGAGCACGGCAGCTGTTTAAGTTGCTGTGATCTGGTGCAAGTTCGTGCCGTGATCTCACCCTGAAAAAGCACATTGGTTTCCGCAATTTTCTACAGCACCTCAAATGCGTGTTCTTTGGCACCGTGAGAGCATGGCCCTGAAAAAGAGTCTGTCTTTTGCACTCCATGATCTCGTGTGGGTCGTGTGACTTGTGCAGGAGCATGGATGGGAAGACGCATGTCCCAGTTTGGGGACTCAACATGCTGAAGGGTATTCCACCAACACAGAGGGCATATGAACTTCTTCAGGGACTATTAGACATGGTGGAACCAATGCGTCCCCCAGCAGTATGAGACTGAGTACCAGTTGTTTGGGAGCGATGATGGAAGAAAACAATTGCCTTTAAGGCCTGCTTGTGGGTTTCCTGGGGGCACCTGCTTGGCCACTGCAGTAAGATGCTGGATGCTAGGCCAGATGGACTTTGGATCAGAATCATCCAGGTTATTCTCATGTTCACCTAATGGCACAGTTTCACGAAGAAAGGATATTTGTGTGGACTCTCCTCTTCCGCTGAAGTGAAAATGAAGCTCCTGTTCCCATGTGTGCATTCGTGTACCCTACCCACAAATGACTGCTGGATCAGAATATGCTCAGCAGCTCATCAAAGAATTCAGTCGACAGCAAGCCTAATCCTCAAAGTGGTTGGTGAATGCATATCCCATTCAGGCCACTATTAACCGTGCTTTTAAGTCATCACAAGAGAACAATAAACGGAGGGTCGAGGCAGTGCTAAACGCTATTTGGAGTTCACAGTGCTGCTTCTAAAATGTTGTATATTTTTCCCACTAAACTAGCTCGTACTGTAGCATGCTTTATTTAATTCTTGAAAGTTTCCTTCTCCTTTTATGTACATTTTAAAATGTTAATAATGGAAAAAATGACACAAGCTGTCTAGTCACCTAAGAATGATTATGTTAAATTTACCATTTTGAAAGCAAGTTAAGCTATAAATAGCGCAGGGCATGAATAGAAACTCAAATGCTACTAAATTGGTGCCCACTGAGGATCCAAACAACAACAAAAAGATTTTGCAACCCACAAAGAACCCAGGAAAAAACAACCCTATTTGTAGATAAAATATTGTCCATTATTGTCACAACAGAAAAAAAAAAATCAAATGGAGCTGTTCTGGTTTTTCCGTAGAGTATAGAATTCCTCCCAAAGCTCTGATTCGAAAAATAACTTGGTCTGGAATGGCTAGGCAATTGCATATGCTAAGGCTGACATTTAATAGCACAGAACACTGGTATGACCTTTCAAATGCTGAGCTTAATACATGTTAAATATGCCTTCTTTATTGTGATTGGAAAGAGATGTGGGATTCTGCATTGGCTGTCTTTCTTTGCTAGTATGCAAAACAGAATGAAAGAAAGCGGGTCTTTCAAGTGCTTGAGAAACAATGGAAATAATAATCTTTCCTTTCATCCCTACAAGATTAATGATGAAAAACCATTTACCCAGGAAGGCATCCTAGATATTCAAAGTGCTGCAGCTGCTATTTATTTTTTAACAAATGTGCCATAATTTTTTTAAAGCAATCACAGAGCATAAAAATGTTTTCCATTAACTGAACTAATTATTTTGACATTATTAGTACAAAAGGGTGGTGAAAGGGCAGGCAAGAAGGAGCCTCCACAGTGAAATGGAGAGGATATATGCAAACTCCATAGCAAACCCATGTAAATATATTGAAATGCTGTCCATTTGAATCAAGGAAAATGTTCAATCTGATGGGGAAGAGAATCAGATGGACTGAAAATGGATTTCCTTCTCCTGCTTTCCATTGAATATCTGAAGATATTGGCAGATGAATTGTGGTTGAATTTTCATTGAGAGGGAGTAGGATGGTGAGGATCGTAAACAATAAAGAGATGATCGAGAGAACCATTTAATTTAACCATTGCATCATATTACCAGTGGACATTTTCCAGAGAAAGTTATACATTCATGAGATACATGAAATGGTTCAATATAGCTTCTAGTGTTCTAATGAGTTTAGAAAGAGAACATAGCATTTTATGGTACCAATAGGGGAAATTTCATTTTGGTGTGCAGTTAGCAGAGATAGAAGAGCCGTCTGGGTAATTCTGATCGCTGTAGCATTGCAGTGAAAATAGATGAAATTCAGCACTGGCTTCCCATCAGCAGACATTAGCTGGCGTGCCAAAAGTTTGTAAGATGAATGGGTACAGTTTAGAGCTGAAAAATGCATTAACAAAAAAGCTGGATTCTGACAGTGTTATGGCTACGTCTTCTTAAAAGTGAAAAAAAATAAGACGTTTTAGGACATAATATTGGGGAAAACAGGGAAGAGTACAAATATATACAAAAGGGTATATATGAAACTTTGAAAAATACATTTTTCAGTCAGAGTAGTGTACATCATGTCAAGATAAAGTTTCACTTAGATATATGCAGGGCTGGCCTGCCCATGAAGCAGAGTGAGGTGGTCACCTCAGGTGGCAGATCTGGACCTGAGGAGCATGCTGCTCACCTCCTCCTTCTACATGAGTAGGCCTCACCATGTCCTCCCCCTCCTCTGCCCCTCAAACCACCACCCTGCTCTGCTTTCCCCTCCTCTTCTGCCACAGACAGGCCATACCACTGCCACTGTCATGCTGCCACTGCTGCATCTGCTGTTGCCGGCGTGCAGGCATGGCACACCCATAGCAAGGGCATGGGGCACCCATGGCGGGGTGGCAGCAGGGCATGCCCATGGTGGGGTGGGTGGCACTAGCAGGGCATTTTGCCTCAAGTGGCAAAACATGCCAGGCTGGCCCTGCATAGATGCATTTTTCACAAGAGGGAGCCAGTGAAATAACATGTTATTGGGGAGATGCATGTTGGGGTGATATATTAGGTTCGAGATTCTGAACAAAAGGAACAGGAGGAAGAGTGAATTTTGCAAAAGTGTGAGGAAGTTACAGAAACAGGATGTGAAGGATTTGGAGCAGGTGGGGAATAATGACTCCTGGAAAATAGAACCTATCAAAACAGCTTTCTTTCCTTATTTTTAATAGGCAGCTGGGCAACAGAAAGGGGAACAAGGACATTATTTATCAGTAGCATCCCACACAGAGAAAAAATTAGAATATCTGCCGGTACATCATGCATTAAGCATCTCATATTGTTGCCATGTCATTTCCTAGTGTTTTGCCAAAACAAAGCAGGCGTTGTAATGTTTGCCCCTCTTGACTTCTGTGTCAATCTGTCTGGCATGACAATTTTGATGAATGTTAAGTGTGAGTGTGACTCTTCCACTGAAGGAAGATTGATCCATTCTCATTGTCTAGAAGATCCTCCTTCCTGTTCTGTACAAAACTTGTACTTTATCTGCATAATGCCTTGTGTGCTTTGAAAATCACGCTATTGAGAAAATATGCAATAGAAAGTGCTGATTTGAATCAAACTCAAGGACAATTAGCAAAACTTTCCCCTTGATTGGCTGAGATCCAACACCCCTCGTCTCCTATCCACTCCAATCAATTTTGGGGGGTTGGGAGAACTCCTAGGGCAGATTGGGGGTGCATGGGGAGGGGGAGGAGAGGGAAGGGAAATTCCCTTATGCATGCAGAAATCCTTGACAGACAGATCAACTTCACTGAATACAACCTGCTAATGTAACTTTTAAAAATAGTGAATATAGTTTTTTATATTTTCAGATTTCATAGCCCGCTGCAATGCATGTTCTGTTAAATAAGTATACACATGTATTAGAAGCTATTCTTTCATTGTGATTCAGGCCTCATTTCTTGGTAGAGCCGAGGGTGAACACCACTGAACTTGTTATTTGCTCACTTCATTATTCATCTCTATGCCTTGGAAAACCTTGCCGTAAGCTCTAAACAGTGAAGAATTACTTGACCTGTTGACCTCTCCACCATAATGAATCCTGTGTTTTGCTCAGGTTTTGCATGTAGTATTGGTTGTTGCAACAATCTATGAAAGGCATGTAGACACATTAGCAGTGGGACAGCATATTCCAATTACCCCTGCCATAAACAGAGGGGCACTCTATTAAATATAGTCTGAATTCAGCAAGGATAGATACATTCTGGCAGCCAGTGCAAATTTCCCCCTCATATTCTGACTCGATCCAACAGCCCATTCAGGTATCCTTAATATGATTTACCACCAGGACATCTTAACCAACCTCTATGGACATTCATAGTGATCTGAAATCTCCTGAGAAATCCCTACTCAATGTGTACCCATATTCTGAAATGAGGCTGGTGTGTACAAAAAACAGGATCTTCTCAGTGCTTACTCCTCATTGTATCACTCCTGTTCAAATAAATTTTCCAGGTTCATTAAAAGAAAAGGAAAAAAAAAACCCTTTTGAGAGAACTTACAAAATAGGGTAAGGCATTGAGATGGGTGAGGTTCTAGCCCTGGATTGCAAGCTAGTGTTGTCAATCAGCAAAATCCAGTGCCTCTTCTCCCTCTTCGCTTCCTGGCATTCTCCTTATATGGTATTGTTTTGCACTGTTGGATCATTTTGTAGTCAGCCTGTCAGTTTTGAGCTTCATATCTGTTCAAATGAGTCCCAATTGATTTGGATTGATCTGATTCAATTCGGACCGATTCAGAGCTGATTTCAATCAGATTTGATTTGGGATTAGGCTGAATTGGTTGCCTAACCCTAATCATTAAGTGTTGGCAATCACATTCTCCCAAACCCACGGGAAAGGGACATACTACCCTGTCCTGGCCACAACTGGGAGTCAGCAGGTGTCAGGATGGACACCTGTAAGTAGCACCAGGCAGCTAGAGTATCAGGACCTTGGATAGCTCCAAGGAGACAACTTGTTGTGGTCGAGTTTCGAGGCTTAGAGCCAAACACTCTACAATCTCTGCCTTGTGTGTTGGTCATCATTGGGCTCAATTCAAGGTGCTCACAGTGATGTTTAAAGCCCTACATGACTTAGGCTCCAAATATCTGAACCACCACCTCCTTCTCTGCAGATCTCCTCAGCAAAGGAGGCCCTCTTGGTAGTTCCACCACCCTCAGAATGTGGTTGTGGTAGCCTGGGAGAGGGCATCTCTGGCAATTCATTGGTTGTGGAATTGCCTCCCTAAAGAGATACTTTCAATATACAGTTTTCATTGTATGCTAATGATGCAACTCCTTACCCTGACCTTTTATATGTGAGGTAGACATTACGTTATGTGAAGGGCAAGCAAGATGCACTACAAAATAGTTAGTTAACCCAAAATGCCAGTCCTTTAACACACACAACCCTTTAAAAGTTAAGTTACAATATTTGTATGTCTCCGCTTGAAGTCAGGTTTAATCTGTATTTCGTTTCAATCCAAGATTTTCCAGCACAGCACATAAATTAGCATTCTTCCAGGGGGTTTTCTGCACATTTACCTCAGGATTCACACTTTCATAGCCAAACAAATGCTAACAAAATCAGCGGGTTCCAGCAAATGTCACCTGTGGTGTCTAAGTTTCCACGTGGCTTTCAGATGGAAGTTTTGTTTATTTTATTAGATTTGAAAGCTTTATTGCATCATTTGGCTGAAGTGTTCCTTCCCTATGCTGCAAAAGCAGATTTGGCTGGCATTTCTCAATATTACAGCTTTTTATGCGAGAAGCTGAAGGCTAGCATCTGTACATTGTACAAAACACATGGTCTGAATTATGTGCATGTGCCACCATTTCTGGTGCACCAGATGATGTGCTTGGTTAAAATGGTGTGTGTGTGTGGAATGGAAGAAGTTTTGAAGGCTCTCCCAGACATTCGAAGAACAGAAAGTAGCGATTATGTCATCGAATGCATTCCAAATCATATTAAAACATGTCAGAAAATAGTTAAGGAAGGGGGGGCATAGGAGGAGACTCCACTGGTAATGTGGCTTCCAAAATTGTTATTTAAAAAAATACATCCATCCCAATCCAGTGGCTTTTCATGCACAATGGAATGCCATTGCAGAGAACCTTTGGCCTTCTTGATGCTGCTGAACTAAAACTCTCCTTAGGTCCAGCAAATATGGTCAGTGGCTACCCCTGCGTTACACAAACAGCACTCCATCCCCTAACAAGGGCTTCTCCCTTCACTTCATTATTAGAGACTCCCAACTCCCATCTAGGTAAGCAGCAGAGACACTGTTGTTGGAAGGGTGTGCTTCCACACTGCTATAGGCACCGCTACTGGGAATGCGTTAACATTTCATACTCAGATTCAACTTGGAGGGCCTTCTGGTGAGAAGGGAAGTTACAGGGAACCAGGCAGAGGGCCTTCTTAGTAGTGGCATCCTCCCTGTGGAATGCCCTCCCATCAGATGTCAAGGAGATCAATAACTATACAACTTTTAGAAGACATCTGAAGGCAGTCCTGTACAGGGAAGTTTTTAAATGCGTGATGTTTTATTATGCTATTATATTTGTTGGAAGCTGCCCAGAGTGGCAGGGGCAACCCAGTCAGGTGGGTGGGGTACAAATAAAATTATGATTATGATTATGGCCATTTATGGCAGGTGACTAGATGCATTGTCTATCCTGTTATTTATTCAGTGCCCATTCCCCGCCTCCCCTAGGCAATATGATTATATTTGACATGTTAGCTAGAAAAGTATTTCAGGGTAGCTAAGCATGCTTTTTTTGGGCATATATATATCTTAGTACAAGTATATTACATGTCCCTATTTTCTGGTCACAGTCCAGAAGGAGAAGAGATAACATGTGAAGCTGAATGCCATTTGCTGCTATGGAGACCTGATGTAAGGCTCTCCATAGTGAGTCAAACTGGTTAATTATTGGAATGCCGATAACTGCCTTTTGTATTCTGTGGTCTGTATCTTAATCCGTGCTTGTTGCTGTTCTATATTATCTGCAAACCACTTCTCAGCCAAGATTTGTGTGTTCCTGGCATTGGGCAACCGGGACAGATTAAGGGATTCTGCTGGTTTACTGCCTGCCTTGCTGCCCAGCAGTCTCCCTGCTGGAACTGACAGAGCCAGTCTCGGAGGTGGTGTTGAAGACTTCCAGACCACTGGTACTGGGGGATTTCAACATCCATGCCAAGGTGACTGGCTCTGAGGTGGCTCAGGAATTCATGGTTGCCATGACAACCATGGGGCTGCCCTAACCTGTCATTGGCCTACGCTTGTGGCAGGCCACAGTCTGGACTTCGTTTACTCAACTGGACTGGAAGAGGGTAATCTGAAAGGGGGGGTATTGACATGGTCAGATCACTTCCTGTTCTGATTTAGGCTTTCAGCACCTTTCCCCCTCTGCAGAGGCAGGGGAACTATTAAGATGATCCACCCTTGGAGGCTGATGGATCCCATCAGTTTCCAGATGGCTCTGAGGGATTTTCCAGCTGATATGACTGACTGACCTCTGGAACATCCAAACGGCTCAGGCCGTTGACACGACTGCCCCCGAGCACCCTCTCCTACTTTGTGGAGCCCGTTTGTCTCCCTAGTATACTCCAGAGATTAGGGTGAGGAAACAAGCTGGGAGACAGCTCAAACATGAGTGGTGGAAAACTCCAGTTGAATGCAATTGAGGGTTCATCATTGAGCTTACCTAGTGGCAGTGAAGGCAGCAAAGAAAACATACTTTACTGTCTCCATTGCATCCTCACTGTGCTGTCCAACAGAGCATTTCCAGGTAGTGTGTGGCCTGTGACAGTCTAATCTGAAGTTAGAACCAATGGTAGATTGCTGTGAATTGTTTACAAAACATTTTGAGGATAAAATTGCTTGCATCCACCAGGACCTTGACTCTGCTGTTACAGCAAAGAGGTGCCCCAGAGCACTGCCTAGTCCTGTTATGTTGGATGAGTTTCAGTTAGTAAGGCTTGAAAATGTGGGCAAGGTGCTTGGCTTGTTTAGGGTGACCACTTGCACTCTGAACCCTTGTCCCTCTTGGCTGATAAAAACTAGCAGGGAGGGGACAACTGACTAGGGCAGGGAGGTGATCAATGCCTCCTTGCTACAGGGGGTCGTCCCTGCCTGCTTGAAGGAAGCAGTGGTAAAACCACTCCTCAAGAAAGATTGGGAAAATCTAAGTAAGTACCAGCCAACCTTGCTTCTTGGGCAAGATTCTTCAGCGGGTGATTGCAGACCAGATCTAGTCACTTTTGGAAGAAACTGATTTTCTAGATCCATTTCAGTCGGGGTTTAGGCATGGGTTTGGCACAGAAACTGCTTTGATCACCCTGTATGATGACCTATGTCAGGAGACAGACAGGGAAAAGGTGTCCTTGTTCATTATCCTTGACATCTCAGCAGCTACCAATACTGTCAAGTATGATATGCTTCTCCTTCTTCTTGGAACAACTTTTCATTGCATTTCATAAACAAGGATCACAGGAATTATAAACAATATGCGTAAATCTTCTCATGCCATTTGCAGTATATTTGCAGTAATATCTACAACATATGATTCATTATTAGTGTTCAGTGTAGAAGTTCCTGGTTCACAAACTGGTCTAAACAAAAACAAGGGGAAACGGGATAGAACAGAGTTAACAGACAATGTTCAACATCACATAGCTAAGCATTTAACGAGGAGCCCTTGTGGTTTGTGTTTAGATTAAGTTTGAGTAATAGTAATTTTCCCTCTTATGTTACCAATGAAACAATATAAAAGGTTGGTCTATTGATGAATATGGGGCTCCAGACTTGGCATGTTCCAGCCTCCTTCCACTGTGGAGTCTGGGTCTTTTGCGGGGGGGGGGGGGGAGGAGTAAATGAATTATTTTTTTCCTGCCACTTTCATACCTGGTTGAGGTACTGCCAATTTGGCAGTAATTGGAATAGAAACAGCTGTTTTGGTAGGATCATCACTTTTACCATTGCTAATCTGTATGAGAGAATAAAATGCATTTTGCTCCATTCCCCCCCCCCACCAAATTTTGAGGAATTGTCTGCCATAAAGGGGGGGTAGAGTGAATGGAGTCTGTTAAGGTTTCTTGTTATAATAATTTCTAAGTATCTAAGCTTTTTGTGGCAGAGTCTATTAAGTCTAAAGAGTTCTGTGAGTGCTTTTTGGATCTTGGGTGGAACACTGAAGCATAACGCTTCAGATTTTGAGAAGTTAACCTGCAGGCCTGATAGGGTTGCAAAGTTGTTAAGATCTCGGAATATTGCTGCTCCCGTGTTCAGTGGGTCAGGTGTAACAATCATTAAATTCTCAACGAATAGCCCTTTTGTATAGTACTGTTTTCCAGTTTGGACTCCTTTGATGTCTGGTGTTGTTCTGAAACATATATCTAATGGTCCCAGGGATCTCCTTCCCCTGGGAAAGAGGTGCTGCATTGTTTTTTTAAGCCTGTGTGTTTGTATGTGAGCGATAACACTCTCAGTAAAAGGCATCAGAAAATTATTTTCTGAAAAATTCTGGCCACAAGACAAAATTGATCAAAACTTCCTGATGTAATGCCAGAGCAAGAAGCCAAAGCTGTCCAGTGTCTCCTCAGTGATTTCTGAATCTGCAAGATAATAATATTCGTTATTAGCAAGCAGACTCCTGCTCTTTACAGCACTTGTTTTCAATACACACATTTCCTAGAGTCGCATAAAATATCATTTTTATCCCATCTTTCACACCCGTATGGAGAAACCTGTAGCTCTGTGCCGCCATCAGGGGAAATGGACTATATATAAACAAGGATCATTGCTTGTTCCAACCCTACCCCCATTTCCTTGTGGGATGAAATGACCCATCTGAGTTTTCTCACATGAGGAGAAGGTTTACAGAATGCAGGAGACGAGAAGCGCATGGGAAAATGCCTTCAGTAACCTTTTCCCTGTTCCTTTTCTCAACTGCGTAAAATGTGTCTGCCTTGGCCTATGATTATTAATTACTCTTGTTGCTATCTTGACAGGGACATACAGCAGAGAGTTGCTTCACTAAGTGACATTCGTAAAGTTTCCAATAAAAAAAAAGAGAGCAACATATGAAAAGAACTTTAAAACAAACATCCCATTCCCACTAAGAGGAAAGAGAGTGAGATGTAGCCATTTCAGTCCTGCAATCTGGGAACTTGCCGTGACCAGACTCGTACTGTTTTACATGCATCACCAACGAGCTGCTTAAAGTTTATTTAAGGCCCCGTTGCAGTGAACTCTCTTAAAATATATCTCCCAGAAAAGTAGTCGTAAGTCTTATGTTGAGCTGCTTCCTGAAAGTTCAGACAATATACTTTTTAATGTAACCAGAAACTGGGCTATGAATAGATTTAGAATACTGTATCATGGGTCTGGGATGTTTCCTGTGAACTAGCTGGTACTTGTGAATCCATAGCCAATGAGGTCAGCCATCTCTTCTTCCCAGGAATGCCCTTGGTAACAACTCTACATCATGGCAGAGCATCATTCCCACGAGATATTCCATTGAACATTACAAATGAAATGCCCCTGGATTGTTAAGGGCAGAGTGAAATGGTGTCAAAAGTCTTTTCTCTGTTAAAAAATGAAATCACTGTCCATTTTGCCTTTAAAGGTAAACCCACCCCCATCTAAAAGTTCTTCAACTCCACCTTGACATTGGCCGAAGGAAGTGTCATTGGACCACCTGTCTAGCATGCTGAATGTCCCAGGTTTCAATCCCTGCTAGGGCTAGGAATGTCCCCTGCCTGGAAGGTCTCTGCCAGATGGGCCTGTGAACTGGATGCACCAATAGTTCAATTCAGTATAAGGGCTTATCCACACTTACCTTTCCCCCTGCTCTTTCCAGGCACAGGGCTGTGCTTTAATGCTCCAAGTGCAAGCACTCTTTTTTTATTTTGCCCTGGAATTTCCCCCGTGAAAACCCATTCTTTAAAACACGACAAACGGCAATTCAGGTTTTCCATGGAATGCCATTTGCTCCGATTCAGCAGTAAAGAGTGCTTTTTTGCAGGGAAAGCTCCAGAGTAGAGCAACACTACTCGGTTGGTTAGAGCAGGTGATGAGGATGCCATGGTTGCAGGTTCGATCCCCGTCAGGGACAGCTGCATATTCCTGCATTGCAGGGGGTTGGATTAGAAGATAATCAGGGTCCTTTCCAATTCTACAACTCTATGATTCTATGAATGTGGAGGATAGGTAAGCATGGATAAGTTCCTATGACATTCCTGACCTTACTTTCAGGGAGAGGATGAATGGTCCAGCAAATGTGGCAGGAGCATAGAAAGCTGCCTTGTGCTGCATCAGATGACTGGTCCATCCGACTCACTGACAGCAGCTCTTCAGGGTTTCAGACAAGATTCCACCGCCAGATGTGCCTGATGCTGGGGATTGAGTCTGGGGAAGCCTGGATAGCTCAGTTGGCTAGAGCGCGGTGCTGATAATGCCAAGGTTGCAGGTTTGATTCCTATATGGGACACCTGAACCTCAGGGTCCCAATTCTACAGTTCTATGATTCTGCATGGGATGTGGGTGCCGCTGTGGGTTAAACCACAGAGCCTAGGACTTGCCAATTAGAAGGTCGGCGGTTTGAATCCCCGAGACGGGGTGAGCTCCCGTTGCTTGGTCCCTTCTCCTGCCAACCTAGCAGTTCAAAAGCATGTCAAATGCAAGTAGATAAATAGGTACCGCTCTGGTGGGAAGGTAAACGGCATTTCCGTGTGCTGCTCTGGTTCGCCAGAAGTGGCTTAGTCATGCTGGCCACATGACCCAGAAGCTGTACGCCGGCTCCCTCAGCCAATAAAGCGAGATGAGCGCCACAACCCCAGAGTCGGTCACGACTGGACCTAATGGTCAGGGGTCCCTTTACCTTTTCCTTTACCTATTATTCTGCATGCAAAGCAGATGCTGTACCGCAGAGCTATGACCCTTCAAGTTTCTCTTATGGTTCTGATGCACCTTTTGGTCCTGTCTTACTGATTTGTCCCACTTCTGCTTCTGCAATAGCCAAGTCAGATTGGTCATAGGGAATGCAAGGCACCTCCGAGTTGGAGAAGCTTTTTATATTATCAATATTTGTACAATAAGGGCAAACACTATGCCTGCCTTCCATTCTCAGGGTCCAGCATGAGCATGCAGCTCCAAGCCTTCATTAACTGAAAGCCAGCTTGGCCAAACAGATAAAAGTGTTGGACCTGGGAGACCCAATACATGGCCTCAGAGAAGCTGCAAACTTTCACCTTCAATTCTCATCTCCTCCCCCCCCCCCAATGTATTTATTTGAAAGGTTTGGCCTCAAGCCCAGCCATTCTCGCCTTTGCACTGGTATCTTCTAACCCCAACTTTATTAACTGTGAGCTGACATTTACTGTTAAAAGATTGCGATTGCTTTGAAACGGGAGGGTCATATAGCACAGCTTAAATAACCTTGTCAAACTGCTTATGGCTGCATCCAGTCATCCTTAAAGGAACCCTGAGAATGGTTCATGCAGTACTATCACTGGGGCATGCATGCATGGAATCCGGTCAGGCGAAAAGCCGATTAAAAAGGAACTGGGTTGTTTTTCCATCAAGGCTGTCAGCAAAATGTGTCTGAGATAGATTGGATAGATTGTACCTACATAGGTTTGCAGGGTTGGGGAGTGGACAGGATGATAAGATACAACGGCAAGTAGTTTGAGATTACTGCATCCTCTGAACAGAGTATGCAGTAATCTCAAACCACTTGCTGTTGTATCTTATCGCACAGGATTGAGAACCTTGTAGCCCTTCAGGTGGTTGGTGAAATATAGCTCCAATTCTTCCCGACCTGGGGCTGTTTGGAATTAAATTCCAAGAATCATCAGATTCCCCATTCCTGCATTGTCAGATGCGATGCCAAGTGGTTTGGCATCAATGCACCCCATGAGCCCACATGCTCCCTTCTCATGTGTTAATCTTTCCGGAGGACCACAGAGTCCCTTTCCCTGTGATAATATTACCCTTTTATAAGGATGGATTGCATTTTAGCCCCTTGGCACTGAGCTTGATAAAGAAAAGCCCTTATGTTCACACACCAGAACAGAAAACAAACACAACAACTTTCTCAAAGGAAAAGACGTTAATTTGGAGCACAATCTAGTCAAGGTAAAGAGGTTTTAAGCTCAGCTGATTTTAATGGGATAGATGGCATGTTCTTCCCATGAAATCAGTAGGACTTAAAAGTACGTACTTCGCTTTGGATGGGTCAGGACTTGCTCCAACTAAAACAGAGCTAGAGAATCTGTGTGGCCCTCCAGATATTATTGAACTATTGAACTCCAACTCCCATCAGCCCCAGCCAACATGACCAATGGCCAGGGATGGTGGAAACATCCACAGCAACATCTGGAGGGCCTTGGGTCCCCCAGTCCTGAACAAAAGTGACCAATCTAATTCACCTTCTGAGATTTCAGCCTGTACTTGCCTCTCCCATCAAAATAAATGGGCCTTGAAAGTTCATAGCCTGGATTGGACTGTGCCCTTTCTATTCCTAATGAATTCTGAATAGCTTTTCAAAAGCACCAGCCATTTGCTCGAAGCACGTAATACCAAAGAAAGGCATAATTTCTTAGGTTTCTGGTTTAATTTCCAGAGATGGCCTTGTGTAATTTCCTTATTGCAATTACTGCCAGAATGTTGCAGAGTTGCAAATGTGGTTTTGTCTTTTTTTATATAATAAAAAACATTATTTCACTTTTTTGGTTTTTCCAACGTTCTAGCCCTTTTATACTAGTCTCTTTTTTAAATTATTGATTATCTTATTAAGCCAAAGACTTATTTGCATCAAGGACCAAGCCACCTTACAAAATCATTTGTGGAAAAGGTGTGCTCAATGTGCCTTCATGGTCATGGTCAAGGAAGGAGAAATACTTCCTTGCTCCAGAACTCTGCTTTTCTCTTGTAGCTGGTGGGCCTTGATGCTGGAACTTCTAACTGGGTGCAATTTGGATTTGAAAAGGAACTGTGCAGGGCTGGCTTTAGGGCTGGGTGAGCTGGTCGGTCAGCCAGGACACTGAACTGAGGAAGACACAAGGCTGTGCTCAGTGGCTGTGTTTTTTTGGGGGACAGTACTGTCAGCATTTCCATACCCTCCAACATCCGTCTAATGAAAATAGGGATGTCTTAAGGAAAAGTGGGGCATTCTAGGATTAAATCAGAAACTGGGACAACTTCTGTAAATCTTGGATTGTCCCTAGAAAATGGGGACACTTTGAGGGTCTGCTGAGCTTGGTTGGCCAAAAACAATTATTTTAAGAACCACCCCCCCCCAAAACAACAACAACAACAATACCCTGGTTCTATATCTTGTTTGGGCACCAACTATAAAAATGGTCTTCCTTTAACTAGCTTTAAAGTATGTTTCGTCTTCAATTCCCACCTAGATGTCATTTGTGCTAGATAAAAATCAGTGGGACACAGCTTTCCTTTGAGGCAACTTAGCACTTCAAATGCTATAAACACTGTAAGCACTATATAAATAATAGCAGAAGAAAGCTGTAATCTCTAAGAGGTCAGCTGGATATCTTATTTATTTTTTAAAAATAAAAATAATGGATGTTCTAAAATAAAGAATGCTTACCAAAAGAAAGGAACTGCTTCAAAACAAAGTAAACACAAACCCTTTGATAGCTCTGCTGCACTGAATTAGTTCACTGCCACTAATGGCTTTTTGAGCTTTGGCTTGTGGCACTGTGGGTTAAACCACAGAGCCTAGGATTTGCCAATCAGAAGGTTGGCGGTTCATGAGCTCCCGTTGCTCGGTCTCTGCTCCTGCCAACCTAGCAGTTCGAAAGCACGTCAAAATGCAAGTAGATAAATAGGTACCGCTCCGGCGGGAAGGTAAATGGTGTTTCCGTGCGCTGCTCTGGTTCACCAGAAGTGGCTTAGTCATACTGGCCACATGACCCGGAAGCTGTCTGCGGACAAACGCTGGCTCCCTCGGCCAATAAAGCGAGATGAGTGCTGCAATCCCAGAGTCGGTCACGACTGGACCTAATGGTCAGGGGTCCCTTAACTTTACCTAACAGTGGAACAGTCTCCCTTGGGAGGTTGTGGGCTCTCCTTCCTTGGAGGTTTTTAAGCAGAGGTTGGATGCCCACCTGTCATGGATGCTGTAGCTGAGATTCCTGCATTGCAGAGGGTTGGACTAGATAGCCCCTAAGGGTCCCTTCCAACTCTTTTCCAATTCTTTGATTCTTTGAAGCTAACTGTGGCACAACAGCTGAGAGATCCAAGTTTTGAGCCATGTGGTTCTCAATGGATAGGATTGCAAGGGACGAAAAACCTCTTGTCTACCAGATTTACAAGGACATTTTAATGAGTTTCATTTCATTTCTTTCTTTTTTATAAAATTTTTAATTTTATTTAACATAATTATTGCAAAATATAAGCAAAACACTGCAAATACATACACACATATACACTTCAAATAAGCAGATATACATGAAAAAAGAAACAAAAGAGAAAAAAAGAAGAAATGAAGAAGAAAAAGAGAAAAGAAGAAGAAGAAAACAGATACAATCTTGCTTAAAATGTATATAGGAAGTGCAGTGTAAGCGATGGAAGTCAATCAATGAAATTTTATTATTATTTTCATATTGAGATATTTGTAGAATGAGTTTCATTTCTGAGAAGCCGTGTTCGCCACTGGTAACTGGATCTTAATATGTAATTGTAACATAACAGGGACATCTCCCCGGCTACGATGAAGTAAATATTTTACGTAGTTGTGTGTGAAACTGAACAGATGCTAATTTGAGAGTTAAGCAATTGTTTAGGCCATTGGTGTGTGTGCAGGCTGGTTGAAAAACACAAACAAGCAACCCAGCAACATTAAATGAATTATTTTTGCTTCTTTGGTCAAATTTAAGCCGGCTGTCAAATGTATCCTAGGGAGCCTGGCAGAGAGGGCTTGCTTATTAACTAGTGTGTCTGAACCAATTGTGGTAAGGTAAAAAACTTACAGTGGTACCTCGGGTTAAGAACTTAATTTGTTCCAGAGGTCCGTTCTTAACCTGAAACTGTTCTTAACCTGAGGTACCACTTTAGCTAATGGGGCCTCCCGCTGTCGCCGCGCTGCCAACGCGCGATTTCTGTTCTCATCCTGAAGCAAAGTTCTTAACCTGAGGTACTACTTCTGGGTTAGCGGAGTCTGTAACCTGAAGCGTCTGTAACCCGAGGTACCACTGTACTTTATGTCTGGGCATCAGTAAAAATTGGTCAGGCAGGTTTATGATTCACCAGGCCAAGTAGCCCCCAATACAGTTTGTTGTAAGGGGAGGAGCAACACAGAAGGCTTTAAGGAGGGTTTCTGTGGCAAAGCAGGATGCTTCTTGTTACAACAGAAAGGATTCCAGGGCTGCTGGGGGGAAAAGAGAGTTTGAGATGTCAGCGAGTGAATTCTCTGATTCGCAAGCCTGGGCAGTGTGTTTGGAGGTCCTGGGCTGCCCAGAAGACACAACCCCCCTCTCAGCCTCACTGATGTGGTTCAAAGGAAAGCAGAGCAATACATTTGGCACCAGCTTGGCTGCAGGAGTTGCTGGAAGGAAGCATACAAAGCACCATCCAACCATCTTAGGGACTCCATTCCTTGATTTGTGTGGGGTTGACCCCCCCCCCAACACCCGACTACCAGGGCGGTGCAAAACCTTTTTCTAACAAGCCACATGCCTTATACTAGCTGTGCCTGTGTGTGGATGAAAACCAAGAAAGCTGACTGGAACAAACTTTCATTTACTGGGAAATAAAAGGCATAAAAGCACACAGACAGTGCAATTTTGTGACTAATTTATGCATGGCAGCACAGGTTTATATATATATAAACTTGCGGAAACCTTTGACCGTTGTTCCAACATCTATTCTAAGCGAAAGAATTTTAAGGTTTAAGATGTGGTAGAGGTCAAAACGACCGATTGGCAATTAAAAGCGTACTACTTAAATGCACTTTTACCTCTCACAGCTGGGTATAAATAAAGGAGGGCTTTATAGTGATGCAAGTGAAAGGTGATTTATGGTATAAGAACATTTTCCTTACCTTCCTGGGAAAGTGGTGAGGGACTGAGTTTATGACTAATTCCCCATCTCATCCGGCAATGGTGCAGCCTGGTTTCAACTGTCTTACCACCTTTTCGTTAAACAACCTCTAGATCTACTGCTCCCCTTGCTGTTCATAATGTATAACTGGGAGAAATTACCCAGTAGAATAAATCTGCCAACAGGATTAGGTAAAAATCCTCAAGGTCTACATCAGGGGGCAGTCTTTTTAGTTTGCCGGTGTTATTATTCCCAGTTAAAGCTAGGACGCCAAAAGGATCAGCACTGGCTCCCTGTGTGTTTCTGAGCACAATTCTTGGTGCTGACCTTTAAAGCCCTAAATGGCATCAGCCTAGTATACCCAAAGGAGTGTCTCCACTCCCATCGTTCCGAGGGCCTTCTGGCGGTTCCCCCCTGCAGGAAGTGAGGTTACAAGGAACCAGGCAGAGGGCCTTTTTGGTAGTAGCACCCTCCCTGTGGAACGCCCTCCCTTCAGATGTCAAGGAGATAAACAACTATCTGACTTTTATAAGACATCTGAAGGCAGCCTTGTTCAGGGAAGTTTTTTAATGTTTGAGGTTTAATTGTGTTTTTAGTATTTTGTTGAGAGCCACCCAGAGTGGCTGGGGCAACCCAGTCAGATGGGTGGAATAATAATAATAATAATAATAATTAATAATAATAATAATAATAATGTCAGGGCAGGGCAGGGGTCAGAGCAGGGGATGAGAATATACCCCAGTGTTCACATGGCTTGTACCATGTGGGTGGCACTGTGGTGTAAACCACTAAGCCTCTTGGGTTTGCTGATCAGAAGGTCAGTGGTTCAAATCCCCGTGATGGGGTGAGCTCCTGTTGCTCTGCCCTAGCTCCTGTAACCTAGCAGTTTGAAAGCATGCCAGTGCAAGTAGATGAATAGGTACCACTGTGGCGGGGAGATAAATTGTGTTTCTGTGTGCTTTGGTTTTCGTCATGGTGTTCTGTTGTGACAGAAGCAGTTTAGTCATGCTGGCCACATGACCGGAAAGCTGTCTCTTTTGCCCTGAAAAGTGAGATAAGCAACCCCATAGTCACCTTTGACAGGACTTAACTGTCCAGGTGTCCTTTACCTTTTTACCTACCAGGCTCCAATTCATTGAGATGAACTAGATTCCGGTGCCCTGCGCCACCCTCATAATTTGATTCTGATGTGCACTTCCACATTCCAGATAAAGTTGAAAGCTATATCTGCTCAGCCTCCTGGTACCAGGTACGAACATATTTTCTTGCAATGGGGTGCTTTCCGCTGATTTGAACGTGAGTGACCACCAGGATTTAGTGGGCCAAGGCAGTTCTGTATTTGGGGGGTCGATAGTGACTGTGAATTAAACAGATGGTGGCCAGAGGGCTCAATTGTCAGGGACTAGACTGAACAGGAGGAATGGGAAATGAGCCCTCGGTCTGATCGGCTTCTCTCAGAAGAGGAGGAGGAGTGGGAAGTTTCGCCCTCCCTGTCTCCAGCAGTTTCAGGAGGAGAGGGAGACAGGGATGATGTGCAGCTGAAGAAGGAAATCCCAAGTTAGGAGATGGTGGAGGATGAGGAGGGGGACGCTAGAGTGCAGTAAGCAGAGACCTCCCTGGAGAGTATGGGAGACCCTCCTAGTTCTAAGGCTCAAAGTTCCCTCTGCATTCAAGAACAGAGGATGCGAAGGGATGTGACTCCTGTGACTTTCCGTAGGTTTCCAGAATATTGTGGGAGACGGAAGAGGAGGGACTCAGAGAAGCTAATGTCTCCTATGCGTGGAGACATGGATCTTTTGTCTTGCAACCAGATGACTGAATAAAAAGCCATAAAATACTATCTGTTTCTTCTTCTTGACTCTGAGGCTACCAGGAGAGGGGAGAATACTCCACGACTGACATCAATAATAGAAGATTGCTATGAAATAATAATAAAAGTACACATGGGCATGAGAAGAGCCTGATGGATGAAGCCATTTAGTCCAGCATTCTGGTCACACCCCTTCCCCAGCCCTTCCCCTCAAAGAAAATGTTTTCCCCCTCCTTTGATACATGGCTGGTGCTCTCAGAGTTAACAGATCCAAAGCAGGTCCTTGAATAAAGCTTGAAATGTTATAGGAAACTTGACCACAAATAGCAAGTGCCCCTGGCAACTCTCCCCACCCTTTAATAGTCTTATTCTCCATGGAATACAGAACTATAGAGTTGAAAGGGACCCCCGAGAGTCTTATAGTGCAGGACTCACGGCCTAAGGCTATCTGATCTCTGTTTAGTAACCTCCAGTGCAGGACCTTCCGAAGTTGTAATCAACACATCTGAGAAAAATGGTTAATGATTTAATTGCAATAAAGTTTGGGGTATTATACCCCACCAGTGGAGTTTGCCTAGGGCAAAATTTGGCATTAAACATGCCATGCTCTGTTTTTAAAGTAAACAATGTTTGCAGAATGGAATGAATGTAAAGATGCTTCAAGAGCATTGCTGGGAAAATCTAACTTTAAAAGCTTCCTAATTGCCCTTTCAATAACAAAAGTGCCCCACATTTTACCCTCGAGTTCTGCTCTTTAAGCACATTCATTATGAAATTTAGTTAATGCTGGTTAACCATATATCAGCTGAGGTATGAGGTTAGCAAAGAACACTTCAAAGCCACTATAAAATCAATGCCGTCATGCAGTAGATTCAGGTTTTATTTTGTGTCTAATTTTTTCAGGCAGCAGTATTAAACTCCTTCTACCAAGGAGCCTATCTGCCCCCCGCCATTTATCCTTGGGTTGCCACATTTTAAAAAGTGAAAATCTGGACACAAAAGTCATCGAGCTTCTTTTGGCAAAGTTGTTGAGCTTCTTTTGCAAAATCTAAAATAATAATAATGAAGCTTTTGAGCTTTTTATAAAGGAAATCCACCAAAATCTACACTTCCGACTTGAGTTGCCATACGTCCAGATTTTCCCAGTCATTGCAGCGTTTTCTGCCCAAACACTGCTTCCGGTGGCTGAATCCTGGCTATGTCTGGGAAATTCCAGACATAAGGCAACCCTAGTAATCCAAAACTGCAATTTTTGGCCGGCCACGCTTGAATATGGGCAATAAAGGCATCCTGTTTGAAGTCCAATCAGGACAGGGGACACTTTTGTCCAAAAAAGGGTGACCCTGTTTTTTTAGGGACAGGTGACAACACTAGCCATGGGTTTCCGACTCCTGGTATACAGGATTTTGGCATGCTTGAAGGTTTTGATTTCTCTGAATTATAATATTAATCAACCTGATCATCATCCCTCAGACTAACATGCAAATTGGATTGGGTCTTCTCTGAACTTTCTGGTACAATTCTTGACTCAAAGGAAAAGAATCAAAATGTGTTAAAAATGCATACTTAAGGTCCAGTGTTTAGAACATGTGCGTATTTCGATAAATGTTTACATGAGGATTTTAAAAACAAATAAAACAAGCAAATAAACTGCAGATTTAGGGTGGAGTTCAACATATCATACTCTTCCAATTGTCCTATCAGTGCATGCATTTCAGCTTGCCAGAGAGAGAAAAATCTCCCTCCTCTTGCACACTGTTCTGGGGTCCCCCCCCACTTGCACATCACAGATCTGATTGGAGGGGACGTGAAGAAGGAGTAGGGAGGAAGAACGCCCTGTTCTGCTAGCAGGACTTGTTGCATTGGCTCCCACTAGCGCAACTACTTAAATTGGATCCTGCCCAAACATCAGAATGAGATGGAACAGATTTATGAATGACTATATGGACCTTTCAGAACCACTTGACTTTTAGCTTTCCATTCCAGCTTCAGCTTCCTTGTGTCTTTATGACTTTAGCACCATCAGAAAAATGACGATTGAAGTTCTTAATTGTGTGTTATCGTTGGGCGATGAAAAAGGAAGCCCTTTGAAAGTAGCACAGGGGAAAAAAATTGTTATTGTGGTGCGGCTTATTTCCTGCATGCAGAAAATCTGTTGTGATTTTGTGGCCTATTCCTGCCTGCTTTGTGTGCGCTCATTTGACTGGGGTGGTGATAGAAATCAGGCTAGGAATCGCTCTTTGATTTGTGTTACATTAAGCCCAGTTAATCATTTATTCGGCCGCTGCTAATAAAAACCAAATACTTCTCTTTGAAGAAGGGTACTAGAGAATGTTAAGTGCTTGCAATATAAAGTAAGCAGTGGTGCTGGCAAATCATCTCAGCAGCTGGGGGTATATTTAGGACCATATTTTGCCTTAAAGAGAATGAATGCTGCTTTAGTTAATGAAGGCCGCCCACCTAGGTTAAAGGTTGGAATCTGACCAAGAACTTGACATTGTCGAAGTAGCAATTCGTGGTCGTCTTCTTTTTATTTCTGCAACTTCCTCCTAAAAATCTGGCCACATCTTCCACCCTTGTATCAAAGGGAACAAGGTCCCAGTGTTAAACAGATTTAAAGAGGAAGAGACATGGTCATGTTTAATTTTCTCCTATTTATGCATTTTAAATGCGTGGAACTTTGATGATGGGGCAGGGAGAGCAACAACTGGTACCAGGCGCTATTTTTGGGTGGGATTCAGTCACATTCTGGCAAATTCAGTTGGTGCAGTTGAAACTGGTTTGGATGTCTCACTCAACAAACTCATTCCCCCCAAATATCAGACTTTTTGTGATAAGGAAAGTGATGAGGAGAATGCACTGGAATGTTTGCAGACCCTCCAAGTGTCCCTATTTTCCAAGGACAGTGCTGGATTTACAGAAGCCGTCCCAGTTTCTGATTTGATCCTCAAATGTCCTGTTTTTCCTTTGTACGTCCCTATTTCCACTGGAGAAATTTTGGAGGGTTTAGAATAGGACATCCTTATTTTCACTGGCGAAATATTAGAGGAGTAAGTGTGTGGGATAACACTTGCTTTGATGTAACCCACAGTTTGGCAGTCTTTCCATTCTTCTGAATTCAGATAAGTGTTCAGAGGGTTGGGGAAAACCTTTGGGGCAAATGAAAAGCCAAGGTCAAATTGTGAGGGCTGCAAGATCGGCCCATAACTCAGGTGAAGCATTGAATGGTAGAATGAGGAAATGTCCACATGGCAACTTTGACACTGTCTGTTTCAGGGTTGGGGAGACTTTCTCAAACTGTAGGCCGCATTTCCTTCTGGGCATTGTTCTGAGGACCAGATGCCAGTGGCAGCAAGCAGGAAGGCTGAGGGAAAAGCCGGAAAAGCAACAAGTGTGAAGTTCACCTTTTTACAGTAGGCAAGTTTCTGCATACACTCACACAACTCTTCTATCCTCCAAGGCGGCATGCAAGAAGCATTATCAGAGTTCAGGGACACTTTCCAGCCAGGCAGAAATACTCAAGGGTCAGTACAGGGTGTGGCTGAGGAAGAGGTATGCTCTATGGAGAGCCATATCTGAGGGCCAGATAGAGAGACATGGAAGGCCACATTGGGCCTCTGGTTCTGAGGCTCCCCATCCCTGGTTCATTTAGCACCGCAGTTAACCTGAATGCACCACAAATGCAAAGGATGTGTCCTTTGGTTAAGACAAGGCCGCCCTTTCTCACTCCGAGCCTGTAAAGCTGGTTAAACAGACTACATGCAAGGTTAATTGCGTCTTCTTCTTTGGCAATCACTCGTAGCCAAGTAAGATTGTCTTCCATGAACACGGTTTTAACAGTGAGTCTGTAAGTGACTGTGGAGGCCAATTCTGGATCCACACGTCCTTCCACAGTGGGGACATACATTTCTGTGCAGGAGTTGATCATGGTGAGGGTTTGCCAAGCGTGCCTTCCTCTTAGCACGTTTCTCCCTTGCGTCCTGAGTTCGAGTATCTCCAAAACCCATACCCATGACACCTTTGGTAAAGGTTGTTCTCCAATTGGAGCGCTTGCAGGCCAGTGTTTCCCAGTTGTCAGTGTTTATACTACATTTTTAAAAATTTGCATTGAGAGAGCCTTTAAACCTCTTTTGTTGACCACCAGCATTACACTTTCCATTTTTAAGTTGGGAATAGAATATTTGCTTTGGAAGATGATAATCAGGCATCCACACAACATGACCAGTCCAACGAAGTTGATGTTGAAGAATCATTGCTTTGACACTGGTGATCTTTGCTTCTTCCGGTACACTGGGATTAGTTCACCTGTCTTCCCAAGTGATGTGTTAAAATTTTCTGGAGACACCGTTGATGGAATCTTTTTTTTATATATATATATAAAAAGGTTAATTGCACACTGTTAATCACACAGCTGCAGAAATGGTTTTATTGTTCTATTAGAATTTGTACACAGAGGGGTTTGTCATTTTTTTAAGTTTGTCAAAAGTGTTTTATTGCTTTTCTGGTTTCTTCTATTTTTATGCCTCTTTGGTGGCTTCGTCCTACAAAGTGGTTAATTAATGCATTTGCAAATGCAATGGTGTCAAACCAATCATCATCAGTGGCTTGGAATCCCAGCAGCGGAAACAAAAAGAGAGAGAAAGGATCAGTGGGATGATGAAGCCAAATGAGACAAGGCACAATTCATGATGGTGAACAGCTACATGGCCGGCTTTTAAAAAACAAAATTGGATGCACTAGGGCCCTGAATCTGCACCGGACGGTGGGTGGAGTGAGGGCTGTAAAATGTTGTCTACCCTGTTGCATCCAAGGTCTGGATCACAGAGCCCACACCTGCCATTTCCTCTCTTTAAAAATGCCCTTCACAAGTTTGCTAAATAGGGTTGCCATGTGTCCTCCTTTTCGAGGACACCTCATTTTTCAGAGGTAACATTTGAGACAAATTGTGTTTATTTGCTTTGAATGCCCTCTTTTTCGCTCTTCAAAATATGGCAACCCTAAAATGTTGCGTACTGTCTTGTTTGGCCCTCACCATCTTTCTTTATGTGTACTGCAGGACTCAGGAGCACACTAGATGAACACCGAAATCTTTCCGAAAGCGGGGGAGGGAACATGCTGCCTTGAGTCATTGGATGTGCATGTATCCATCTGCACAAAAAACGGCTAAGCTAGTGTTGTGAGGGGGAAGTTCAGGACTGTTTATGAATGAGCATGAGACAAAAGAAAGGGCTCATTCAGATGATGGTGCATGATTTCCAGAACCAACTTTCCGCAAGATGTGCTGAGGGCCATTGGTTTCAGGTGCTTTAAAAGTGGATCAGACAAGTTCGTGAAGGGCAGAGCTGTCTATAGCTCTTAGTCGTGAAAGCTAAATAAAAGTTCCATGGCTAGCATGTCACTAAATGCCAGTTATTTTGGAGGGGGGCATCATTAGGGGATGAAGGATTTTCAGAGTTACTGGAAACCCAAATCCCATACTAAATGGATCCCACTTGGTCTATCTGTCAAAGTTCTTGTTATGTAATTAAATATGTCTAAGCAACCTGAGACAGGAGAGGCATGGTTTATTGCAGGGAGGGCAGATGAAGGCATCCAGTTTTGCTGCTACAGGTGCACCATGACATTTTTTTCTCTCTGTGTTCCTACCAGCGGTCATACCTCCTCTGGTCACTGCCGTGGATACACGACCTGACTGCCTGTCTCTAAGCACTAGGTCTCGTCTGCATGACATTCCCACACGGCAGGGTTAATGCTGCCGGCCTTCATGTCACATTTGCAGACATCTTTGTAACACAGAATAGGGACTCAGCTACATTAGTCAAAAAACAGTGTTTTGAATGCGTTATAAACATGAAACACCAGATGGCGATGGAGAGCAAAACAAATCATTGCAATTTTCCATAGCGTTTTCTCTCTCTTTTGTTATAACAATTTAATTTCTGACTTATTTATAGCTCCACACACCCCCGTGTGTAGATCTACCTTTGATCCGCCAGTAGACCTAGTGCCTGAAGCCAGCTCCTTGTAGAGGTTGTTGAAAGATACAGTTGGAAACTGATAATCTCCAGCTGTATCACTGAATGAAGAAATAGCTAGGTGCCTAATGCCACCACATAAAGAAAAAGAAAGGTTTGGTATACTAGCTGTTATCTATATATCTATAGATATAGGATTTTAATATCTATTTAATGTAAGATTTAGTTAGCACCAATAGTAAAACAGCAATGTGTTCCAATGCAACGTAATCCCAGCATCCTTTTCCCATATTTTTTTCCCTCGCTTTTATGGCAGTGTATCAAACATGGCCAGTTTCCCAGAACCTTTCAAGATAATTTTATGTCTAGTCAACAGATTGGATGCTTGCAGTATAGGAAGCCGCGTCTTGGCTCAGAAAACACATCTGAACAAAGTTGCCTAAAATATGACAAAGTATTTATGAACTTACTAGGGGCTGCACCCAGCTTGCTCTGCTCAACAACCTCTCTGACATTCTCCCTCCTTCCACCTCATGCAACTACAGTGGTACCTCAGGTTACATACACTTCAGGTTACATACGCTTCAGGTTACAGACTCCGCTAACCCAGAAATAGTGCTTCTGGTTAAGAACTTTGCTTCAGGATGAGAACAGAAATCGTGCTCTGGCGGCACGGTGGCAGCAGGAGGCTCCATTAGCTAAAGTGGTGCTTCAGGTTAAGAACAGTTTCAGGTTAAGTACGGACCTCCGGAACGAATTAAGTACTTAACCTGAGGTACCACTGTATTAAGTTTGCTTTTCACCTTCCCAACCACTTTTCTGAAGCTACTTCTCTCTTCTCTTCCACAGTCCTACTTTGCGCCAGTTTTCACCTTCACCCCATGTCTATGCCTCCCCCTCCTTTTGTACAACGCCCCCCCATTACACACAAACCACCCACATGGTAACCTCCTGCATCTTCCTCCCCCCACATACTGCAACTTCTAAGCACTGTCTTCCACCCCAGGGTTATTTCCCCCCGGCTGTAACTTCCCAGAACTCAGTTCTGGCACCTCTCAGATGGGCACCATTGCCATTATAAGAGAACAAGGGAGGTGTTCCTGGTGAATTCTGGCCCCTCTTTTTCTAGAAAAATACCACTGTTCCTAGAAGAAATAATCCTTCAGATATTATGTAGATAGAAATGTACCCCCTCACAATCCCTCTTTCAAAGAAATATGAACAGCTCTGTGAAGACACATTTTAGCCAGAAGTGATTTCCAGGACATTCTGCAAGTGATTTGTTCTCAAATATTTAGAAAGGCTTTTTTCAGCAAGGTTTTTCCAATACCGTGAAGAGCAATAGGTTAGGAAAGGTTAGATAAACAGTGTTACATCCATTACATATGTTTTAGACATTCAGAAGCCTTTCCCTATTGCAAAAATAATAAAAAAGTAGAGTGCTGTTTTATAAGAGATATTTTGGCCCATGGTTTAGTTGTAAATCTAGCCAAATATTATATTGGATTTAATCTGCAAAGCTCAGGGGATGTCAGTAGCACTTTGAAGGGAGTTGTGGGTGGGGGAATCAGATATAATGCTGGTCACATGGAAGTGTGTATAGGGTTGTTATTTTTACACACACAGCTGCCGCTGCATCAGATCTCTTGTTAGCAGCACAGTCTTACCTGCAAAACATTTAAATGGAGCAATTATGCCTTTAAATTGCTCCCTGGACAAACAAGGCACTTGTCTTAAGTGCCTTGGCACACATATCACGCAGGGTTCCCATATGATGAGACAAGCAAAGAAAACTTAACCATGCCTTGGGTTGCCTGCCTGTTTTCCATGTGCAGCTATAATGAGCCTTGAGGGCACTGCAACTAACCTTGCTGCTGTGGTCAATTAACCTTGCAGTTAACATATGCTAAGCCATGCATCTTTCCCTCTGCCTATATATTTTTGCTCGTGATACATTGATTGGGTGTGTTTGTTTTTAAGAGTCTGAAAAACATTATATATCAGAAGGAGGTCGGCAACAGTCCGTGTACCAAGATTATTCATTTGCCTAGTGGTTTACTTCGTAAAATGTTTACTGATTTCATTGCTATTGTGGTTCTGCTTAACTAAGCTTAAATATAAGGGTCAATTAAAAGTTTTACATTATTATGTCTCATGGATAGCTCAGCTGGTTAGAGCATGGTGCTGATAACATCAAAGTTGCAGGTTCAATCCCCATAAGAGGCAGTTGCATATATCTACATTGAACTAGATGATCCTCAGGGTCCTTTTCAACTCTATGATTGATTGATTGATTGATTGATTGATTGATATATTTATTTATTTCCTGCCCTGTCCCATAAGATCCCAGGGTGGGTTACAAATATGTAAAAATTCAATATCAAAACCAAGTGTTCCTGCTTGCTTTGAACTCTTGCTTCCCTTTGTACCAACATATCCCAAAGCACAATAAATGCCTAGGTTTGCACACTTAAGAATGTAAGAGGAGCCTTGTTGGTTCTGACCAATGACCAGCATCCTGTTCTCACAGTGGCCAACCAATGGGGGAAGCGTAAAAGCAGATCCCAAATGCAATAGACCTCTCCCCAGCTGAAAACTCCTGTTTTTTCACCTCTAGCTTAAATGAAGCCCAAGTTCCTTAGCTGATGACTAATGTATTGAGAATGATTTGTATGATCTGTCCCCATGGCTTGCATTCTTAAATTTCATGCATCATTTATGGATCTTTGACTTGTACCATTCCCGTTATTGTAAGTCTGCTCACCTTCCGGGTGCGGCGGCATTGGGGGCAGAGGTTGCTCCCCACAGGACCTGATGAGGGGTTTCTGGTCACTGGGAACCCATCTGAGCTGATGAGGAGGGCATAACACCCCTTTCGCCTATCAGGTGCTGGATCCAAGCCTGCCTGCGTGATTGGCCAATGGCAGGCAGGCTTGGACACAGGGCTGACCTTGGGGGGTAGTCCTGATGGAGCAGGTAGGCTTCCTTCAGTCCACCTCCAGGGCATTTAAGGACCTTGCCCCTGGACCTGTTACCTGGTCTATTCCTGTGACTTGTGGCTTGCGTTCTTCACTTTTAGATATAATTTATGGATATTTGATTTGTATCGTTCCGGTCGTCGTAAATCACCTTCAGACTTTTTTGTATAAGGTGCTTAATAAGTGAAACAAAAAGATTATGATACTGCATTTATGTCAGTTCATCTCCTTTTACTCTTGTCTCCATCTCTACTCACTGCCCTTCTCAATTTCTGCTATCTCTCCTCTGCAGAATTTCTGTGTGGTAGCTGTCCACCGTCCAATTAGAAAGAGGGTATAGCAAATCGATTTTTAAAGTAGCTGTTCAGTCATAAGCGTTCCTTTGAATGCCACACAACATTCCCCAAGCAGAAATGATTTACAGTGAAGTGAGGAAGAACCAGTAAAGGAAAACAGATATCATCTCTCCCACCCGTATCCACCCCGAGCTAAGATTTATACTTGTTGTGCCAGAGTGACAGCAAGCAAATCCAGTTCTTCCTGCAAAGGCAGCTTCCAGCTCTCCAGCTTTCTATCTTTAAATGACAAACACTGCTTGGAAAGAAATTTCCACGCACCTGAAGCTTGACCCCAAACCACAAATAATGGGACAGGAAATGGCTTCCCAAATACTCTTTATATATACAGTTTTTCCATGGTACATGATTTGTAACACAGCATTACTGGTGTGTGCCGACGTCTCGAAAAGGTCATAATTCTTTCACTAGGTTAATTCATTCCAAACACGTACACACATGGAAGATGTGGGAGAGGGATCCCTTTTGGGATTATTCAGTGTATATTCAATCCATTTGAAATATTCTGATCTGAATAGTTCATTTGTCCTGAAGAGTTTTCACAGGGTTTTCATAGTCTACAGCAGGCTTCCTCAACCTCGGCCCTCCAGATGTTTTGAGACTACAATTCCCATCATCCCTGACCACTGGTCCTGCTAGCTAGGGATCATGGGAGTTGTAGGCCAAAAACATCTGGAGGGTCAAGGTTGAGGAAGCCTGGTCTACAGGCCATTTTGCAGTCTAAAGCTTTCGCGAAAGATGAGACTCCAAGCCCTCCTCCACCATTTGCATACTTATAGTTACCTAGAAAATGTAATGGTGTGTACACCGATATAATCACAGTTTTATCCTGTCGAGGCTGTTGCCATAAAGGGGGAAAGTGGATTGATACAGAGGCAGCGTCACAATGGACTTTGGTGGTTGGAAAGTGATTTAGTTTTCACCAGTACCACAGTTGCTAATGTAGCACTGGGGAGAAATGAGCTTGTTACTGAGGTAAACTTTTATTTTTAAAATGATTAATGGTATGTGTGTGCGCGCGCGCACACACACACAATTCATGTAGTTCAGTTTATAAACATACATAAGTTCCTAGAAAAGGCACTTTATTTGCATACACATTATAAGAAAAAATACATTGATGCTAAATAATAATAATAATAATAGTAATAATAATAATTTATTTTATCTTATCTCATCTCATTTTATTTTATTCCCCACCCATCTGGGTTGCCCCAGCCATTCCAGGCCGCTTCCAATAAAGCAATATTCATTATTTTAATGAACAGTAAAATTAAACAACAGCAAATAATAATGAAACAGTTTACACTTATCAATTACAATAAAGAATTGCTATATAATAAATCTAGTGCATGCTCACAGCTTGAATACTTTAAACCCTTTCTTTCAAGTGAAATTCTATGTGATTGGCAAAAACTGACTTGAAATCTTATAATGGGAATTCATTACAGAACCGTACCTGTACAACCAGTTAGCTAGGGAGTGCAATGTACTCTGTGGGTTTGGCCAGAGTTTGTGGTGTGTGATGCATTGCTGTTGCCTCTCGTCCTGTGGATTTGCACCTTTCCTTTAAAACGAAAACTTGCCAAGTGGAGTCTTCTCTTTCTTCAGTCGTAAAGCTGGCTGCAATACAGCTGGGATTGTTTGCACTGTACTGAGAATTCTGCGCTAAAATGTCTGTTGGTAAAGGAGAGTGCTTCTGCTGTGCTGTGATCCGATTCCTGACCGGCCTCCCAAAGCAGGATTGCAAACGAACAATGAACGCTGCAGAAAGAACGACATCTGACCTTCACGGTTTCTATCATTTCTCCTTACTCCCCTGCCCTTCCAAGTATTTGAGACTTTCTGCCATCCCACATTGTTGTATGTTGAAAGCATTAAAGAGACATAATGGAGTAGCTTCTCTGCTGGTAGAAATTGGGCTCCAGCTCTGCAGCCCTGAATGGGTCTGTGTCTAGCTTTTGAAGCACCTGGGGATACAACTCAGTGTTTTCAATTTTCTCTTCCTTTCTGTGCTTGAAAGGATACGGAAAGACTGAACTTTTTCTTCTTCCAGGGCAAGGCCAACACAGCATTGCATCCCATTTCTACATGAAAGCACCTCTTTTTTCCCCAGCATGAAAAACTAAAAGCTTTTATACTAAAGTGTATTGAGCAGCTTTCATTATAAAGACACCTTTCGGGGGACTAAAATGGTCGCTTTTGCACTTGGTACAAAAATTGGATATTCACATGCAGTTCACTCCCTTAAAAGTGGAGTCATTACATAGTTCTGTTGCAGCAATCTCATATGCTATGGGAGGGGAAACCTCGAAATACATAGAGGGACGCAGAATGCCCTTGAAAATGCTATTTCCACATCTTTGTGGCTTCTTACCATCCCTTTAGTTCCACCATCCAATGTCTTATTTAACGAAGCTTTGGCATATGTGTGTGGAACCTGTAGTCTTCCAGATATTGTTGGACTATAATTCCCATCATCCTTCATCCATGCTATGCTGGCTGGGGATGATGGGAGTTGGAGTTCATCTGAGAGGCACAGGTTTCACACTCTGGCCCTGTATGTTCAGGATTCATCCTCATATCCTTTGGTACATATTGAAGACAACATAAATGTACCGTACTTCCCCCAATCTTGTAAGAAGGTTACTATGTATCCTTGGAAAAATACATCTCCACCCTCTCTCATTTCAAGACATGTTGAGTTGTGATCTAGACACACATTAAACTACATCCGAGCTGAAATTTTGAAAGAAGATTTTCTGATGAAGTGCTGAAGAAATGTTGGTTGGGGCTAAATGGCATGCTGAAGTAATTCCGATGGAAGAAGAAATAGACAATGTTGCTAGAGTGTCAAAACTCACTGAAATGGTATGATTAAGAGAAGGCAGGCAAAGCAAAGAATGATTTGAGAGATTCTGGTCCCCTTTTATTAATTACATGAAAGAGGAGTACAATTCGGACCCATATAAAAGTTTTTCACTGTTGCTATAATTTATGTATATGTCGTATATAAGTTTGTACTGTTTTATTCCTGGCAGCCAACTGATGAGGGTGGTGTATGATTGCACCTGGCTGAGTAGAGGGAAAACTTGCATATGATGTGTGGAGAGAGAGAGAAAGAGAGGGAGAGAGAGAGAGAGAGAGAGAGAGAGAGAGACAGAAAGAAAGAAAGAAAGAAAGAAAGAAAGAAAGAAAGAAAGAAAGAAGATTTCACTTCACTTTTAATTTGAATATTGCCTCTCTATATTACTATACACAAGGCGATGTACAGCAACAAAACATACAACAAAGAATGTGCGCCTTAAAATAATCTGAACTAATACAAAAAGTCATAATAAAACAAAACTTTAAAATGTAACGACATATCAAATAAAGTAATGTTAGAATATAACAGTACAAAATAAAATTAACTCTCAAAACAACAGCAAATAAGCAGAAATTCACTGTTAACAAATACAATAAATAATTACTAAACTATGATCAATAAAAATAACTGCAAGTGACAGACACCCCTATTTGCTGCGGGTTGAAAGCAGCATCTTTCTCGTAATCAATAAGGGCACAGGGTGTCTTTTTCTCTTTCTGGCAGGGGATCAGCATCTGTGGGAAGGAAGGCACGGTGGCCAATTTCTCCTTTAAGTTGGCCATTAACCGTTTGAGGCTTATACGCCTGTCGGTCTTCAGGCAGACAGCATCAGTATGACGTCACAATGGCCAGCCATTCTTTTGCAGCTGCATCAGCCTTGGGGGCGGCGGGTGGGCAGGGGCAACACTGATCAGCTCTTTTCCCACTGAATCCAGCCACCGCCTGTGGCAGCATGTATCTCCCTCTCAGACAGAAGCAGGGAAACTCAGACAATTACTCTTTCTCGGTGAGGTGAGTTTCTGCAGGAACATATGGGAACCAGCGGCAGAGCATATGCCCGCGATGCTCAGGGTGGGCGCGCTCCCAAGGGGGGCATGGCGCAGAGGGTGCCCTCCCAGGTTTGGGATAGCTGCTCAGGTGCACGCGCCCTGCAGCCGGGGGCCAAGCGAGCCGCCCATGGGGGCCGAGTAAGCTGCCCATGGTGGACATTCGGCGCGCCACCTGCCCGCGACTCCGAAGCCTCCCCCAAGCTGTCAAAACAAAGGGGGAAGGGGGGAAGGCTGCAGCCAAAGTGGTGCAGCTCCCCCCTTACCCCGACAGCTCAGGTAGGTTTGTTAAAGGTAGCCTAGGCTGGTAAATCAAATATGGATGGCAAAGACACACAGGAAGGCCTTATTGCAACTACTGTCTCTCTAGATCTGCATTTTCCTTCCTGTAAATGTCTTTAAAAGTCAGACTGCCTTCCAGAAGTAATGCAAGACTTTTTAAAGCAGGAATTGGTAATTGGAAATAATTATGGGACAACTTTAATGGGGTAGTTAGGGGAAGAGGGGTCTCTTAGACCCATGTAATGATGTTCCATGCGTCCAAATAATTATGACTCTGATGTATTGCTGATGGAATACTTTGCCATAAAGGAACACTGTGCTCATATTTTCTCTTTACTGTATGTGGGAATGTGCCTTAGGGCTGAAAAACCTCAATTTCTTAAAGAAGCCAGTTCTTTTTCCGATTCATTTCAGCTGCTTTTAATTTTTATAGTTTATGTTGTGTTTCCCTTGTGCGACCAGTGCAGCCTCTGGCAACAAATGGATTCCTGAACATTCCAACTGCTCAGAGAACATAGCTCTCAGAATATTTGCAGTCCAGCTTCTATTAGAGAAGGAAATGTCAGTTTGACTGGGATTAAAGCCTCACAAAGGCTAGGCACAGTAGTTGCTGTGTGGGATTGTCTGACTGGGAACAGGTCAGAAAGTATGGTAGCTGAGGGGTGGATATGGATTATTCATTGGAAAATTAATTCAGACAAGATAGAAGTACTTTTGGCGTGAGAACGTCTGAGATGGGGCCTTTTCTAAAGTGGCACTAAGACTCTGAGACTCCCCGCATTTGGCCCCTTTGCTGCCAGTTTTCCCAATTTCCTGCCATTTTAATTGAGAGGGCATTTTTGGAGCCCTCTGGAGAGCAAGGGTCTTGGTTTTTCTGCCAACTGGGTATGCTTATTGCTGTTTTTTGTCTCCCCCCCTTTTGCTTTAGTCCTGTATTTGAGGCTCTTCATTGTGAGCTTGTCAACATGCTCTTGCAAGAAAGGTGGGATACGAATATTTCAGTGAGTCAGTCAAACTAAAGGTGACTGAAGAACGTTTGTAGAATCGGCAGCGGATTGAGAAATGTGAACTTTGGGGAAGCCTAGATTGAAAAGGCAGTTGAAAAGGGAGCCAGCATGGTGTAGTGGTTAAGAGTGGTGGACTCATAGGCTGGTGAACTGGGTTCGCGTCTCCGCTCCTCCACATGCAGCTGCTGGGTGACCTTGGGCTAGTCACACTTCTCTGAAGTCTCTCAGCCTCACTTACCTCACAGAGTGTTTGTTGTGGGGGAGGAAGGGAAAGGAGAATGTTAGCCACTTTGAGACTCCTTAATATAGTGATAAAGTGGGATATCAAATCCAAACTCTTCTTCTCTTCTTGAGAAAGGCAGAGGAAGCTAGGGAAAAGCCGAGAGAGGGGGCTCTGAAGAAACCTCCACAGAACTTCAGCTCAGGAGGGGGTGAGTGGAGTCATACTGTTTAGGCAGAGGCCAAGGAGGGACAGGAGTACTAGGGAGACTGACAGGGAGGGTGGCTAAAGGATGGAGGCCAAAGCAGGTCATGGGTTGAAAAGCACAAACTTGAGAAAGAATAGGCAATGCAGACATTGCTGAGAGGAAGTACTATGCAGAAATTACGATGTGCAAGAAGTCTTCCTATCATCAAGAAGAAAAGAAAGAGAGGGATGGAGACTAGGGATACAGAGTTGCTTCATCAAGACTTCAGATTCTAGAGTCACTTTTGCACCTGACAGGCTTCTTGTAACTTTAAAGCAGGTCTGGGGAACCTGTGGCTTGCCAGACATTGATGAATTCCAGCTCCCATCATCCCTGACCATTAATTGTGCTGGCTGGGGCTGAAGGGACTGCGAGCCCAACAACTTCTGGAGGGCCTCAGGTTCCTGGCTTTAAAGGGTTGCATTGGAAAGGGAGCAGTGGCCACAAAGTTTCAGTACTGTTAGTGAAACTTAATAACCTTGCAAACATAAGGGGAGGACTAAGAAGAATCAGTTGGCGGGAATGAAACATGGATACTTAATTTTACATTTTGAATTGAACTGACCAGTCAAAAAAACATTTTATCTTTATCTTTTTACTACTATTTTTTTTACTACTTTTTTTTTTTTGAGGGACGCGGGTGGCGCTGTGGGTAAAAGCCTCAGCGCCTAGGGCTTGCCGATCGAAAGGTCGGCGGTTCGAATCCCCGTGGCGGGGTGCGCTCCCGTTGCTCGGTCCCAGCGCCTGCCAACCTAGCAGTTCGAAAGCATCCCCGGGTGCAAGTAGATAAATAGGGACCGCTTACTAGCGGGAAGGTAAAAGGCGTTTCCGTGTGCGGCTCTGGCTCGCCAGAGCAGCGATGTCACGCTGGCCACGTGACCCGGAAGTGTCTTCGGACAGCGCTGGCCCCCGGCCTCTTGAGTGAGATGGGCGCACAACCCTAGAGTCTGTCAAGACTGGCCCGTACGGGCAGGGGTACCTTTACCTTTACCTTACTATTTTATTATTATTATTTGAACACACCAGAGACAGCAGGATAGCTGAAAAAGCTGAAAAATGTCTTAGTAAATATGAATAATCTGAGCTTTACTGTTCAGCCAGGTGGGCCTCTGGCATTGCATCTGCTAAGCACCCCATCAGCGCTGCAGAAACCTTTGCCACAGAAGCAAAAATAGCAGCGCTTGTTTTCATTTCACCTGTGTGATCACACGGGCTATGTTTCTTAAGATCTCCGCACCAGACTCAATGTGCTAGACCTCTTTAAATCGGGTGGGGGGGAACACCCCCCCCCAATGTTATGGTACTGGTCAGTATTATGTTGCTGCTTTATGTAATCCAAATGGTCATTTCCAGACAGAAACGTCTAAACAAAGAATATTGACACAGATGTGAGGGTTAGGAAAGCACAACGTAGCTTCAAAGGGGTGTGTGTGTAGGGAATGTCAGGTGAGTAATTTGAAATTATCCTGTATCATTTGTAGCCCAACATGCTGAGGACAGTTCTGAGACATGGGGCTGGGTGGGTGAGTAGGTGGAGCACGACCCTCCATCCCTGATGGGCTGCATTAAGTGTGATGAGTCACAAGTTGTACAAGCCAAGTTTTAATAGATGTTTTCAGAACAAACGGCAGTTTTGTTTGGAAGAGGTTTCTGAGGCTTATGAGGCTTGAACCCTCGGTGACGGTTCATTTAAAATAGTTGTTTTACAGCAGGAGCCGCCCACTGATTCTTGGGAATCGTGGGCACATTTGCAAACAGGAAAAACCACAATCGCACATCTGCATGTGCTCACACAAACATCTGGGCCACTAGCAGTGGCATAACGTGGTGATGGGGGCACAGGGACAGCTGCCCTGGGTGCAAATTTGTTAGCAAAATTTCAACACCTGGTGCTGACTCAAGACAGCCGTGTGCTTCTGTCACTGGGCTCTGTTGAAAAGGGCTTCTCCATGCAAACCATGAATTGACATCCCCAGACAACAAAATGACTCTTCTTTTCTTTTTCTTTGTAATCTTTATTTCTTTTTTAATGTTTACAAAAAACAGAAAATAAATTAATCTTCTCTGTATCGTTCCAATTTTAGTATATGTGCTGCCGAAGCGAGCACGAAAATAAATTAATCCTTTCACCCACATATACGAAAAAGAAAAATGATACATAGAAGAAAATATGAAAAGAAAAATAAAATAAAAAAATAAAAATATATTTGTCAAATGCACAAAATTATTTAAAGAGTGCAAACCATATTGAATATTCTATACCCAAAATTCCTAGAAATACATTACCTTCATATTTCATCTTTTCTTTTCTTTTGTACCGTCACATTCTTTCTATTTCACTAAGCTGGATTGAGTCCCTTATATGTTAATTGACTTCCCCCTATCTCTTTGCAGTTTCCACATTTCTCTTACATTTAAATAATCTGCATTCCATTATTAAAAAAGAAAATTCCCTTATATCTGTGAAGTTAGTCTAGGCACAGCCAAGTGTTGTTGTTGGAACCATATTTTGTCATAATTTTTAAAGCAATCCCATTCTTTTTAACCCTGTCGCCTGAGTGATTTCTTATTAATTCTGTCATTTTGGCTAGCTCAAGGTACTCACACAACTTTAACTGCCATTTGTCTTTTGTTGGTGTTAACTCATTTTTCCAGTATTTTGCTATTAACATTCTGGCTGCTGTTGTTGCATAAAGAGACACTTTTATTTTCATTTGGAATGCTTATCGTTAAAATGCCTAATAAAAAAGCTTCAGGTTTCTTTAAGAATGTATATTTTAGCTTTTTTTAAAAAGTTCCTCATAAATCATGTCCCAAATTTTTTCGTAATTTGGGGACAAGTCCACCATATGTGGAATAAGGTTCCTTCATTTTGTTTGCATCTCCAACACTTGTTGCTATTATTTTTATTTATTTTAGCTAATTTGGATGGGGTCAGGTACCATCTGTAAGTCATTTTCATAAAGTTTTCTTTAACCAGATAGCACGCAGTAAATTTTAAGTCTTTTCCCCATAATTCTTCCCATTCGACTCTTCTTTTCTTATCTGTGCTGCTGTGATCTCCTGGGTGATGTGGATGCCATTAGGTAGTTGAATGTGCATGCCTGCTTGTTCCGTTGCCCCTTCCTCTCACCCCCTGCATAGCCCCGGGTGCTGCTAACCCATGCTACACCACTGGCCATGAGACATTAGCCTTATGAAAAGCATTTTCACTTTCTACAAGTCTAATTTGGGAGGACAATTTTCCTGGAGGGTTAATCTCTCCTTCCTAGTTGCAAAGCCCAGAAAGATCACATACCCCAGCTGCGATGGTGCGCACTTTCAGGTGTGTAGGGAAGCAACACAGGTGGGGAGTAGAGGGGTATTTCTTACCTCCTCTGCTACATCCCACCCACCATAATGGTCCCTCCTCCATTGTAATTGTAGCAGAAGGCTTCTTTGCACACATGACCACTTTAGCACATGGCTGAAGTGGGTGCCACGTGCTGAAAGAGTCGTGAATTCTTCCTGCATGTCCATTGGAACAAGTGTCAAAGGTTACGTTTCATTTCTTCCTTTGTGCATTTCCCACAAATGAGAGTTAACAGAGGTGTCAACCAGTGTCAACACCACAGTACAAAGGGAGCAAGGCTCTCAAAAACACGCGTATGTATGGTTTCCTCAGATGTCTGGCCTCCAAATCTGACAGCTCTTTCTTTTTAAATGTTGCAGGTGAGTTTTCTTTTCTGTAACAGTGAGCTGCTGACCCCCTGAACTGAAGCGGCATTTCTGCCAGCTTAATTAGCTGTGCTGATAAGAGGAATCATTATGAAACCTTAAAGATGTTCTTGGTGATACTCAGCACACAGATGCTCCCCATGGACTGGCCTTAACCGGCTCCACATGCTGTTCTCGCTGATATGTCAGCTACATTTATTAGCTCAGGAAATGAAAAACACCACCAATGCCCCCTTATTTAACCATACATCTTTTGCCCTTCTGTGATTTTTTTGACCTATTCTTAACTGCTCTGGGTTTGGTTTTCTTTTCTTTTCAGCGTTACACTGTGCATTCAGATTATGTCCAGCTCTACTTCATAATGCATTATTGGATAAATATGACGTGCAGCGTAAATTAATAATGCAGAGTCTTCTTCAGTAAAAGAATAAAAGCTTTACTGAGTTAAAATAAACTCATGTGCAAATACAGTGGTACCTCTGGTTACGAACTTAACTCATTCCAGAGGTCCGTTCTGAACCTGAAACTGTTCTTAACCTGAGGTACCACTTTAGCAAATGGGGCCTCCCACTGCTGACGTGCCACCAGAGTGCGATTTTTGTTCTCATCCTGAGGTAAAGTTCTTAACCTGAGGTACTACTTCCGTGTTAGCGGAGTCTGTAACCCGAAGTGTTTGTAACCCGAGGTGTTTGTAACCCGAGGTACTACTGTAACAGCATGGCGAACAGAAGATTAAACTAGCTTCAGAGCATACACAGAGTTACTGAGTCACACAGAGTCTCCATTGAGCACAGGCTTCACAGAGTACAGGCTCCACCTTACACACACAGAGACATAGACTGAGAGAGACACTGAGTCTGCCTGCAAGCAGATACAATACTTATACAGTGGTACCTCAGGTTACATACACTTCTGGTTACATACACTTCAGGTTACAGACTCCGCTAACTCAGAAATAGTACCTCGGGTTAAGAACTTTACTTCAGGATGAGAACAGAAATCGTGCTCCAGCGGCGTGGTGGCAGCAAGAGGCCCCATTAGCTAAAGTGGTGCTTCAGGTTAAGAACAGTTTCAGGTTAAGAACGGACCTCTGGAACGAATTAAGTACTTAACCCGAGGTACCACTGTACAGGGAATAAGTCATCCTCAATATGAGTCACAGTGATTCAGCATGCTAAATGATTCTGCAGCTTTTCAGCATTTCACAACATTTATAGACTCCTTTACTGCTTCCTTTACTGCTTCTGCTCTCAAATACCTTTGTCACATGACAAAATATGTTTTATGGTCCCTTTTTGGAAGTGGAACAGGCACCTTGCACCACAGCCTCAGAACTGGGACTCTATAGCTTCCGTCCTGAAATAGCTCAGTCAGCAGAGCATGAGCCTTTTAATCTCAGGGTCTTGGGTTTGAGCCCCACATTGGGCAAAATTTTCTTGTATTGCAGAGGGTTGGACTAGGTAACTCTAATGGTCCCTTCCAATTCTACAACTCTATTAGTCCCATGGCTGAATGCTTCTCCACCTATCCAAAACTTTCAAGACCTGGCAGGTCAAGATGAGTCCCCTGTTCCTCCCTGCCTAATTCCCACCACCTTCATCTTCACATCTCATCTCTTAGGCATACTCAAAATCTTAAGTAATCATTTGTCTCTGTGTGGTTTCTATTTTAACATCAGTGGTAACCTTGGGAATAAATTTCGCTCTCGACATCAGCTCATCCAGTTATCTGATTGGTTGCTCTCACTTGGCAACATTGTGATCTAATGCATGAGCTCAATAGTCAAGATGGTTTAAAACCTTAGAACCTCACTCATATTGCAAAAGTGGGATGAGACATCCTTAGAGGAGGGAGAGAGGCAATTTTTTTGCCAATCTCCCACCTTTCCCGCTTACTCACTACTATTGCCGCCTCCACCTCTAGATGGGCGAAATATGCAAAGCACAATGCGTGAGTGTGCCTGAGCTGGATTCAACCATTAGATGACAAATCAGGTTGAAACTGGCTAGTTTTGTGTCCTGATTAGTAATTTATAAAATGTCTTTTCATACATGCAATGCTCAAAGTGTTTATCATAGCTCTACTCTTGTTGGGAAGACATAATGGATTTCATAAAAGGTTTGGTATTTTTGTCCAAGAGGTATTTTTCACTCGTAAAATCTTCAGTGTCTATGTGTGTGCGTGTGCGCGCAAGCCACCCACTCAAGCTATTGAAAATGCACATACAAAGAAAGATAATTTGTGTCTTCCAGCCAAATGCAAGTGAAAGGCGTTTGTGTACAATTTACCTTGGTGTGATAGATGCAGATATAATGAAATAAGCAGCACATAAAGAACTTTGTCAGGACATCCATTACTCAAATGGAACTTGAAATCTCAAAGGAACCAAAGAAGCACCACACACATAGTGGACTGTCAACATACCTTATCACAGGCAAGATCAGCATTAAGAAAAGTTAGCTGCATTTTCTGAGCAGATTTTTTTTTAAACTTCCCTTAAGATCCCATCGCAGGCTAAATCAAGGGTAATAACTTGGTCTGCTACTGTATAGATCAGTTAAATTACTATTTATTTTTTTTAAGTGCATGCAATTTTAAAAACTTTCCAAAACACAGCTTTTCCCAAACTAAAAACGACAGCCAAATTTACCTGGGGCTAGAAACAGGTGGTATGTACTACTGCCACTCAAGTCTGAAAAGGCATGTCGGAGGCAGAATTGTAAAAGTGTTTTCTCATAAATGGATCTACAGTAAAAACCAGTATGGTCCTAAAAGAAGGATGGAGATGAATTGCTCATCTTTACCAATTTCGCCAACGAGCCCTTGGAATCTGGTTGACTATACAGCTGGGCAAGGTTTTGCAATGGGTATCCAGGGCACCACTTGGCAGAATGAACAGAACACGACAGGCCTGGTTTATCACATGTTGAAGTAAGTGAAGTAATACTTCCAATGAGATCTCAGAAGGTCATCAAAAGCAGAATCTAAAACTGTCCAGCTGCTCCAGTGGGTTGAAACAAACTTACCTCTGGATGAGGACTGCAGTGCTCTCAGTCAGTGTTTTGCATGCACGAACCCATTGCAGTGCAATGCATTACAGTGGTACCTCGGGTTAACAGTGGCGTAGCGTGGGTTGTCAGCACCCGGGGCAAGGCAAGTAATTTGCGCCCCCTAACCCGTGGATTTGCGCTCCCTAACCCTAAGCCCCAGATGTTGCGCCCGGTGCAGCCGGCCCCCCCTGCACCACCCACGCTATGCCACTGCGGGTTAAGAACTTAATTCGTTCTGGAGGACCGTTCTTAACCTGAAATTGTTCTTAACCTGAAGCACCACTTTAGCTAATGGGGCCTCCAGCTGCCACTGCGCCGCCGGAGCACGATTTCTGTTCTCATCCTGAAGCAAAATTCTTAACCCGAAGCACTATTACTGGGTTAGTGGAGTCTGTAACCTGAGTATGTAACCCAAAGTACCACTGTATACGTCACCCAGAGTTGAGCAATCAGATATCAAGTGTACAGGAATGTGGGAACTGGCCCAGTCCATAAATTGCAAGTCTGAGCACAATTCAAAGTGTTGGTGCTAACCTTTAAAGCCCTAAATGGCCTCGGTCCAGTATACTTGAAGGAGCGTCTCCACCTCCATCGTTCTGCCCGGACACTGAGGTCCAGCGCCGAGGGCCTTCTGGCAGTTCCCTCGCTACAAAAAGCCAAGTTACAGGGAACCAGGCAGAGGGGCTTCTCGGTAGTGGCACCTGCCCTGTGGAACGCCCTCCCACCAGATGTCAAACAGAAAAATAACTACCAAACTTTTAGAAGACATCTGAAGGCAGCCCTGTTTAGGGAAACTTTTAATGTTTAATAGGTTACTGTATTTTAGTGTTTTATTGGAAGCTGCCCAGAGTGGCTGGGGAAACCCAGCCAGATGGGCGGGGTATAAATAATAAATTATTATTATTATTATAATTATTATTATTATTCCAAAGAATAAAACGAAATTGGGATTAAGGGGTTTTATCAGGACAGTGGAGGGCATGCGTCATAGGTGCCAATTCCATGGGGTCCTGGGTGCCCAAGAACCCACAAAATTCCCCATGTAGGTGCTGGGCACCCACAAATTTCGGACCCGGGCTCCTATGGTCGCAGGGCTAAACTGGCACCCTTGGCACTGTGTGCTGTGTCCTGCACAGGGTGGGGCACAACAATGGGGGGGGGTGTCCAAGGAGGGTCAGTTGTAGAAGAGTGAGAAATGTCCCTATTTTCATCTGTGGAATGTCAGAGGGCATGGAATAAGACTGGGCTGATCTTATTATTGCTTCAATATTCCTTGGGTGTTTGAAAGCGTATAACCCATAGCTGTCAACCGTCCCTTATTTGGCGGGAAAGTCCTGCTGCTGTCCCTTATTGATGATGTCCCTTAAATTCCCTGGGTTTCAAAGGAAGCAGCTCCTCTCCCTCCCTCCCTGCCGGCCAGGGAGGAGGGAGGCTCCAACTGTGTTGCTTGGCTGCGCTGCTCACCCAATAAGGAGTCTAAGAATGACTGGGGGGTGGAGCTTGCATGCCTTGTGCCGATCAAATTGGCTGCGTTGCTGGGGACTTGCCTTTGCTCAGCGCTTCCCAGCGGAGAGGTGACGGTGGTTTTCCTTGCTGCATCCCCTTTGCCGGGTTGCTGCACTGTGGGAACCACCGCTTGAGGCTTCGTTTGGCTGCTGGCTGGGCTTTCTGCCTTTGGCTTGGAGGGGCTCAGAAGTTGAACATACCTGTGCTCGCAAAATCTCTTATTTTGGCTGCTGATCCCTTATTTTCAAGGCTGCTGGTCCCTTATTTTCAAATCTGTAAGTTGACAGCTATGGTATAACCCCTAATGGCAACCGCCATTTGCCACTCTCTGTCTTTAAGTAAATGCGAAGAGCCAGAATGGGTCGATGTTGTTTTGCAAGCAGCATTCAAAAGGGCAGTTGCTCTAGAAGTACTAGCCTTTGGCCTTTGCACTAATCAACACGCAGAAAATGACACCGGGGCACCTCGGTACTGCGGTACTTCAAACGTTCAGCAGAAGTTGGGAAAGGTTTGCATAGCTTTTTCGTATTGCATTTATTAAGTGTAATCAAGTTTGATCAAATATTGAGCACAGGTCTAACGAAATCCTTGAGGATGTACCTTGGGGCCTCATTATTTTCAATTAATTATCATTTTATAGGTAGGCTCTGAACTATGCCTAGGGGAGTGTACCAGCACAGCTTAATTCTTCACACAGGAGGAAGAAATGTGTAAAACTAATTTTCTCAAAGGAAATTAAATGGCCACTAAAGCTGAATCTCATTTAAAATGTATCTCTTTTGCCCAGAGCTTGTACACGATTAGAAGTTGAGCACGATCACAGATGTAGTCTTACGAGTATTAACGAAATCATATTAAAAGTGATACTGGCCTTTTTCTTTCCTTCTTTTACTCTGAAAATCATTCCTCCCTTGCCCTGTTGTGCTTTAAAGCAAAAATCCTGGACTGCATTTTAGTTTGGGAGAGTGGGAAATGAAGAAGAAAAACCTTTATGGGTTAGGAATCATGTTTCTTCTAGAGGTTAGCATAAACAGCTTAGTACAGGGTTCCCTGAAATTAGGTCTCCAGCCGTTTTTGGACTATGATTCCCATCATCCCTCACCACTGGTCCTGCTAGCGAGGAATGATGGGAGGTGTAGTCCAAAAACAGCTGGAGACCCAAGTTTAGAAAACCTGGTTTAGTAAAAGGAAACTATGGTTGGTGGATGTTACCACTGTTTAATGTGAACTTTAATTTGTATTACTGTTTGCATGGTGATATTTTTCTCCCGTATAAATGCAACATCACTTTCACTTTTGTCTGTGTGATTTATGATCGAGCATATCCTTTTCTGTTTCCACTAGTTCAGTCACAAGGTATCCTGCCCTGCCCACCCCATGACACATGATTATTCCTCAAAAGCAGGATGGGAAATTTGTCTCTTTCTGGATGTCATTGGACTACAACTCCCATAATGCCTGACTGCTGCTGGCAATGCTAGCTGTGATTGATGAGAGTTGTGGTCAAACAGCATTTGGAAGGCCACGAATTCCCTCTTCCTAATTAAGTGCATGCATTGTTTATATCTAGCTACTTGGAGGGGCTAAAACTAATGATCACAAATAGCCTGAAAACATGCTGCTTTATTTCAATTTCATATTGACTACATCCTAAGCCTTTGAATTCTACCAGGTAAATAGAGTTGCCAGACACTGACAGCAGCAGCAGGGGTTGGAGAGGGGGAAAAACCCCTTCAAGAATTGATGGCATACTTAATTTATTTATGATAATTTATAGACCAAAACCAAAAAGGTTCCAAATGTTTTTCACTAGTGCAAATTGCAAGCGCACATGAATTCATATATCCCATATGGTGCAGTTTGACTTGTGGCGAGGATCAAGGGTGAGAATTAAAGTCTAAAAACCCCCAAATTTGACATCCACAAGTCTGATGATGCCTTCCAAAGCACAGGCAGCAGTTCCTATTCCTTTGGATACAGTCTGTGTGCATTTTCATTGAAATGAATGAAGTCTTCATACACGTAGTGGAGCTCCAGGTGTACAATGGAGTATACTTGGGGCCTGCATTCTGGGTAAAATTATGTCAGCCTGGATAGCTCAATTGGTTAGAGCATGGTGCTGATAATGCCAAGGTTGCAGGTTCAATTCCCCATATGGGACAACTGCATATTCTGGCATTGCAGGGTGTTGGACTAGGACTGGGTGATCCTTAGGGTCCCTTCCAGTTTTATGTCTAGGATTTTGGTATATGAGGTAGTATTGAACTAAGTTTTACACACAGTAGACCCACTGAAATTAATGATTGGCGGAAATGACTGGCAGAATCCAATACCAGGGAGAAGAGTTGGTGGAAGAAGATTGGAAAAAGTTTAAAGACTATTTACAGAAATACTGTAAAATTAATGAATGTTAGAAAAATGTTGGAATGAAGTTATATGGCTTTAGTAGAAATGTTATAAGGAATTAAGTATAAATAGATTAATAAAGGGAAAAATAAGGTTAGAATGTGTTAAGATAATTATAGGATAGGAAACAGAGGAAGATGGAAAGGAATTGCTGAAACAATTAACAGAAGTGGAATACGAAAAGGGAGGTGTGAGGAGGTCATGGAAATAAGTGAATGAAAGATGGGATAATGAAATTGTTTGATTTATTTTACTGTTTTTGTTTTGTTTTATTAGTTCAATGTGTTTAATGTGTCAATGTTATGTAGTGTTTTTGTATTGTATTGTTTTTGTAGTGTTTAAATTGTTGGAAAAGTAATAAATATATTTTTTTTAAAAAAAAGAAATTAATGGACCTAAGCTATGCTTCCAATTTGACACACACCACTTCTCTGCTGCCCCTATGTGTTTCCCATGCATCATATAAATATTGGAGACCTCACATTTCTTTTCCCTTTGGGGTCAAGCTTCTTTGTTGTGGCTCCCCTGCATCGAGCTGTCAGATCGACGACTGCAGAGGCACTTGAAGCATTGCTTGATAGCACTGGATGTCTGAACCACTCATCACTAAAGTTCAATAATTTTAATGGGTGTAAAACTTAGTCGAATAACACCCATTGTCAGAAACCACCTTCCACAGAAGATGAAGGAATATACTGTTTTGGAAAGGACAACTAGTTTTGCCTTGAATAATCTCAGTTTTTTGTTTTTTTACAGATTAAGATGTTTGGTGAAGCAGCTGGAGAAAGGTGACGTTAATGTGGTCGATTTGAAGAAGAATATTGAATATGCTGCATCTGTCCTGGAGGCTGTATACATTGACGAAACAAGGTAGGTCTACAGAACTTGGGGCAATTGACAGAATCTGGCTGGATCTATTTGTCTAGCTCTCCATTCATCCTACCACCTGTCTATTGGAAGAAGGACTTCTCTGAGTGACATCACATCTGCACAAGTCACGACTAAAATAAGATGGTAATGTAACCCTTAGGCCAGCATCCATTTTGGAGATAATGTAGGTGCATTGCTTTGAACACTAAAAAGGAGGTCAGTTCTAAATATTTGAATTATTTTTCTGAGTTCAGAATCCAGAATGTCCTTAACCATGTTGAATGCTGCCTTTTTGTGATCTTTATTCTCAGTTCAGTAGAATTAGATGTTTTTGGGAACAGAAGGTGCTCAATGTTGTTCAATTACTCTGACCGTTAGAACTTGTCTCTCAGTACATCTGTGATTAATTAGCTTTTTGTATGGCTACACATGCAGAAAGTCTTTTCTTTTTTCATCCCAAGCCTTGTACATACTTGATTTAGTTTCACAGCTAATTTCATGCGTCTCATTTTTACTGTTAGAAATAATGTTTAGGGTAGCCATGTCAATGAAACTGTATCTAGTGTAAGACCAATTTCCAGCGTGTATACCTAAGTTTTACATTTCACAGTCTTGACTTTCTCAACATTTTTGTATCGAATGGAATGTTCTCCCAAGTGTGGCTGCCAAAACAGCTTTAGGATCACTTGGATTTGGAGTATGTGTTTGGTCCTATTTCCTTATTAAATTTAAGGTCTGGTGTTTTCATAATTCCAGGAAGCCAGCCAACCTTGTTGTATAGTAAGTGTGATACGTGTGATTTGTATGACTTTCTTGTTTATTATATGCGCACGCTAAACATGATACATTTGGAGTTAATAAATAAGAGAACAAGAGGAACAACCTGCCTGTGATTTCCTGTAACCTCTGCTGAGAACTGAAAATTAATAGAAAAGGAGCAGATGCCATTATCCAACAATTCTGCATTATACACAGATTTCTGTGCTCTTGTCCAAGTCAAATTTTTGTCATTGCCTATAGCTATTCTGTTTGCACCAGAGTCGTTGTTGTTGTTGCTGTTGTTACATTATGAGTTGGGGGATGAGTCTGGCCGGACCCTGAGTCCCCTCTTAACCTTCCATCCTGTACCTTCAGTCTACTAGACTTTCTCAACCTGTGGGTCCCCAGATGTTATTGAACTACAATTCCCATCACCCCTAGCTAGCAAGGCCAGAGCTCAGGGATGATGGGAGTTGTAGTCCAGCAACATCTGGGGACCCACAGGTTGAGAACCGCTGGCTCTAGTCCCATTGTCAAAGTAAGGCTTTAGCTGACCAGTTAACTGCTCATCAACATCTCAAAGAATGAGATTAGTGATGGTGCTTTTAGGAAAGGGAACAAGCTCCCCTCCTTTCCTTCACTGAGCTGCTAGCTGCTATGTAGGGGAACAATAGCCAGAATGGTGCATGGGAGCTGGAAAGAGACAGAGACATGCTCTGTGCTGGATCTAAAGCTGTTGCAAATTGAGAAACAAGACCTCGTGAGGTGTTAATGTCATGAGCTCCCTTCCCATCCTGTGCTATATGTGTAAATAAAACCATATTGACTCTAAAGACACCACAGTTTTCAACTGACCTTCACTCAAACAAAACTGAACCCTGGAAAAACACTTAGAACCAAGGGTGCCAACTTGAATAAAATATAGGAGGGGGGCATACATAATCAATCACATGACATGGCACACAAGCATCATTTGAATGAGAATTCCCCTCAACTTTGGGGGGCCCTGGCACCCTCAAAAATTTGGGGGTGGCAGCAAAGGGACATCGGCTCCTAAGATTTTGTTCCTGTGCTTGGAACCCCTGGAGTCTCTCACCACTCAGAGATTGGAGCGGTGTGTAACATAACTATTACTATTAGGTAAAGGGACCTCTGACCATTAGGTCCAGTTGTGGCCGACTCTGGGGTTGCGGCGCTCATCTCGCTTTATTGGCTGAGGGAGCTGGCGTACAGTGACTAAGCCGCTTCTGGTGAACCAGAGCAGTGCATGGAAACGCCGTTTACCTTCCTGCAGGAGCGGTACCTATTTATCTACTTGCACTTTGACGTGCTTTCGAACTGCTACATTGGCAGGAGCAGGGACTGAGCAACGGGAGCTCACCCCGTTGCGGGGATTCGAACCGCTGACCTTCTGATCGGCAAGTTCTAGGCTCTATGGTTTAACCCACAGTGTCACCCGTGTCTCCAACTATTACTAGTAACTATTACTAGTAACTATTACTATTACTGTTATTTATATTCATATTATTACATCTAGATCTTACCTTTCACTCGAGGAGTTCCAGGTGACATATAAGCTCAGGCTCTCCCCCTTCCTGTTTATACCTGTGAGGTAGATTAGGTTGAGAGACTGTGACAGGCCCAAGGTGATCCTCAACACCGAGTGAGTATTTGATCCTTGATTTCCCAAATCCTGGCCCATTATTCTAATATATCATACTAACTGTGGGAGGGGCACATGGGGCCGCTCCTCCTCTAGGTGGGCAGAATCAGCTGTAGGGGACATGATCCTGTCACTCTTCTGGCAGGCAGGGTCAACATGAGGTCACAATGGCCAGCCTTTCTTCTTCATCTGCATGGGGGCAACACCGGTTGCCCCCCTCACCCCAACTGATTCAAGCAGCCACCTGTGTGTACTATGTGCCTTTCTGTAAGATACTGCCGCAAGCTGAAAAATGAAGCCATTGTCAAAATAAGTTTCTTACTGAGGTGAGTATATGTAGCAGGATGTAGCTTCATGACAGAGCAGAGATTTAAACCTGGGTCTCCCAGATCCCAGTTGAGCACTCTGCACAATATAATTATTTCTAGGCAGAAACTCCAGTGCATGAAATGGCTTCACTGATTCTCCCCGAGAAACATCCATCTTCTAAATATTAAAATACTTCTGAATTTATTTAAGAATTGAGGGAGCATGGAAGAATGACAGATTTCTCACCTCATAGAAATATTCCCTATGAAATAACTGGCTTTGCAAAGTCACATTCATGCATTTCCTGCTTGGAACAGGGGCCCCACATTGAGCAGTAGATAATTCATGCTGCACTTCTGAAACTTTTAGTCTCAAAGATGTGCTTCCAGATCATGTGGTTCAGAATGCTCAGAATGTACTTTGATTAAGCAGCACCCCAGATCTTTTTAATATAGCCGGATACCAAAATGGATCATTCAGACTCGCTTGCAAAGTCCCCACTGTCCCTCCTCTGCTTCTTCATTCTTCTAAAGCATCTGCTGTATTACCACAAATGGGAACTGTTAAAATATTTTCAAAAATTCAAGGAGAACATTCAAATGAAACATTTTACACAGTTCCGCCAGCCTAGCGCATCGATGCATTGGGGGAGTACTTGCCTAGGTAAATCCCTGGCCAGTGTCACAAGAGTTAAATTTTCAGGAGTCCCCAGCTAGCAAAATAAGAATGGGTAACAATTGGCTAGTCCAGACCCCATTATGTGTTTAATATGTGTGTTTCCCACTTGCCTAGAAAGTAATAGCTTTTAGTGGGAAAATCAATAAGGCCTGATTGTATTTTTCCTGTTACTGAAGGTTGGGGGAGGAAGCAGATATGAAATGCATTTGATTCAAAGTAATTCCAAACTTTAAATTATGTTTCTTTGATCGGAAACTTCACATTTAAAATTTGAAACTGTGGCATACCCTCCAACATTTCTCTGATGAAAATAGGGACATCCTATTCAATAATAATAATAGTAGTAGTAGTAGTAGTAGTATACTCCACCCATCTGACTGGATTACCCCAGCCACTCTGGGCGGCTTCCAACATATATAAAAACATAATAAAACATTAAACATTTTTTTTAAAAAAACTTCCTTATACAGGGCTGCCTTCAAATGTCTTCTAAAGGTTGTATAGTTACTTATCTCCTTGGCTCAGAGGTCGCATAACTCCATACCTTCCAATAGTTCTCCAATGAAATTAGGAACATCCTACCACATGCTCCAACATTGCTCTGGTGAAAATAGGGACGTCCTAAGGGAAAGCGGGATATTCTGTTTAGGGAAGCTTTTAATGTTTGATGCATTACTGTATTTAAATATTTTGTCGGAAGCTGCCCAGAGTGGCTGGGGAAGCCCAGCCAGATGGGTGGGGTATAAATAATAATAATAATAATAATAATAATAATAATAATTATTATTATTTAGAAACCAGGATGGCATCTGTAAATCCAGGACTGTCCCTGGAAAATAGGGACACATGGAGGGTCTGTGCTGTAGCCATCATTTGTATCTTAATGCTGCATGGGAGGTTATTCTGACCAGCTGCATACAGGAAGAACACAGATCTGGAGCTGAGAATGTTGCTGGCCTGGAGCTGGGGCTGTTGGGCACCTGTATATCCCAAAGTGCGGGATTTTAACACATTCCTGTAAAGAATGAGAGAAGCCTATCTTGAAACCCCCTAAAAGCAGGGGTGGCAAACCTGTGGACTTCTCACAGGTTGCAGGACTCCAACTCCCATCAGCCCCAGCCAGCACAACCCAATGGCCTGAGGTTATGGGTGTTGTAGTCGATCAACCTCCGCAAAAGCCACAGGCTTCCCGCTTCCCACTACATTACTGTAGTAAAGAAAAAGCGTTTTGAATTCATTGTAAACATGCAGCGCCAGATGGCGCTGGAGAGCAAAAAAAAATTATTTGTGGTATTCCATAGCATTTCTTCTCCTTCTGTTATAATCAGTGGCAGAGCTTCATGCTCCGGCACTGGGGGCAGAGAGCAGGTGGGGCTGGGGCTGGCACATGTCCTGGGGGCGGGGGGCGTCACCCAAAGGGGTGGGGCACACGTTCTGGGGCACACGTTCTGGGCCGGTATTGCGCTGCCGGGGGCAGTGCGCTCCCCCCGTCCCCTCTTCCTCCGCCAGTGGTTATAATGATTTAATTTCTGACTTATTTATAGGGTCCCCCCCCGCCCTGGTGTGTAGATCCATACAAAATCGTGTTTATTAGGAGAAATTGACACTGAAATGCTAAAGAATTTTCATGAGGATGTCTCCCCCCCCAATTGCTGCAGAAATGTAGAAAATGTAGAATTTAAGATTAGAAAAAGGAGAAACCTAGAGAACTGAAATGGACAAATCCTCCAGTTAAGAGCCAGCTAGGTTTGGAGTTAGACAAGTCAACTACTGTGACTTGTTGAGGATATGCAAAGATGGGCCAAGATGTTTTGATGCCTGGTGAAGAATTGTGTCCCTAATCATTTGTGTGTACACTGATGCATAACAATTAAATACATTAATGATATGTTGCCTGCTATTTGCATTTTACCATGTGCCACCTGAGGCCAGCTGCTTCACCAGTCTGCCTCTACGGGCAAGGCCCTGCCATAATTAGCAATAATAGAGGGGTTGCCTGCAGTGTCCGCTGAAGAGAAGGCAGAGGTCTTTAAGTCACTTCCAGCACTTCACAGCATGCATTTGATGTAACTGAATTTCCAGGAAACAAATAACACCTTGGAATTAGATTTTCTCTTAACCTTTCGCTTGAATTACTACTGAGGTCTCATTAGACACAAATTTGTCACAAAGTGAAGAGGAAGATCATAAACAGGAAAAAAAGAGGAGAATGAAAAAGAAGATGAATAAGCTAAAAGAAGTTCTTCCCCTTTTTACGCTCAGACATTTCCATGACAGCCTCCGCCAACCAGGTGCCCTCCAGATTTTTAGGACTATGGCGAGATCCTCACCATATATTGAAACATTTAAAACACATGACTTCACTCAAGGAATCTTGGGAACTGCTGTTTCCACCACACAGAGCTATAGTCCACAGCAGTGAAATATACTTGGAGTCGAGAGTGGATTTCATGCTCTTTATTCAGCTCATAGTGTTGAGGAGGAATGAATGTTCCCCCAGAATGTCTGCTTTATATACATTATTTACACAATGGGCCCCACGTGATTGGCTAATTCCAGGATTCTCTTGTAGGCCAATCAGGTTGCGGATTCACTTCCACCTGGAGCTGGATTGGGTGGCTCCTGTGGACCAATCAGACTGCTGCATTCTGGATCCTATTGTTCTAGGACCAATCAGACGGCTGCATTCTGAATCCTCTTGTTCTAGGACCAATCAGACTGCTGCATTCTGGATCCTATTGTTCTAGGACCAATCAGACTGCTGCATTTTGGATCCTATTCAACTCAGTACATAACAGCACCCTTAACAAACTGTGATTCCTAGGATTCTTGGGGGTGAAGGGAGTCGCCCCCAAGAGTGCGTTAAAGGGTGGCCTTTAAATGTATGGTGTGGGTGAGCACTATGACCCTCTTAACTCCCTGCCAGTATAGCCATGCTGGGTGAAGTATGGTGAAGTATGTTCCACCACAGGTAGAAAGTCCGCCCCCCCCCCCAATATATGGGCAAGATACTCATAAAAGTAGCCCTCAAAAACACAACTGAAGTAGTCTTAATTTGGTTGTGATCCTCTGACCAGTGCTTTAGATTTTTTCCTCCTTTCCCGCCTCCTGTTTTGTAGCCGATCATTCCATTAGCATAACAGCGAAGGCCTTCAAATATTATTTCCCATTTGCTAGCTGAAGTGCTACTGAGCTGCTTCTTCTCCCAAGCAGAAGTGGGCCTTCGAGAGCAAACAATGTTAGAGAAAGGCAAGGTAATCAGTTATTCAAGCTGAGAAGAGAGTCAGGGCAGCTCTTCATGCCCACTTCATTATTCATTTCCTGGAGTAGATGATGGAACATCAGCAAAGTATATAATGGAACCGAATATAACAGAATACCAAAGGAAACCGTCTTGAAACATAAAATGAGTATGCAAGATTATCAACGAGGATTGTAATGTTTGTTATCAGGCTGAAGATGGTCTGGGGTGCTGATAAAGTTGTTTTTGATATTTGGGATACGCTGCTGATAAGATTTCGATCTTCATCAGTTAGCTGCTTAAATTTTCCATTTAATTATGGCCTAGGTCATAATGATGGTGATCTTATTTTATTCTATTAAGCCCCTTTAAGGCATTCTTAAGTGGGGATGCACTGTTGTGCTGAGGTGTTTCAGGGTTCCCATAAACTGACCAGTCTGGGAGAGACTCTTTTGAGGAAGTAAGAGACTCCCAAAACCCAGTTAAGGAAGGGGGGTTGTGAGCCCTTAAGACTATTACTGAAAGTTACCTCAGGAGTTGGATTTGTTAAAGGGGTGAGTACCTGAAGGTAAGTGCCGCCTCAGAAAGGGAACAAACTAAAAAGCCGAAACCTCTGTGAAACAAATTCAGCAAACTAGCTTATTAATTCTGAAATAACCTAAGTTATTTGTATTATAATACCTTGTTTTAAAATAAATCTTTATTGTCATTTTAAAAAACAAAACAAAAAACTGGCCAGTCTGAAAACAGGATATGGGACTAGGTAGGCCTTTGGCCTGATCCACTAGACGTCTTTTTAGGTCCTTTTAGTTCACCACAATCCAGAATTATGGAATATTGCATTTAACTGCTGCGGGTTGGGTTTAGCTAAGGTTGGGTTGAGCTAAGAGCTTTGAGCGCATGGTCCATATTTTCCTCTTCCTATTCTGAAGTCTGCAGATCTACTATACTGATTCATGCACCCGATATATATTTACAGGAGACTCTTGGATACAGAGGATGAGCTGTCGGATATCCAGTCAGATGCAGTCCCGCTGGAAGTACGGGATTGGTTGGCGTCCACCTTCACGAGGAAAATGGGGATGACCAAAAGGAGGCCAGAGGAGAAACCAAAGTTTCGAAGCATTGTGCATGCTGTACAAGCAGGGATTTTTGTAGAAAGGTGAGTTCTGGCTTTATAAGAACCTCGAGGACGTGGCATAGCTCAGTAGTAGAGCATCTGACTTGAGTATGAAAGACCCCTTTGGCATCTCTGAGCAGACTAGTAAAGTCTTCCCCGAGAAACCCTTAAGAGAGTCTGCCAGCAGACAACACTGAGCTTGACTGATCAGTGGTCTGTCTTATGTTCCTAAACCGTATTAAGCCATACTTTGGCTTACCATGATGTGCAAGCCAGGCCATTGTTAAGCTTGTAGCATCTTACATTTCTTTTCTTCATGGGTGGGTTAGTTCATTTGTTTTAGTCCTCTTTGTAACGATCATTTGAAGACAGGTCTGAAATCTTGCTAAGTGCTAAGACGGAACATTAAAATTCTTTATATAGACTAGAAACTTAATGTTAATGTTCTGCCTTTGCACTTAGCAAGATTTCAGATCTGTCTTCAAAAGTTGTTTCCCATGTGCGAAGACCACAGCAGGGTTTGAAGTGTAAGAAAACAGCAGAATATATTAAGAAACATGTTAGAGAGGGTGAAATTAGATAAAACGAAACCTTAAAATGTAATTGTATATAAATTGAGTTATAAACATTGATGTTGGGTGAGTGGGAATTGTTTTGTTGAATAGGAATACAATTGTTCAGTAATAAATGTAACTTATGAAAAAAATGTTTTGTTTTGTTTTTTTAAAAAAAGACAGAACATTAAAATTCTGTTTCATCACACATTGACCAAGAAAGTGTTATCTTAAAAACAGATAAGCATGTGGCACTATTGAAAGGACATTGGCATAAAATGCAGAGATCAGATATAAATATCACCAAATTCTATTGTAATTTGGCGTATGCCTTCCCTTGCTTTCGGGAGCAAACATTTTTGGCTCCCATCTTTCACAAGATTTTAAGGGTCTTTTTATATCGAATTTCAAACTTCAAATTGCAAGGGGAACTTTTCCAGAACTGCTCCCAAAGCATAAACACATCACCATTAGTTTTCAGGTGCCGTTTCATTTACGCTTCTTTTCTTCTAGAATGTATCGAAAGACCTCTAGCATGGTTGGCTTGGCCTATCCAGCTGAAGTGATGTCAGCTTTTAAGGTGAGATCAGTTTGTGGACTTTACTACAAAGTAGGGATTTGGGAGGAATTCAGTGCAGTTTCAGAAAGTGCAAATTTGGTCGGTTTGCCTTTAAATGCACGCGTACCAAAACAACCATGTGCCAAAATGCACACTTCCCCAAATTTTGCAATGCATTTCTACAGCCAGGTAATATGTACCAAAAAAATATACTAGCACAAACTGTGATTGCAACTGCAGGTGTAAGTGAAAGCAACATACAAATATTTGCTATAAGAGAAAATGTTGCTTTGGGCAGCGTAAGCAATTTGGCCTTCCAGACTGAATGATCCCACTCTCCACCCCATACGTGCTGTCAGGAGCTCGTTCTACACTCGAGTAGGACCCTGGCAGAGACACATGCCCAACTGGCATGTTCTCTCCCTCCTGGTCTTTCGTTCGGGAGCTTCAAAAGCTTTATCCAGCCCGAACATCACAGCGACCAATACCAACAGACATCGGCACACTTAGGGATCCGCGTAACAGACCTCGGCAACTCAGCATTTTGGCTAATTACTTTATTTACATATAAACACACACAGAGCACTGCAGCATGGCTCCCTATCTCTCTAGCATCAGACAGCGAAGAGAAAAAATGAAGGACAATGGTTCGACTTCACGGAACACAGTAACACAAATATCCTTTCTCCGTCACTTCCCACTCTGTGGAGTCATGTGATACACCGCCATGTGATACACAATAATCCCATGACTGCAATCATGGAGCAGGAATTCTAACACGTGCTGTTTGGGAAGCCTCATTGCTCAAACAGAAGTCCTTGTGATGGGGCTCGAGGAGCTGGATCCCACCCATATATTTAAGCTACTGGAATATAGTACAACCAGCCCCAACCTGGCGTCCTCCAGGTGTTGTTGCGCTACAGTTTCCCACATTACTGACCAATGGTCATGCTGGCTTGAGCTTGACCCCTTGCTTGAGCGAACCATTTCCTAAGCATTTCAGTATGAAATACACATGCAAGGAAATGTTTTTTTCTGCTTTCACAAAAGGTTTGTGATTGTATGGCTTCTTCCGCTTAGTTGTGATGAAATTTAGGTATTATTGGAATGGTAAGATGTATCTGTTTTGAGAGGTGTTGCTCAAAAAGGTAATAGTTGCTATTGTTTCAGTAATAATAATAATAATAATAATAATAATCTATTTATACCCCTGCCCATCTGGCTGGGTTTCTCCAGCCACTCTGGGCTGCTCGCAGCAGAATATTAAAAACATAATAAAGCATCAAACATTAAAAAGTTCCCTAAACAGGGCTGCCTTCAGATGTCTTCTAAAAGTCAGATAGTTGTTTATTTCCTTGACATCTGATGGGAGGGTGTTCCAAAGGGTGGGCACCACCACCAAGAAGGCCCTCTACCTAGTTCCCTTTAACCTCACTTCTTGCAGTGAGAGAACTGCCAGAAGACCCTCAGAGCTGGACCTCAGTGTCTGGGCTGAATGATGGGGGTGAAGACGCTCCTTCAGGTATTCTTTTTCAGCAAGGCTACCCCCACCCTGTGATTCCTTCTAACTTGAAGTGGTAGCTTATATGCAGAAAGTGGTAGCTTATATGCAGAAAGGTTTTGAGATGAGGGTGTTTTTCAAATTAACAGTCCCAAAATCTATATTATGAGGAATCACAGTCCAGCAAGAGTCCTTTGCCAGATGCATTTTGGTTTTCAGCCCACAGAGCAAGTTGGGGACTGCAAGAGACAAAAGACTTATATGTGGTAAGAACATTTCTGGTGCCAATATGATTCCCTGACAATTATGGGATGTCAGGGAAACAGGTTATTGAGTGCAAATTACTTTGTAAACATGATCCAGCCAGATCTGAGCATGTTTAAGACTGAGCACTGAAAACTCAAGAACTCAGTGCCATTGGCCATGTCAGGGAAGGAAGAGTATTACATAAATGGGGTGCCAGGACTGAGTAGGTCCTTGCGCATGTTGTTGTGGCATACTAGTTTTCAGGTACAGTAACTGTGGCATAATGATGAGGACCTCCTTCACGGGTATGGGCAGGTCTATAGATTCGCCATACCTTATTCTCAAATGGTGCTTGTTGCTTGAATGAAACAGAGTTTAATTGCTGCCCCTTCCCTGAATTTTCTGTCTCCTATCGGTGGGGAATATATGCAAATCCTTAATTATCCCCTTTTCCAAAAATTCTCTTACAGGATGTTGATAAATGGTCGTTTGACGTGTTTGCCCTAAATGATGCAAGTGGGGGACACAGTCTGAAATTTATGATGTATGAATTATTTACCAGATATGATCTATTGAACCGTTTCAAGGTAAGAGGCTTTCCCTTAAAGAACTGCCACATCTACCCACACCTAAACATATGCCAGAGAAGGGAAAACAGGCATATGATTTCTTTACAGAGAACTAGAGAATATTTATTCTTTTCATTACTGGAATGACAAAGGACAAGATGAAATTCAATGGCATGTTAAGTAATTTGAGTAAGATAATTATATTATCATTTCTCTCTCTTCTTTCTTCTTGTCTTTTCACTTCTCTTCTCGTTTTTCTTTTTTGCTTTTTCTTTCTCTCTTCTTCCCTCTCCTCTAGGGTCTTTTTTATCCTTATTAACGGAGAATCTGAATGGCGTGGTGATTACTTACATCCATATTGTTTTGTTATTGAATATGCAGGCCAAATTTTATTATATATATATTTGTGTGGATTGCTTTGTTATATACAACTGCTATAAGATACCAGATATGGGAATTATGGCATATTGTTAATTTGCAAGTAAACATTTTGCACACAAACACACCCAAAGGAAGTTATTTCATGTTATTTATTTATTTGTTTGTTGCTAATTACTCTGTGTAAACACTTGTGTATTGTAATTAAATTATCATAAAATTTATATGCCGCTTGATTGTAAAAACAAAAACAAAAAACCAACAACCTCAAGGTGGTTTACAAAAGGACAAAACAACAAAATCAAGAAAAAAATCACAACCATCGTTTAAAACATACAAAACTTAAAATGCTAAAACAGATTAAAATTGCCCCAACTTTCTAAGGATCTGGGTACGCTTGTCTAAACAGGATTATTTTTTAGCAGATTCCAAAAAGAGTACATTGAAAGCTCCTGCTTGATCTCAATAGGCAGGGAGTTCCAAAGTGCAGATGCCATCACATTAAATTATAATTATAATTAAATTTTATAATTATATTTATATAATTATATTAAAAACAAGATCAAACATTAAAAACTTCCCTAAATAGGGTTGCCTTCAGATGTCTTCTAAAAGTCTGGTAGTTGTTTTTTCCTTTGACATCTGGTGGGAGGGCATTCCACAGGGCGGGTGCCACTACCAAGAAGGCCCTCTGCCTGGTTCCCTGTAACTTGGCTTCTCGCAGTGAGGGAACCGCCAGAAGGCCCTTGGAGCTGGACCTCAGAGTCTGGGCTGAATGATGAGGGTGGAGACGTTCCTTCAGGTATACTGGGCCGAGGCCGTTTAAAGCCTTAAAGGTCTGCACCAACACTTTGAATTGTGCTGGGAAATGTACTGAGTTCTTACAAAAAATAATAATAAGCAACGTCTACAGAGATGACTTGAAGTGGGCTGTCAATCAAGGGCTCAGGCCAAAAGAAGGGCAAGCATCTTAGGCAGGAGCTGGGCTGAATAAATGCAGGAGACCGAAGGCCAGGAAACTAGTGCATCAGTTTGGCAGTGACAGAAAACAAGTGCCACCCACCCAAGTGACTCTTTTGCCTAGACTGAGTGAAGCTTCAGTAGCTTCAGTTTTAAGCAATCCCACAAGATGGGCTCTGCAATGTCACCTGTTGTCCGTCTCAGCACAGGAGGATTATGGGTTGTTGCTAAATGTCCTATCGGTAGGTACCAGTTTGCATACATGCTGGCTGATTTCTAGCTGGCGCCATCCCCAAAACTCAGGATGGAAGATGGCATGGCAAAATTAGCACCCTCAAGTCTGCTGGTGACACTGGTGATTATTACTTGTGCTTGCTTGCAGATCCCTGTTCCTAGCCTTATTTTGTTTGGAGAAGCGTTGGAAACTGGCTACAGCAAACACCGAAACCCTTATCACAACTTAATCCACGCAGCTGATGTCACCCACACAGTGCATTGCATCATGCTTCTTACGGGGATCATGGTAAGAAATAATGAGCTGGGCTGAGCCCAGAGGATCGGGACATGGTGGCATAATGCAACCTATTAGTGAACACTGGCGTGAGGCATACTGCACATATATATGTTTTTTTTTGGGGGGGGGGTAGGCAAACCAGAGGCCACAATCCAAAGAGCACCTTTAAAGGTAAAGGATAAAGGGACCCCTGACCATTAGGTCCAGTTGTGGCCAACTCTGGGGTTGCGGTGCTCATTTTGCTTTATTGGCCGAGGGAGCCGGCGTACAGCTTCCGGGTCATGTGGCCAGCAAGACTAAGCCGCTTCTGGCGAATCAGAGCAGCGCACGGAAACACCGTTTACCTTCCCGCTGGAAGTATTTATCTACTTGCACTTTGACGTGCTTTCGAACTGCTAGTTTGGCAGGAGCAGGGACTGAGCAACGGGAGTTCACCCCGTCGCAGGGATTCGAACCGCCAACCTTCTGATCGGCAAGTCCTAGGCTCTGTGGTTTCACCCACAGCACTTTTGGGGATGCTCAAAAGGCAGCCTGCTTCTAGGCACTGTCAGCATTTGACTCAGCATTTGACTATGACTTTGGAGTCACTAAAATAAAGCTTTTGATGGTAGCCAACTCTCTCACGGTCCATGCATTTTTTTTAAGCTTTCTCTCCGCCCAGTGACTAACAGAATGCCAGCCTGAACCTTTTATCAATGGCTATTTATGAGTATCCTCATAGCAGAAATGAATGAGGAGCAAGATGCTAGGAAAGCTATAAGGTGTCTTAAGGTATATGTGGCTTGAGGTTTAAGACAACAATGATAAGTGCAAAGGTAATGGACCACTTCCTGCAACCTTTCTTGCCGTATGGGACTATGATAGCACAAAGACAGGCTAAGCCGGTAGTGGGGAACCTGTGACCCTCCAAATCTTCTTGGACTGCAGCTCCCCTCGGCCCCAGCCAGCAGAGCCAATGGTCAGGTACTGGGGCGATCCCAAGATGTCTCAGAACCTGAGGCAAAACGCCCCCACGATGGGGGCGGCCACTCTGTAAGGAGTCTCCCTCATTGGGCGGAGGGGGAGTTTTCCACAGAGCTTTGCTACCAGTTCCTCTCTGCCCCTAGAGGCCAGGGAGACAAGCTGCAAGGCTGGGTGGCAGAGCCGGGTGATGTCCCTTAAGTGGTGCTGCCTGAGGCAGCCACCTCACCCAATCTCACGGGAGGGCCGGCTCTGTCATGGACAATGGGAGTTGCAGCCCACAACATCTGGAGGACATCAAGTTCCCCATCCCTGCTCTGTATTAAGAAAGGGTAGGATTCTATAAGACAAGACAACTTAGCCAGAGATGAACTATTTGTACTTCATATGATGGAAGGTTTTGTTGTTGTTGACTAGCACTGGCTCACCGAACTGGAAATATTAGCAATGATCTTTGCAGCTACAATCCATGACTACGAGCACACCGGGACTACAAACAACTTTCACATCCAGACCAGGTAAGCTGGTGGTATAGGAACAAACACCTAAAACAGGGAAGGAGAAAATCTTTGAGCAGCTTTCAGACAAGATCTCATGGCAGACTCCCAAGTTGGTATTGCGCATGATACAATGCAGAAATTTCCATCAGTGTGATAATTTCAGTGCTTCCAGAAGGCACGAGGGACAGAAGAGAAGCAAAGTCACGAGTGAAGGGTTCCCAGCCCTCGCTTGAAGCTGGTATTGACACTTTAAAGTTTATTTATATCCCCTCATTTTTGGCAGGAGTTCTGGTGCTAGAGATCATCCAGGCTGGGCACTGGTCAAGATCCAAGAGGTTTAGAAGGGGCCCCTTGTTGGCTCAACCCAGTAGTGTGTAGCTAGGTTATCGGATGTGGCATTGATATAACACTATGGCCCCTGTCAGTCGTTTATAAGGGTGCCAAGAAATCAGCCCACTTCTCCCTAGCAATTCTTTTTTCATACAGTTGCAGCAAAGACTTGTTGAGCAGGATTCATCTAAACAGTCCTGCCAGCGGGAACCATTGCAATGGGTCCTGCTAGCAGAATGGGACCCCCTCCCCCCTCTCCTTCCTACCTGCTCCCCTCCAAATTGGCTCTTGGGGGTCAGAATAACCCCCAAAACAGTGCATGGTGGGAGGAGAGGGGAGATCTTCCCACCTGGCAAATAGAACTGCTTCCATGGATGGAATGATTGCCTCAATGCTATTTTGAATTCCAGCCATTGTGATTTGATATTCATATTGCACCGTTTAATGAAGAGATGGAGAACCTCAGGCCTGAGGGTCAAAAGTGACCCACCAAGCCTCTCAGGACTCTTCCCCAGGCCATATCCCTTTGAGTGTTTTTGTCTGGCTGGACTGCGTCCTTGAACTCCTGCTTCCCTGGATGGTGGGTAGTGTCAGGGACCATGCTGAGGGGGGCTGCACTGAGGAGGAATGGTGGGAGCCTCCCCCTACTCCTGATCAGGATCCTGAATGTTCCCTGGAGCAGGAGGACAGTATAGAGAGTAAACAGTGGTTTGCAGAGGGACATAATTCAGAAGGCAGAAGCTGGGAAATACTAGATGGGGAACAGCTAGGAGAGAGAGAGTTAACAGATTCACTGTCTCTGGAAAGCTTTCATCCGCCCAGCCCAAGGTCAAGAAGAGCTGATAAGGTGGCAGCACAGAAAACACACTGGTTATGAGCTCAGGGTACAAGACGCAGTAGTGATGTGGGTGACTAGGCAGGAAGTGGGTGAAACCCTTAACTGGGAGCACCACCATTCCTTGGAAATGGATTTTTTGTTCTCTCGCTGTGATCATTCAAGTTTCTAACTGGTAAGAAGACTCCTTTTCCTTTGTTCTGCTTATCTACTGCCAGAGGGGGGAGGAAGCCAATTCCCTGAAGCCTGGCAGGTAGAGAGGTCTGCGTGTGAACATGTGTGAAACAACTGCATCAATTGCTCCTCCCACTTTTGTCTCTGGCCCTGCTCAGCACTGGCATGTGGCCCCTGGAAGTTTGCCTGACAATGAATAGAACCCTTGGACTGTCAAAGGTTCACCATTCATGATTTAATGATACAATGAAGGGGTGTTTTCTTCTTCGTTCTCCCACAAATTGCTATGACCCCCCGACCGAAAATGAGGACTCGTTTTCCCTCACCCTATCATGCTGCATGTCCTAGGACACTGCTCTTGCCAGACATGTTACTCAGTTCATAAACTTTACAGACTAGAATTCGTGTGTTAATTTATTTATCCAGTGTCATATCTGCTCCCATGGCGACAGTGTCAAGCCAAGGCTTGCAAGCTATAACTAAAAATAACTTTTTACCACTTAGTCCAGTAATTCCAAATTTAAACCACTTTTCTATTTTGATTTTAAATTATGGGGCCATTTAAAAAAAAAACCACTGAATAACAACTCAGCCCTTCTCATTTCATATTTCAAAAGCAAAGATAAAATTGAGATAGTTCTAGTTTTGAAAGGATTTCCCTGATGTAACAGAATGGGCTGCAACATGTTGAATTGGAGGTTCCTCACCACTGTCATAAGGTGTTTTCTTGTGCCTTAGCTGGATACAGCTCTCCTGACTCACCTGACAGGTAGATAAACCTGCCAAGGTGTTGTGAACTGAACCTTAATATCCCACTCTTTGCATCTAGGTCAGATGTTGCCATTTTGTACAACGATCGCTCCGTTCTTGAAAACCATCATGTAAGTGCTGCTTATAAGATTATGCAAGAAGAAGAAATGAACATTCTGGTGAACCTAACCAAAGATGAGTGGAGGTAAGACAGGTGGGCTTGTTGAGAGTGACACGCATCATAGGCCTGGCTCATAGTATTCCAGCTACCACAAAAGCTCTTCCAGTTGGTTGGCTACCATGTTGCCAGAGTCATATGTCAAAACTTTCTCCAGTGTGAGTGGTCTGTGTCATGTGGATTTTGCCCGTTCCAGAGACCCCCCGGGTATAAGGCGGTATATAAATTCAATAAATAATATAGAATAAATAAAAATAACTCTTCGGGGTTTCAGACAGGGAGCCTCTCTCAGCCCGAACCTGGAGAGGTCAGGGATTGAACCAGGAAACTTCCGTATGCAAGGCAGATGCTCTATCCCCTGAGCTATGGCTCTTCCACATCAGCTTTCTGTGCAGGATAGGGGTGTTGCTAAGTACTAAGAAGACTCAGGGGTACAGGCTTATGACCCCAATCTGCACAAAGTTTGCATATGCAAAGATATCCCTGAGATAGTCCCAACGTTGCCCTTGGCACATGGGTTCTTTTAAAGGCTCACATGTGCAGTTTATTTTCCCTTCCCAAGATGTGGAGAAATAGCCCTCGGAAAGCATCCCCGATGCCCTTCCTTTCCGAGATGTTATCCAATGGAGGTGCTGTCCTACCAGGCGCATGCTGAGATGGCTGCAAGTCACCACCTGGTAGCTTTTCTGTCATCAAAGTAGTCACCTACCCCAGCTACTGCACACCACAGCATGAGTGGCACTGTGGTTTAAACCACTGAGCCTCTTGGGCCTGCCAATTAGGAGGTTGGCAGTTCGAGTCCCCACAATGGGGTGAGGTCTCGTTGCTCTTTCCCTGCTCCTGCCAACCAAGCAGTTCGAAAGCACACCAGTGCAAGTAGATAAATAGGTACCACTGTGGCAGGAAGGTCAACTGCATTTCCATATGCTCTGGCTTTCGTCATGGTGTCCTGTTGCGCCAGAAGCAGTTTGGTCATGCTGGTCACATGACCCGGAAAGCTGTTTGCGGGAAAACACCGTCTCCCTCGACCTGAAAGTGAGATGAGCGCCACAACTGGACTTAACCATCCAGGGGTACCTTAACTTTTTTTTTTTACTCCTTAGAAAGACCCTCCTGGCCTCCTTCTTTAAGGGAATCCTCCCAAGATCTAGTTGGTTTCTCTTCCCCTTCTGAGTTCCCAAGCGAAAGTTCGGTGCTGGTGGTAAAGTCTTAACCTTCTCCATGTTCTGCTGATTGCAGTTATGTGGAAATCAGGCAAAGCATCCCACCCAGAGCCCCAGAACGTAATTACAGTTCATGATTCTGAAATGAGGAATAACAAAACAGCAGGACCGATGAAGTAATAGTAGGGTTGCGTTGTCGTATTTTTTAAGTACCCAACTCCCATCAACTCTCAGGAGGCTGGAGGTTTCCAGATAATAATAATTTGAAGTGCTTTTCTCATTTTTATTTAATAATGCTCATTCTCATCCCAAGAGATAAATTAACCATCGCTTTGTGAGCAAAACGTCTCATTAGAGAATAAATACGATTGTAATTTGGTAATGCTGACTGTCTGCAGGGAACTGCGCACCCTCGTCATCGAGATGGTCTTATCAACTGACATGTCAGGCCATTTCCAGCAGATCAAAACAATGAGGCACAGTCTGCAGCAGACCGAGGGGTAAGTGCCCCCCCATTCTCTCTCCAGTGCTGTGTGTTAACATGCAGTTCCTGTGTGAATGGGAGGGAAGGGGAGACTTGCTGTTGCAGTAACATAATGTGAGAAAATCTTTGAATGGGCAGGATAGACAAAGCCAGAGCCATGTCCCTGATCCTTCATGCAGCCGACATCAGCCATCCATCAAAAATCTGGAAGCTGCATTACCGGTGGACGATGGCACTGATGGAAGAATTTTTTCGACAGGTAATATCCTTCTCCCATGTCCAAACCTGTTCATAAAGATCCCTTATATGTGTTATTAGATTTGGTTGTAATATTCCTTGTTATTTCTACTTTCTACTTGTAAGAAAGGGTGAAGGAAGAATTCGTTTCAGTTCACATTTCAAGGTGAACGGTCAAACCCGGAAGCAATAGGAGAACCGAAGCCCAACTATCCTTTGAAATTTGCACTTATCTGAATTTTGCAAATTAGCTCTCCAGCCAAGCTGTGCTTACAAAAAACACACATCTGTTATGGGAAAGCATGTGTACAGTGGTGAAAACCACACACAAAGCTGGATTCTGTTTGGGGAAACTGTTTGCAAGAATGTGTGTATCAGGCAACATTGTGTACAGAAATGCACGTGTTAGCAGAAATTTGGACAAAAACCAGAATTTTCATGAGAACTTTTAAAAATAAATGAAGAGTTGCAAAACTGACATGGAAATGTAGAGAGCTGAACGCAAGATTTGAAAAATGAGAAATGGAAAGAAACTGAGATTGTCCATCTCTAGATGGGAGATGGTGTGGGCGCATCTGCGTATGCATGGAAATGTTTGTAGCTCATAGGGGAAGAGAAATAAGCAGGCAGTGCTAAAAACCCTCTGTCTGGAAGCAGCCATTTTCTCTTTTCTCATCCATCATAAGTACATGTTTAATATACAGTATTTTTCTCTTTTTTTAAAGCCACACATTGCAGAAATTGGATGTGAAAGGGACACCCCTTGGTTTAGTTAAATAGAATCATAGAATCATAGAGTTGGAAGAGACCACAAGGGCCATCGAGTCCAACCCCCTGCCAAGCAGTAGTTGGCCTTGTGTTCAGATGCACTCCGTAAATTCTTAGTCTTGCTTTCATTAGTACCTGTAAACTTACACATTTCAATGTGTCACCTTTTTTTATCCCTTCAGGGAGACAAGGAGGCAGAACTGGGGCTACCGTTTTCTCCTCTCTGTGACCGCAAATCCACCATGGTGGCACAGTCCCAAATAGGTAATGCTTGGCTTTTTTATTTTTTACTTTGGAGAAATGATCTCGTAACGGAAAGGAAGAGTGTTGTGACCATCACAAAATAGGAACAACCAGCATTCTAAGGTTGGCAAGTCACTAGCTTCTGCTTCCTCCTGCTACCGTGTGTTCATTATGCACACTGTCGCTTATGGAAGAGGACTCTCATAACATCTGGAAGAATAGAAGAGGATCCTTACCTTTCAAGAGCCCAGCACTCTGAGGAAAGGCAGAGGTTTGGGGATGGATTGTTGCTGCAGGATGGGAATGAGACTATGGCTACGTGAACACCGTACATTTAAAGCACATGACTTCCCGCAAGGAATCCTGGGAAATACAGTTTACCCCTCACAGGGCCACAATTCCCAGGATTATTTGGGGAAAGTCATGTGTTTTAAGTGCATAGTGTGTCTGCAGCCAATGAAGAAAGAATCTGTGTGCAAGTGTGTGTGTGTACAGGCCCATGATATAGGAAGATGGCTGAAACTAAGCAGGTCTGCCTCTGGTCAGGTTTTGATGGGAAATCACATACAGAGTGCTACATATTCAGCCTTGTGTTCCATGACAAAAGGTGGAATATGGAATAGGTGTTGACTGTTAGGCACACGGCGTCTCTTGCCTTTCCATTGCCTACTGAAGACCTTCCTCTTTCAACAAGCCCTAGCGTATGTCGTTTGCCATCCTGGGCTCCATTGGAAGGAAGGGGTAAACTTGTAATAAACGAGCAAATGAATGGTTGAAGGACCATTGGCTAGGGAAGAAGCATCACCACCTACCGTGAGGGTAGATTTCCCACTCCCAGCACCAAATAGCTATAGTCCAGCTGGTTCTGGAGGAATCCCACAGGTCAACAGGCAACATGTCTCCAGCCCAGGTGCCATTGCACAGGTATGGGTAAAAAGGGGGGATTCAGTTTGCACCTTTTAGGTTTGCAGAAGGAGGAGCTGCGTCTCGTCCTAGCTCACTTTCCTGGCCTCACCTTGCTTGTTGTAGCTGGCTCATTGTGAGTGGTAGTTTTAGGCGCAAGTGTCACAGGAACTGGCTGTGGCTCTGAGCCACAGATACATGGCAGCCGGCTGTGGTGATGCTAGACGGGTCTCCCTGCACACACCTAGATGGATCCTTTGCTGTAGCAGGGATGGGGAACTGGTGGCCCTCCAAATGTTGGAAGCTCAACAGCCCTCAATCCTGCACGGCCAATAGGTATGGATGATAGGCATTGGATGCACCAACACCCAGAGGACCATTTCTGCTCTTGAGGGTCTTCAAGTCAGCCAATGTTCTTAGCTAACGCAAGATATGGGCAATACAGATTTTCAGATTCAGTGCCACAACATTCCACACATTGGTGTCATTTCTAAGTCTGAGAATGCCCGTTTTCAATAAGGTAATAGAGTACCGCTCTCCTTTATGCCCAGAGCATTTATTTAGCATATTGAGCCGATTTGAAATCTGTTGCTGTTCCATGTAGTATCGGGTGTTTCTCTTTTTCCACCTGTTCAGTTCTCAGCGGGGGATAATGCTTTGTTCTCTGCGTAATTTCTTGCCTCGACAAGCATTTTTCAAGAAGACATTGTTCGATACTGACATCTCAGAGCTGTGGGTTGAGTTCTGTCTCCCAGGGATATTGCTTGTTCCATTCACTGATTTGACAGAACGCTGCTAACGCATTGTGAAATAACACTCACGCAGAATAATAAACAGTAATTTGGAATATCAACTCAGACTCATAAAGACCCTGCTCCAAGATCGATCCCCTGTAGGCGGAAGTGTAAAAGTTGCAGCACGCAAGGGCTTCTTCTTCCAAAGAGATGAGATGTTTCTGAGCTCCATCTTGGCTCGCACAAAACTGTGCCCAGAAGGGCACACAGGTGCTTGTTTCCATTCATGGATTTCCTGTGCTAGATCAAAGGAGAACTCCATGTTGAGAGACAGGATGATGATCTGGCTCAAGGACTCTGGCGTGGGCAAGGGAACTTCAGGTTCATATTCCCACCCACACCCCTATGGCCAAGTTCACTTTGTGATTTTGGGCCAGTGGCTCCAGGCACACCTTCCTCTTACAAGGTAGTGGTGTTGTTGATGATGATATATTTATGTAGCGTATTTTTCGCGCTATAAGCTGCACCAGACCACAAGATGCACCTAGTTTTTGGAGGAGGAAAGCAAGAAAAAAAATATTCTGAATCTCAGAAGCCAGAACAGCAAGAGGGATCTCTGCGCAGTGAAAGCAGTAATCCCTCTTGCTGTTCTGGCTTCTGGGATAGCTGCGCAGCCTGCATTAGCTCCATAAGACGCAAACACATTTCCCCTTACTTTTTAGGAGGGAAAAAGTGAGTCTTATAGAGAAAAAAATATGGTATTTATTTAAAATATTTCTTAACTGTCCTTCATCAGAAGATTCCAGGGCAATATACAAAAGTGTGGAAACAATCCATGTAGCATAAATGCAATAGGTTATTAAAGTGTAGGTGGGTTTCCATGAAATAAGACACAGTGATAACAGCAAGAACCTGTATTGAATTAACAGAACCGGACAACAGGGGGCAAAGCAACTGCTTATATACATTTCTGAAGGCCTGGACCACTCCCACTCCCAACGTGATTGGCTGTCTAAACTTCCAAGCTGTGAATCATGACTCAGAGTTTAAAGGCCAGTGGCAGAGGCCCAAATCCTGAAATGTTCTGTGATTGGATATCATGTATCGAATCAGAACACAGGGGCTCAGAATCCTTAGTCCGGACTCAAGCTCAGGCAAACACAGACCACTGAATACATATCACCTACACTCAACTGAGTTCCAGTCAGAGTAGGCCCATCAAAAATACTGGATCGTGGCCATTAGTTGGATGTAACCCAATTTTTAAAGGAAACAGAAAGAAGGCTAATCTTGTTGCACTCCAATAAACACTTATTTGGGTTTTAGTGCCATGAAACTCAGTGGCACTTCTGAGTAAACGCAGGATTTTGCTACATAAACCCAGCCTGAGTTTCTGGATGTAAGGGTAGGAGGTAAATGTTAACACCTGACATAAAATAAATAGTGATCCTTTTTGCTCAACAATTGGATCATGGGAGTATTTCCTTTTTATTCCAACAACTAGCTGCACAAGTCTAATCAGAAGTAAGTCCTATTGAATTCAATGAGGCTTTCTCCTAGGAAAATGAGATTAGGATTCCATCTTAAGGGCGCCTTAAAAGAGAGGGTTATAGAATACTGGCTTGATTATAGAATTGAAAGCTGTCAATATTAAATGTCAACCTTTTTATCCTTGCCTTCACCTTGTGGGCAACATAGGACATGTGTGTTTGTGTTTGTTTGTGTGTGTATATGTGTGTGCGTGTGTGTTTTTGTGTACTCCTATGGTCTTGCATCTTTAATGCATTAGATTCAGGATGTAATAGCTTTGCAACATTTATTTTATTGCCCATATGGGGGTTCAACTGGACCTCATATTGTTTATGTAGTTGCTCTAAATATATCTCTGTACAGAGAGACAGTGGTGCAACATCGTGTCTAAGCCTATCAGGGCCAACGGACATTGTACAAAGTCTGTAGCTTGACTGTGCAATCCAATATATGCATGTTCAGAAGTAAATCCTGTTGCTTTCAGTGAGAGTTTCTCCTAGGTAACTGCAGGCAGAGAACTGCAGACCGAATCTCACCTCTGTCACGGGTTAACCACGTTGTCTTCGGCAAGCCTCGCCCTCTGAAATAAGGAGGGCGTGGGAATACAACTGATCCTGCCTTGCCATTTACGCCCAAAATACAAGCGTTTTGAACACTCACGCACTACACAGATGCTTTCATGTGCAGAGCTTGCGCTGTTACCAGATGCCACATAATGTCCATTGTGCATTTGTGAGAAATTGATCTTTTAGTGTGGCAGCGCATCAGTTAGGCTAGCACACTTCTCCTATACAATTGTAGGCACTTGCTGAAACCGTTATTCCAGCAAGTCTATCCGGTCACATAATTAAGTCATGCATTCTTGTATCTCGATTATGTTTATTTTATCTCTGTGTTGATGATAATTATTTTACTGTTTTATGTACACTTATTGGATTTTATTTTTAATTAAGCTGTTTATTAAAACTCTTAAATTTGCCTTCAGCAAAGCTCTGTTCGCATTTACTTACTAACTGTACAAAGAATGGACAGGCACTCAATGTTTTCTTCCGTCTCTCTCTCTTTCTCTCCACACCCCACTCCCAAATTGCCCTGCAGGTTTCATAGATTTCATAGTAAAGCCAACATTTGCTCTTCTTACTGACTCCATGGAGAAAATAGTTTTTCCTCTTATAGAGGAAGCGTCAAAATCTGAAAGCCCTTCCTTCTCGACATCAATAAGGTTTGAGAAGCACCCCCCCATTTATATTATTATTGAAAATCGAAATTACTCTAATATAACATTGCCACCTAGTGGCAAGAGTTGCAACTGTGTTACATGACAGCATATAAATCCTGTTCAGGAAACGACTGTGTATATGTAAGGCAAAGACATAGCAGAATACAAATCATTATATTTGAAGGAGCTGGTGCTCAAAATATTATTCAGGAAATTTTGTGGAGGGATGATTTGCTTGGAGGTGTGTACATATGATTTCAAGGCTCTTTCCTCTCTGCCCTAAAGCAAATTATGAATTTAGCTTTTAGCCATTAAGCTTGTTATGCTAGCAAAATACTGTACGTTTTTGTTTCATAATAGCTTTGCGGCATCTCACAGTCACGAGATCCAAAGCAGAAATAGGAAGATTCGAGGTCATATAATGTAGGGCATATAAATAAAAATAAACCAGCACCCCTTTTGGCAAGGAACAGAGGTCTACAAGTTAATTCTCCAAGTCCAACTAGTGTCCTTTATTTAATTTAGGCTGCATTCTTATACTGAGTTTCCTGGGAATAAGCTCTATGGGACTCAGTGGGACTTCTAAGCAGGCATACATAGGATTGTATTGCCATGGCAAAGAACAGTAGAGTTGCGTTCTGCACATGGGCATAGACTGGAGAGGAACAGGGGGTCAGCTGCCTTCCTCTAAATCAAGTAAACATACAAAAACTCTTAACTATAAAAGTAGAAATTGTAGAAAGATTTTGACGGATTTCTCTGAGCACTTGGGGTCAAAGGAAAGGAATTTAAAACAACTGTTGTTGAGACATTTCATTCTGAATCTGCTAGGCAGAGCCAGACAGAGGAGGATGACAGATGAGTGTCCTCCCCCCCCCCCAAAAAAATATCCTGGCTATGCCCATTAGGGTGGTTCATTTTTTTTTTTTAATGCCTGCTCCAATGGTCTTATCTTACTACACTAGGGATTATATAGCTATATCTGAAATTTCATGCATATCAGTTAATATCTTGACCCTCCTCCACTGAATTGAAATTTCAGCCTTCATGACATAGGGAAACGACCAAGTAAACAGCTCATTGTGGCCTAGGGCTCTCGTATTTACAGGACCGACTCTCCTGGTCTGCCCCGCAGAGGACCTTAAGGTGCATGAATAATCATAGTTTAGAGGTCTCGGGTCCTAAGGAAGTCAGATTATCCTCCACCAGGGCCAGGGCCTTCTCAGTGATGGCTCCGACCTGGTGGAATGCTCTGTCCCATGAGACCAGGGCCCTGCAGGATTTAACTTCCTTCCGCAGGGCCTGTAAGACAGAGCTATTCCGCCTGGCTTTCAATTTGAACTTAACCTGATCTTTTATTCCCCTTCCTTCCCTCCCTCTCCCCTTTTTATGAAGATTACCCTCTCTGGGATCCCACAGCTAATTCTCCCTGGGTCTCCTTGCTGGCCCAAATAGGACTAATTTAGCCAGCTAGCCCTGGTGATCATCGAATGTTTTCCCCTAAATTGATTTTTTGAATTCAATTAGCTAGTGTAGTAAGAGAAGACCTTTGGAGCAGGCATTTTCGAAAAAGGTTTTTTTATGAACCGCCCTAATGCTCATGTCTCGTTGCCCTTTCCACCCTCCTCCATGTAGGGGATATTCCTGCATCAGTTATGGGAGCCTTTTACAACCTGGCATCCTTTAGACTGTTGACTTCAACCCCATCCAGAACTGATGCAAGCTGTGGTCAAAAGCCTCTGGAGAACCCCAGGCTGAGTTATGGGCTACAATGTATTACTGTCCTTTCTCCTTGTCTGTGCCCCCGAAGTGTCTTGCTCTGCCTTTAATCTAGTTCTTTAATCCACCCCCTCTTCTAGTGACATCGCTGGAGGATCCAGTGTGGAGGTACACAGAAGGATACATGTTAAAAATGCCGGGTGTGTTGGCGGGTCTTGCTCAGAAAACTCTTTGACCACCGTGGACTTAAGAAGCTTTAAAGACTCCCTGTTTCAGATCATACAAGAGAACAAAGACAGGTGGAAAGAGTTAGCAGAAAAAGGTACGTTTCCCATTTGTCAGAGTTCCATTTCCACCCCATTGGCTGGTTCACTCTTGAGCAGCAAAGTATCTCTGTTCATCTGCGCTCAAAGACAGTTTCCTTGCAAAACTACTACACATTAAAAACACCATGAGCACACAAATGGACGTGTGCATGTGAGAAAGACAAAGATACGGTGATCACCTTTTTTTGTGCATGGTATTTATGTGTATTTTTCTTTCTAAAGTTGTAGACAACCTGCTGTTCCTTTGATGGACATCGCTGCTGCACTTGCAGCATTCACACCACTAGGTGGCAGATGTCCACCCCATCTCTCACAGTGCTGTCCTTTCCATACTCGTGTCTTGATAGACCATTGCATATGAGAGATGAGAACCTGAAGTTTCCTTTTGACTGATAGCATGCAGTTAGCAAAGTCCAAGTGAAAAGCTTGCTTGCTTTCGAAAGGATAAAACGTTAACGAAAGAACGTAAGCAGAGGCATGCTGGAATGGATCAAAAAGGTCCGTCCAGTGCAGCGTTCTGCCTGCTACAACTTTGGTAGAGCATGAGACTTTTAATCTCAAGGTTGTGGGTTCATGCCCCATGCTGGGCGAAAGATTCTTGCATTGCAGGGGTTTGGACTAGATCAGGGGTCTGCAACCTGCGGCTCCGGAGCCGCATGTGGCTCTTTTACACCTTTGCCGCGGCTCCAGGGCGGATACTAGTGAGGGGAGGAGGCGCATTGTGCGCCCCGACACTCCCCACTGTGGCGGGCGCTGTACTGGCTGTGACGTCGCATGGGGGCGGTGCGTGCGTTAGTCACGCACCGTCCCGACGTCACCTTCCCGCCCGCTGTCAGATCGCAGCTCCGGAGATATATTTGTTTTAAATGTCGCAATGGTTTTGCGGCTCCCAGTTGTTTTTTCTTCGGAAACGGGTCCAAGTGGCTCTTTTTGTCTTAAAGGTTGCAGACCCCTGCACTAGATGCTCCTTGTGGTCCCTTCAACCTCTACAATTCTATGATTCTATGTTTATGGGAAGCCGATGAGCAGAATGTGAAGGTGATCACCCTTCCCTGCTGTTTTTGTTCCTGCCTCCAATAGCAACTGGTATTCTGAGGAGGAGGAGGAGGAGGAGGAGTTTGGATTTGATATCCCACCTTTCACTCCCTTTAAGGAGTCTCAAAGCGGCTAACATTCTCCAAACATCGGGGGTCAGCTTGAACTGAACTGAATTGTAAAATTTGGAAAACAGTTTAATCCAATTGTAAGATGCATCCCAGTCAGTCTGGAAACTACAAATTAACGTATTTTTCGCTCCATAAGAAGCACCTGACCATAAGACGCACCTAGTTTTTAGAGGGGGAATGCAAGAACAAGAATATTCTTTAAAGGGAGCGCTGAGCAGAGCCTATATGCATCTCAGGCCCTGCTCAGCGCTCCCTTTTACAAGCTGTGTGGAGCGTGTGTGCGACGCTTGCAGGCTTTTCCCCAAGGAGGAAGAAGGGCAGCCCATCACAGACAGGCTGCCCTTCTCCCTCCTTGGGGAAAAGCCCCCTAGAACTGCACACACGCTCCACGCGGCTCTTTAAAGGGAGCACGGCTCTTGCGAGATTTTCCAGGAGGTGGAGGAAGGGACAGAGGGGCTGCCCTCTGTCCCTTCCCCCACCTCCCACAAAAGCCAGGGAAAGCCACGGGAAGCCTCCTCAGGGCAGCGGGATGAAGGCTTCCCGTGTCCTGAAGAGGCTTTGCACGGCTAAGCCAGAAGCTAGAACAGCGAGAGGGAGCGCTGCACAGTTCTCCCTTGCTGTTCTGGCTTCTGGGATAGCTGCGCAGCCTGCATTCGCTCCATAAGATGCACACACATTTCGCCTTACTTTTTAGGAGGGGGAAAATGCGTCTTATAGAGCGAAAAATACAGTAGGTGAGATCCCTTGAAACTGAACAAAACTCTTGTGACCCACCAAGCAAAACGCAGCCTACTAGCCATGTATCGAGGCCTGCCAAGTTTTGACAAACCATGCCCCCATGTTTTTGCCATTCTAAGTAGGAAGGGAAGCATTAATAGGTCTCTGACATGCGTGCCAGCTTGCCCCCGCCATTGTGGGGGCCGGCGCTGAGTGACATGTAGCACACAGCGCATGGTGCGCTGATGACACGCATGCATGCAACATGCTGATGTGTCATGTGCCCATCGTGCACTTTGTGCGTGTGTTGCAAGCAGGCTGTGCGCATGCGCAAGAGATGTGAGTCTGCCACACAGTGTGCGCACATGGCAGGTGCATGGTCGCTGTGAAATTTTGAGGGGGGGAGGCCCCCTCTTGAAAATTTTGGAGGGGGGCCTTGGGGCCCCTTAGTTGGCACCACTGGTCTTTGATGGGCTCTCACACAGAGCTGCTTGGGCTTTATTTGGCTTGGTCAGTCAGCGATTGTGTGGCCCCCACCCTGGGAAAATCTCACTCTGTGACATAAAACCTTCTCTGTCTGTCTGTCTCTCTGTGTGTTTTGTTACTTTTAAAAAAAATCTTTATTGCATTTTAAAAGTTTACAAAGAAAGCTTGAAGTAAACATTACATCCAAATATTCAAAACTAAAAAGGAAAAATAGAAAAGAAAGTAAAAAAGATAAAAAGAAAAGAAAAAGATAAATAAAAAATGAGAAAAAAAGAAAAATGATGAATAATAAAAAAGGGGGGGAAAGAATTAATCAAATACACAAAATTGTAATTTAAATATTCTACACACCAGGTTCCCAGAAAGAAATTACATTTGTCATCCTTCTTTTCTTTCTTTCTTTACTGTCACTTTCTTTCTGTTCCGGAATGTTAGTTGACTTCCCTCTATCTCTTTGTGGCTTCGACACTTTTCTTAAATAACAAGTATTCTTTACTGGTTTATTTAAATCTGTTTCCCCCCAATATATCTGTGAAATTAATCTAAGGACAACCAAGTATTATTTTTGGAACCATATTTTATCAGGTAGTTTTTGAAGCAATCCCATTCCTTTTTTACGTTATTGCCTGAGTGATCTCTTATTAGTTCTGTCATTTTGGCTAGTTTGAGGTACTTGCACAACTTTAATTGCCACTTGTCTTTTGTTGGTATTAAATCACTTTTCCAGTATTTTGCAATTAGCATTCTAGCCACTGTTGTCGCATAAAGAAACACACTTTTGTTTTCGTTTTGTGCAATAAGGTTCCTTCGTTTTGTTTACATCACCAGCACATATTGTTGTTATTTTTATATATTTTTTGCTAATTTGGATGGGGTCAGGCACCATCTGTAAATCATTTTCATAAAGTTTTCTTTTATCAGATAGCACACAGTGAATTTTAAGTCTTTCCCCCATAATTTTTCCCATTTTTCCATCTCAACTGGATAACCAAAATCTTGTGCCCACTTCACCATGACTTCCTTGATTTCCTCGTCTTTAAGGTTCCAGTCCAGTAATAATCTGTATGTTTTTGATAATATATTTTTATTATTTAATAAAAGTTCTTTTTCTAAATCCAATATCTTTGTTTCAAATACATTAATATTTTTGGTCTGATTTAAAAATTTCATTTCACTGGTTATATTGTAGCCAGTTCACACCTGCCTGCTTTAATTCTTCATATTTTAAAATTTAATTGGTTATTTTCTTTTTCTAAAATTTTCTTATATATTAGCCAATTAATGTCCATATTTTTCTTTTTTTACTGCTATTGCTTCTATCGGTGACAACCACCAAGGCGTTTTGGGTTCCAATAATTTTTTGTTTCTTTCCCATACAGTAAATAGATATTTTCTTATTATGTGACTGAGGAATCCTCTTTGGATTTAACTTTATTACAGTGGTACCTCTGGTTATGAACTTACCGTATTTTTCACTCTATAAGACGCACCAGACCACAAGACGCACCTAGTTTTTGGAGGAGGAAAACAAGAAAAAAATTATTCTGAATCCCAGAAGCCAGAACAGCGAGAAGGATCGTTGTTCTGGCTTCTGGGATAGCTGCGCAGCCTGCATTCACTCCATAAGACACACACACATTTCCCCTTACTTTTTAGGAGGGAAAAAGTGCGTCTTATAGAGCGAAAAATACGGTAATTCGTTCTGGAGGTCCATTCTTAACCTGAAACCATTCTTATCCTGAGGTACCATTTTAGCTAATGGGGCCTACCGCTGCTGCCATGCTGCCGCCGTGTGATTTCTGTTCTCATCCTGAGGTTAAGTTCTTAACCTGAGGTACTACTTCCGGGTTAGAGGAGTCTGTAACCTGAAGTGTTTGTAATCTGAGGTGTTTGTAACCCGAGGTACCACTGTATATCCCAGATAACTGTGCCAGCCGAACCTATTTTTTCAGCCTTCGATGTCTAATATATTTGCTTTTTAAAAAATCATCCATTCTTTAAGCCATACTAAACATGCTACCTCATAATACAATTTGAGGTCTGGTAATGCAACCCCCCCTCTGTCTTTCATTTCCATTAGCAGTTTGTACTTTATCCTTGGGTTTTTTGCCCTGCCATATAAATTTTGCCAAATCTCTCTGCCATTCCTTAAAGCAATATAGTCTGCTTATTATTGGGATTGTTTGAAAAAGAAACAACATTTTCGGTAACACAGTCATCTTTATTGTAGCTATCCTTCCCCATAGTGACAAATTTAGCCTATTCCAAATTTCCAAGTCTTTTTTTATTTCTTTCCATGTTTTGGCACGGTCATAATTATATAAATTTATGCTTTTTACCGTGATCCAGATTCCTACGCATTTAACTTTGTTTGTTATCGTTAGCCCGGTCTTATTTACTAGCTCTAATTTTTCTTGTTCGTTCATATTTTTCACTAATAATTTAGTTTTATCTTTATTCAATTTAAAGCCTGAAACCATTCATTTTTTCCATTGCTTCTGTTATACTTTCTGTTGGATTTTCTATCGTAATGATGACGTCGTCGGCAAATGCTTTTAATTTGTAAGATCTATTTCCCAATTTGATCCCTTTTATTCTTGGTTCTTCCCCTATTTCCTTTAATAATGTTTCCATTGTTGTTATAAAGAAAAGTGGTGATAGTGGGCAGCCCTGTCTGATGCCTTTAGAAATATTAAACGTTTCTGATAAATTGTTATTTATTATCAATTTGACTTTTTGATTTTTATATATCGCTTTTATGCCGCATCCAATTTTCTCTCCTAATTCCATTACATCAATAGTTTTCTCCATAAATTTCCAAGACACATTATCAAAAGCCTTTTCCGCATCCACCAGCATCAGTGCAGCTTTTTTATCAGGCCTCATATCCAAATATTCCTAATGTATTGATCACCATTCTTGTGTTATTATACATTTGCCTCCCTGGAAGGAAGCCCGCTTGATCGTCATTGATAATTCTCTTCAAAATCTTTTTTAATCTATCCGCCAATATTCCTGCAAATAATTTATAATCTGAATTTAGTAAAGAAATTGTTACTGTTCTGTAGAAGAACAAGTGCCAAAAGCTGGTGGGGAGAGAAAGGAACAGAAAGGCCAAAGCCGATGTGCTACAGACCCGTTGCTAGAAGAGGTGGCAACGGAGACACCAAATGAGAAGAGCAAGGAAAGCGGTGGTGAAAGGCCATCTGTGGACTTGTCCCATACCTCTGTCATCCTTCAAGTGCACTCTCTCAATTCCCTGCCCAAACCATCTGACTCTGAGATCTCACCAAAGGATTCTTTGAATGGAAAAGGGACTGCGGATGTACAGCAAGGCACAAAACCTTGTGCTCCACTAAATGGTAAGAGGACATCAGCAAGCATGCCTTGGATGGGTTTTGTTTTTAATCTAATTTTCCATTACAGATTCTCACATTCAAATCAATATAACCATACAATAATCATCAACTTCCCCCTTTCCCCCACTCCACGGTTCATTTTCGTTATCCATTACCACTGCGTATCCCAATTACTCCCTATATTTTCTTTTATCCCCATTTTCATTATATCTTTACTTAATTTAAACTGCTGAATTTGCTGTAACCCTGCTAATGTTTTATCCTGCTTACAATGATTCTTCAGATATTCTACAAACATTTTCCAGTCTTCCTTGAAGGCTCCTTCTTCCCATTCTCTCATTCTATTCGTTAAATTTTCTAATTCTGCATATTTCATCAGTTTCGTCTGCCACTTCTCCTTTTATTGGCATCGTTCTCTCTCTCCATTTCTGAGCATATATCGTTCAAGGCTGCTGTGGTTGTGTGGGTTGTTAGGATTTTGGACATGCCACCATATTTATTCCATCTCCATTCAGTCATAGTTACTAAAATAAGGTATTCAACCCTGCAGTTAACAGATCACACCTTATGCAAGCGTGCACAGACTAATAGGTGTCTATGTAAAAGAAATTAGCCAGTACAAAAATGTAGCCAGATTCAGCTATGAGCAACGAGTTATAGTGTTGCTTGGGAATTCTAAAATACCCCCTCCCCCCAAACCCTGAGATTTATAAATCACTAATGGCAGTTTGTTAGTATCTAGATGTTAATAAACTCTGGTCAACCTGGAAAACACCTGTCCCAGATCCATCCCCAAATTAATTTGAGGGACAGGCTAGTGTTTAATCAGAGCTTTAAAAACCCTATGCAGTTTGGAGGGGCAGGGAAGGAGATGTTGCGTCTCCCCGCCTCCCCACAACCAGGGGCAGAGGAAAGGGGGTGCGGTAGGCGCAGGCCACCCCAGGTGTTACCACTGAGGGGAGTGACAAAATGCCGGGTGGCACTCACTGCAGGGCCTGCAGCATGCCCGAGTCACATGTCTCTCCTGGGAGAGACGTGGTGGATTGGGAATGCGCAGGCTCCACACTGCCCAAACGGTCTGCCCGCTGCCTCCCCCCAGCTGTAGGGTGGCTGAGTGGGAGGAGGCAGGCAGACTCCAGAGGCCCTGCAGTGTGCTCTGCCCCTATGGGCAGCTCATCCTGCCCCTGGGCGTGCCGCCCCGGGCAACTGAGCAGCTTCCTCCGCTGCTGCCTGCAACCACACCGCAGAGAGTAGGAGAGTTCTGTCCTGCTGGGTATTCCCTGCACAGATCCCTGCAGGCAGTAGGATTGTTTAGGGAAGCTTTTAATGTTTGATGTATTACGGTATTTTAATATTTTTTGGGAAGCTGCCCAGAGTGGCTGGGGAAGCCCAGCCAGATGGGTGGGGTATAAATAAATTATTATTATTATTATTATTATTATTACCCATTTGGTGGGCCTCCCATGTACCGCAGCTTCATGTACTGTGTCTGCTTGGCCTCCCGCCTCTGGCATCATTGCCCCCCCCCCCCGTGTCTTGGCTTGTTGTGGTTCAGGTCCCAGCCACCGCCACTAATGGCAGCGCCACCTGCCCCTGCTCCATGGCTGCCTCGCTTATCCTTCACCGCTGCCACCGCTGCATTATGGGAAACAGCTCTCCCTGAGCCAGCCACACCTCACTCACTGCTGCCTCTCAGGTTGACATTTCAGGATAGGAAGCAGATCTTCATCAACGCACGCAAGTCCACTTTCCTCTGTTGAAGGGATGTAGCCCTCCATAAGCTGTTGGATCACAACTCCCATGATCTATGACTGTCGGTCATGCTATCTGAGGCTGATGGGAACTGGAGACATAACATCCAGAGGGGCACAGTGGTGTAGTGGTTAAGAGCGGTAGACTCGTAATCTGGTGAACTGGGCTCGATTCCCTGCTCCTCCACATGCAGCTGCTAGTCACACTTCTCTGAAGTCTCTCAGCCCCACTCACCTCACAGAGTGTTTGTTGTGGGGGAGGAAGGGAAAGGAGAATGTTAGCTGCTTTGAGACTCCGGGTAGTGATAAAGCGGGATATCAAATCCAAACTCTTCTTTGCTCTATTGAAGCAGCCAGGTGCTCAACACCTTCATTTGTGCATCTGAGCATATACAGGGTTTGGGGGATATCATTTTTGCATACTGTGCTACAGCCTTCCATTGGTTTCAGTAGGAGTTACCGCCTCCTTCCTTGGAGGTTTTTAAGCAGAGGTTGGATGGTCATGGATGCTTTAGCTGAGATTCCTGCATTGCAGGGGGTTGGGCCAGATGACCCCTGGGGTCCCATCCAATTCTGCACTCCTATGATTCTATGATATAGCTGCAGAGTGAAAGATCGAGCATTGGAGATCAGATTTATATAGGCATCTGGATTCACATTTCCCTATACTTTCCTTGCAATGCCTTTCTGGGCTCCACTGAAATAGCTGAGTGCATATTTTGATATGGGTTGGAATCCACACATTCCCATCCAGGGCTATCAGTTATTACACGTGATCATGAACGCTTTGGGGTGGGGCCTTGGTTTCTAAATCTCTGATAAAAAGTTTGGTGAAGCATCCAAAAGAAAAAGCTCAGACTATATTAATAGAAGCTATTAAACTTCTATTAAACTTGTTATTTATTTGCTGAATGCCAAGGTTGCTGGGAAAGTAATGCTCACCTTTTCTAAGTAAATAGCGAGGGCTGGTTTCTTTTTCTGGCTGAGCAAATCCTCCGCCTGTTATTACAGCACGTCCCACTAATTGTAGGCACTTAATATCATTGGAATCCCATGGGCCAAGTCATTTGTACTGAAAAATAAAGAACAGGTTCCATTGCTAATTTTACATGATTTTAATGTGATGCACTCCAAAACGGAAAGTCGATGTAGAAGCTTTCATTTCATTAATATGGAACATTCCTTTGCTAGTACGGAATGGGAAAAGGGAATAGCTAGAAAGCCCTTCATCATACACTGTGATAATTAACTTGGATTAAAACTAATGAAACCAACTGCAGCCGACATTCTGATGGGGATGGAATTTGTCTGTTATCTGTAGGAAAAGCATTGCTGTAAATAGAATTCTACAGCTTATGTTTTATGTTAACATTATAGTGATATTAAGTGTGAGTTTGGAAAGGGAGATTGAGTTGCTGAGGGAAAATGGCTGTGACCTTACCCACTTTTTGACTGGGACCTGCTAGTGGGTCACAGCCTGATCCAAAGTGGGTCATGACAGGGGCCCTACCATCATGCAAATATATGGTAATTGGTTAAGAAATGGAGCCCCCAATGAATGCATGTTTGGGTTAAAAGTGGGTCCTGGGTCTGGAAAGGTTGAAAAATGATTAGCCAATCAGCACACATACAAAATATTATTGATTTCAGTGGGAGAAAGCGAAGGATTCATCATCAACGAGAACTGAAGCTGCAATCCTGTACAACTATATCGGCTGATTGCTGGGTCTGGCGAAGCCCATTGCAAAGCATTCTTCAGGACCCCATTGCAGAGCCACTTTGCAAGGCGCTTCTCAAAACCTGCCATTCAGCTGATCATCAGGATTTGCAAATTCTTTTTCACACGGCTTTGCAGGCATCAGAAATCAGTGTTTTGGAAGAAATCTAATTCTGTTCTTGTTTAAAGGCAAACATGTTGACACTTTCTGAAATAGTATGTGAACCGAAACACAGCTATCCATCAAAATCTGAACTTCTCTAGATTTTGCAATGCAGTTCTCTAGCCAACTTCTGTGGGGGGGGGGGGGAGAGAATATGCCAGAGAAACATGCATAAAATGCATACAATAGTGAAACTAACAAAATAAAAGAGCATTATATTACAGGCAGGGCCGTCTTTACCCGGGGGTGCAAGGGGTGCAGGGCACCCGGGCCCCGAATTCTGGGGGGCACCAGGCACCCGCCACTGAAGCCGCCTAAGCTCTTAACTATCTACCTGTTATGAAATAATAAATAATTTTGATCAAGCTAGAAAAACAAAATACATATATACCTAGGTATTACCGAAATGTATACCTACTGTTTCACTAAAGGACTTTTGACTTTGTGCGCTCATTTACCAAAGACGTGCTGCTCCAGCAGTGGTGCTTGTCATTCACAACAGCTCCATGCACGCGAAATTAACCCTTACATCAAATTATTATATTACGTATTGTATTGAGCTGCTATGCAGCAGCAGGGTCAGCGGCACCTTTGACACGACTGATGTTTCTCCTAAGTAGGTGCCTAAACAATACTTATAAGTTTAATTGTGGTGGTGGTGTATACTTAAGTATAAGTGTGTTGTAAATAAATGAGTAAATAAAATAGTTTGTTTCTTTTTCCTCCCTTCTTTCGTAAACAAGAGATAAGGCATAAGCGTGGTGTCTGACATAAGCATAATAAAGTTAATTTGGGGGCTAAACCAAATTTGGGGGCGCTGGGTGGATCTTTGCACCCTGGCGGCGTATATGCTAAAGACAGCGTTGATTACGGGAAATTGCTTTGCAAAGATTTCTATGCTAGGCAAAATTGCATATGTAAATGTGTCTATTAGGATAAATTTGAACTAAAATGCTGGTGGGTTTTCAGGAGGACTTTTTAAATTAAATTGCAAATTGGTGTGGGATTGTGGAGAACTGAATTTAAGACTGGAAAAAATGAGAATTGGAGAGAACCTGAAACTGGCAGATTCTCCCATCCCTCTTGGTGGCACCTGAAAATCTCTTTTAGCTGGGCCAGGCTTTTGCCTGCTCCACACCTGATGTCATATATCTGTGGTTTTCAACCAGTGTGTCATGGCACCCTGGGGTGCCTTGAATGATGGTCAGGGGTGCTGTGGGCAACACTGGCCTCTGTCCCTCCTTCCTTCCCTCCCTCCTCTGATGCCCTCTCGTGTCTCTGCCTCCCAAAGGCTTGCACAGCTGTTTGTGCAGCAGCCCTGACTGCAAGCTCCCCAGGCGAATCGTGTATCTGGGGCTGGTCAGGGGGTGCTGGTTGCCAGGAGCTGAGGTGGCCTCAGAGTAAGCAAGCAAGCAAGCAGGTGAGGGAGCCCAGCCAGCCAGTCTACCAGCCCTTGATGTTGGGAATGGACAGACAAGTCCCAGGTCCCTGTGGGGCAGTGTGAGGAGGCAACTCTCTTTGGGGCAGGGAGAGGGCAGCTCAGAGACCAGGGGCAGCAGTGGCGGCTGCCCAGAGGACTTCCAAGGAGAAGGGAGAGGAGACGGAGGGAACACTCCACAAGGGAGGGTGTTCAAAAAAGGGTGAGAGCCTGTCAGTTCTACAGGTGAGGAGTGACATAAATGGACTCCTGAGCCCCACAGGGCTGTTGCAGAAAGAATGTAGTTGGTCAAGGGAGCGTGGACTCAGAAAGGTTGAAAACCTCTGTCATATATGATGGCAGGTAGGCATGGCTTGGCCAATATGGCCTATGGCCAAATGGAGAGGTCTGCTGAACCTAAATAGGCCTGCGGACCAGAGGTTCCCCACCCTGATTTGCCCACTTACCTGGGAGTCAGCCCCATTGTGCTCAAACGGGATTTACTTCTCAGTAGACGTGTATGGAATTGTGCCATAGATGTGCTTAACCGTGTCTGCATCTCCTGGTTCTCAAGGCTAATGCAGAATTTAAGTAGCATATACAGTTCTCCACCCACCACCACCATTTGCAGCCATCTTGTGAGGTGCATTAGGCTGGGAGGCCCTAGGCCAGCCAAGAAGTTTCATGATTGATTGGGAATTTGAACCAACCCAGGCTTTCCTGGACATAGTCCAGCCCTTCAACTGCTAGGCCACACTTAGACAGTCAAGGCCACATAATAGCTGGCTCACGTGACCTATGTGGAGACTTTTTTATTTTTAAAAAAGCTTTGTTTTTCTTTCCAGGTGAGCCTAACCTCAATAAGACCCCAGAAGTGACCCCTGAAGAACAGAAGCAGAAGCTGCTCCGCAACTAGATGAGCTGCATCCTCAAATGTTTCTGCTGTTTTGAGAAGCATAGGTAATTGTTTTCCTACCTGGTTTTCCCCTTGCGACAGAGCCCTGAGAATTAAGTTGCCACGGGGTCGCGAAATGGCTCCAAGTCACATTACAGGGTTTGCATCCCATCACTCTGTTTTCTGTATCTGGGTGACTGTTTTATCTGAACAGTTAAAAGAAGAAGCCTCATAAAGTTGTAATGGGATGGAGCGTGTCCAAGAGAAGGAAGTCCGGTTGCAGGAGAGACATGTATCTCAATTGCTTGGGATCCAAGTATCCCCATGAGGCAAGTTAGCGTTGACCGTGGGGGCCAGTTTTGCCAATGCAGTGGCTCGAATTATCAGGAGGAGACAACCGACGACACTGTGTGGAGTTGTTGCCCATGTGTGCTGAGGCTGGGAGTGAAGAGGGAGAGGTGGCGCTAGGGTACTTTTTTTGGTATTACAATTCATCACTGCAACTTTCACATTTTCAAAACTTTGGAGAAAAACAGGAAATAGGGCGCTGTTCGCCTATCGTGCCCCCTTAGTGGAAGGATTTCTGCTTCTGCCATGGGACTTTCTCCCCTCTCTTCCCTCTGTGTGTGCACCTCTCACCCTCCCTGAATCTGCTCCGCAGGATTAGTGGAACGCATGGAACAGATTTAGGGGGTACACTGGGGGAGGAGAGGTGGGGGGACCACTCTGTTGCACAAGCAGAAATCCTTCCACTGATGGAAAGTTCACTCGGTGCTATGTTGGATTCTGCACATAGCCAGTCGTGCTGCCTTTGTTGGAATGAAGCCACAGAGTTTCCCTTCTGACTCCAGTGTTGCTGCTGCTTACCTGGATAGGACTGGGACAGGGCACAGTGGTGATGGTGAGGTTGTTCCCATGGTACTGCCTTCTTCAGCACCCTGCTTGGCTTAGCTCTGCCCAGGTAAACAGCATCAATACTAACCTTGGGAGGGGGACCTCCATAGCTCCACACACACACACCCTTCACCACACCTGGAAATAACCCACTGTGCTTTCATGTCCTTATTGTTGTAGCATGTGGCATACCTTTCAATTTTTAAAAATCCACTCTTCAGTCAGTGTGGTGTAGTGGTTAAGAGCGGTAGTCTCGTAATCTGGGGAACCGGGTTTGCGTCTCCGCTCCTCCACATGCAGCTGCTGGGTGACCTTGGGCTAGTCACACTTCTTTGAAGTCTCTCAGCCCCACTCACCTCACAGAGTGTTTGTTGTGGGGGAGGGAGGGAAAGGAGAATGTTAGCCGCTTTGAGACTCCTGAAGGGGAGTGAAAGGCGAGATATCAAATCCAAACTCTTCTTCATCATCATCAAGCAGGTGCTACTTAATGACACTGGGAGAATCAGCATCCTTCAGTGTGTAGTCCATTCTCCTTTGTAACCTTCAAAATGTTCAGTTTCATTACTCCACAGTTAAATGCCTTGAGTTTCGCACAACAGCAAATCTCAGCCTCCTCCCTCCTCCATTTCTGTTTACAGGATGAACAGTGCAGCACTAAGACATCTCCATTCCCCACGAGGCTGTTACCTTCTGTGCCAAATCATCCTTGGACCATCCTATCTATAGACGCAAAACTGATGGATACTGAAACATTAAACACTACAAAGCCCTGAGCTGGTAACTCAAGGCACTTAATAGCAGCGCTGGATATGTGGAATTATTTTGTTCCTTCTTCTGGTCCTGCTACCCCTCAGCTTTGCTGGAATGCATTTCCAGCCAATTTCCTTTGAAATCCATGAACGAATGTTGCCATGTGCAATGTGGGCTGAAGACTGACTGGCTAGCAGAGACTTCTGGACAGCCTGCTTGGGACAGAAAGCACAACCACGGCTTGTAGATGACCGAGGGGTGCAGTGGGTGGGTGGCATATCAAGCTGAAGTCGCTACAGACAGCCACAGCCTTTCCTTCTCACAGCCCTGTTGCATAATGACGCTCATGTCTGCATTTATGCGGGTCCTTTTCTTTTTCAAAGCGCGGGAGAGAGATTCCGAAAAGCTGTACTGAAAAATTCAGGAGTCGCGGAAAAGCCTCTTGAATGAGCAGTGAATGTATTGTTGACACCATTCTGTGTTTAGGTGGTGGGAGCAGGTGTTTTATTTAACCAGCTTTTTTAAGAGAGAGAGAGAGAGAGAGAGAGAGAGAGAGAGAGAGAAATGATCTGTTTAAAGGTAGTGAAATAACAGTAGGTCACAAGTTCAAAGTGTTGCCCTTCTTCTTGGGCTCTAGCAGACGAGGCATTGCCTGCTGGTTAAGCATGTGCTATGCATGCAGAAGTTCCCAGATCTAATTCCCTGGCACTTCCAGTTTAAAAATGAGCTGTGCAAGGCCTCTGGCTACAGTCTTGGAGAGCTGCTGCCAGCCTGAGTAAACATTACTAGGCTAGATAGGCCAATTGCCTCCTTAAGGCTGCTTTATATGTCTGTTGTTCAAAACTATCTTGATAGATATGCCATGAAATTGCATTGTGTTTTTTTAAATATATACATATACAGAGAGAGAGAGACAAAAGAACTACCAATGATTGGGGTACGTGGTCTTAACTTGCTCATAAACCCCAGGCAAATGGTCTGTGGGCACCACTGAGGAGATAATTCAGTCAAAACCTGTCTGTTGTACTGAGGACAGCACAGTGACTCTGCATGCTATAGCAGTTCCTCTTCTTCTTTTCAGGCCTCTCTCACATTTTGAACTGGGTACATTCCAAAATATCAGGGATGGTATAAGATAATACCAAGAAGTCATAACAGATGCCAGTTGCCATGGAAGCCATAGCAGATCTGCGCAGTTTTAGTACGGATTATTTAATTTGGGGTGGGAGTGATGCAAAAGATTTGGGGGTGGGGTGGGAGAGAGAAGCATTTTAAGATATTTTATAAGGGCCAGAGCTTGCCTTCAGCATGGACTTTTGTGTACAGTACCGTAAACAAACAACATTTCAAAGAATAAAAACGTATGATATACTGTATAATGCAACTTGCGGTTTGGCTACTCTCTCTTTCTCTGTGGGTGCGCATGGGAGCATGTGCACATGCACAAACTATGGCTGCCAGGTGACTCCCAAGAGTCTGTGCCCTCATGTCCTCTTGCAGAATTGCTTCTCCATTCAAATAACTGTCACCGTGAATCATCTGCTTTAAAATGGGATGCGAGAGGTATATTCAACATGTGTGTGTATATATAATTGGGCTAGTCTTAAGGAATTACTCAGGAAAAACACCAGAAGCATTCGAGTCCAGAGCCTGGGGTGCAAATAGAAGCCATGATTTATCTGCACTGAAGTGAGTGATATGGACTTTACAGCAATGAGAACTCAGTGAGGACAAAGCACCCCAGCCTGCCTACAACAAACCATAAATCTGTGGGACACTGATTTTCCAGTGTGTTAAAGATCTAGGAGGAATCCCTTACACCAGCTCTTTCTGCAAAAGTACGCCAGCTTTGTGCTTGCATTCGGCATGCCTACAGATGAAACTCTGCAGTCTGTGAGTCTAGCCACCAGCCAGAGATCTTTGGGCTGAGATTGCCAAGACTTTGGGCTGAGATTGCCTCTTGTCAGTGCTAGGAACTTGGCTCTGGTGGGTGGAAAGCAGGGTTTGCTAATGCCTTTTTGTGAAGCAGCAGACATAGTATATGGACTGTAGATTTTGGAACTGGTTGTTTGAAAATGGAAGGAATTCAATATCGTGCTAAGGCGATCGTTCTGCAAGGCAAGTATTTCAGCTTCCGGTCAGAACAGCCTCCCTCCTCTCCCCTGCTTGGGCTGTTCCATGGGTTCTCCTGGGTAGGGGTCATATCGGGAGGAGAGGAGGGGAAAGCCCTATTGGGCAACTGGAAGTCCTTGCGCAGGATTTCCACCGACAGGGCTCCTCGTTTGAAACCCACCCAACGAGGCCAGGCGGCATTTTCAAGAGGTTTAAGCACCCAAAGCAGCTTTGAAGGTGGAAAATTGCATGAGAACCTGTCAGCTCATGCAAACAATGAAGCCAGTGGAGGACAATTGTGCATCCTCCTTTTACACTACTTGTATAGTATTCACTGCTATAAGTGGTGGCAGAAGTGGGTTTAAAACTCCTAACAATCACTGGCCCAACTGAGGACAAACGCAGGTGAGGACAGCTCTGGGACATTTTCCACAACAGGAGGGATAACATCATCTACCAAAGCACCAAGGCAATTTGCAGGCCATCTTCACCCTAGCAAGCAAATGAGGTGATAACGAGGCTTTCAAGTTTTGTTATGGTTTGTGACGTGAAGTCATAGAATCTGTTGAGGTTGCTTTGAAAAATAAAATCCCTGAAAGCATGCCTATTGGGGGGGCCTCCTGTTGAGCTCAATCCTATAACTACGTACAGTGGTACCTCTGGATACAAACGGGATCCGTTCTGGATCCCCATTCGCATCCTGAAGCGAACGTAACCCACGCCTGCACTGGTCGCAATTCGCCACTTCCGCGCATGCGTGTGACGTCATTTTGACCATCTGCGCATGCGCGAGCAGTGAAAAACCCAGAAGTAACATGTTCCATTACTTCTGGGTCGCCGTGGAGCACAACCCAAATGCGCTCAACCTGAAGCATATTTAACCCGAGGTATGACTGTACTTCAGAATAAGCCCCACCAAAATCAATGGGACTTGCTTCTGAGTAGAGAGGCATACATTTGCACTGTGTACTCACAGTACAATAGAACTATTTGGCCATTTCTGGTGCAGGGAATGCCATTTGACTTTAAGGACTGAGTAAAACTATGTTCATGCGATACATAGTTTTCATGTTTTGTGTGTGTGTGTGTTGAAAAAAACCCTAACCAGTTTTAACTACTTGCGTTACCATTCTAAGCACTGTGGAAGGTTTCAATCTGATGGTCCAGAGAAGCAGGCCTTTCTTCTGCACGTCTTCTCCCTCCCTCTCACAGAGAGAGCAACTGAGACTGGGAACACATAGACACCAATCACTTGGCTTTGCAATGCTTGGCAGCAGGGCTGGGGAACCTGGTGCCCTCCCTAGATACCAGCCTTGCATACTGGCCATGCTGGCTGTGGCTGAAGGAAGTCTAACAATATGGAGGCCACAGGTTCCCCAGCCCGACTTCACAGAGCATTGCCTCGCCTGCTCTTTCCCGTGCACACATATTCCTCATGCACAGCCACCTACAGGGGCGGCCTTGCAATGAGGTGAGGCGAAGCCATTTGCCTCTGGCAGCAGATCCAACCCACTCCCACCCTCACCACTGAACCATTGCCCTCACCTCTGTGCCCATTGTGGCTTTGCTGCTTCCTCTGTGTCACAGCAGCAATGCAGGCCCAACCGCAGGCGAAGTTGCAGTAGTAGGGTTGGTGGCAGCGCGAGAACAATGGCAAGGGCGTGGAGGGGGAAAAACACACCAAGAACTCAGACCAATGTTAGTTTCAATAGTGGGAGTGGTCCCTACTCACAAGTCAATAGTCAACAGTAACAAAAACTAATCCATTCAAAAGTATGTATTCTGACAAGAATTACAAACTCAAGTAGAGATTACAAACTCAAACTCATAAAGATATGTATAACAAAATAATTCATTACAAAGATTTTCTCTTTTTCACTCGACAATAATGTTGATCCTTATAATTTATCAGCTTGCAGATGGAGACTCAGTTTCAATCGCAGGGCCCTGTTTTGATGTATTCACCTTCATCAGCTGGAAGTATCAAATATTACATGAAAATACATTTAGATTCTAAATTATCATAAATTATAAAACAATATTATATACCATTTGATTCCTTACCTAATTTTTAAAGGGTTGTGTTACTATTTTTGTTACTATTGACTATTGACTTGTGCGTAGAGACCACTCCCACTATTGAAACTTACATTGGTCTGAGTTCTTGGTGTGTTTTTTTCTCTTGGTATATTTAATAACAAGAACTCCAACTTATTTAAGGGCGTGGAGGGAGCCTGGTTCTGTAGAGGGAGAGGTTGTGGGGGTGGGAGTGGCATCAGCATGCTGGAAACCAACAACGAACATTGAGATCTTGCTCATCTCCCTGCTTTGTTGTTGTCCGTAGGGATTATGGGGAGCTGAGCAGCAGCATTGCAGAACTACAACAGCAAAGTGCTGGGTAGCGCTCATCTCTTGAGTGAGTAGAGGCATCTCTTCCTTAAGAGACATCCTGCTTTACTCTGTGTCTGAGGGAGAAGCCAGCTGGAAGGACCTTTGATTCCCAAGAGATTTGAGTGCAGGTCAGATAATAACAATCAATAATAATTTTATTCTTTGTACCCCATCCGTCTGACTGGGTGCTCCTAGCCGCTCTGGGCTGCTTCCAACATATCTAAAAACATAATAAAACATTCCACATGGAAAAGCTTCCCTCTACAGAGCAGCCTTCAGATGTCTTCGAAAGGTCATATAGTTACTCATCTCCTTGACATCTGAAGGGAGGGCATTTCACAGGGTGGACGCCACTATCGAGAAGCCCCTCTGTCTGGTTCCCTCTACAGATGTGTATTGCAGATGGCTCAGAGCAACCGCACACTCAGACACAATAAACAGCCAATACAGATCAGGCCTTGGTTTAGCAATCCAAGTTTATATGTCAAATGCAAACTAAGTGGGGATCACCAACAGAACTGTTAACTACAACTCCCAGAATCCTTTGGAGGAAACAAGGACAAGTCACAGTTGTATAAACACAACATACATTTGTAATATATCTCGGGCCTTCGTTGTCCCCGAAGGGGGCAATGACAATAAAGATATTATTATTATTATTATTATTATTATTATTATTATTATTATTATGTCCCAAGGGCCTGTTGAAAATACCGTCCAACAATTATTTTGTATATTTATCTTGGGAGGGCAGGTGTTCCCTGTAATTTAATAATGGGTTATGATTTCTGGACGTTTTGAATTTTCAATTTTCAATGTGGCAAGCATCATGGGATGATCAGGGTTATTTTTTTCTGCTGTACTTGCCTGCGATAAGAAGGCGAAATAAATTATATTGGAAAGTAACGTTTGTAAAATGTTGACATGCCTTTGAGATATATAATGCAAAGCCTTTGATCACTGCCTATAGCTTTGTTTGGCAAAAACTGATGCACCATAAAAAAAATATGCCATTGATTTCTATAGCTTGTGATTCTGTAGTTTCTGGTGTTTCCCCCTTTCTTCTCCTTGCCTCCCAGTGAGGAAAGCAAACACACCTTGTGCTATGTCTCTTTTTTCTCCTGGGTTCTTTCCCTCCCCAAAAGAGAGTGCAGTATAGATAGGTAGGACTATCACTTAGGCCTTGCCAAAATATACATCACAAATAAAGTAGATTAAAGAGAAGCCCAGTTTGCATACAATGTGCACGTGCAAATTTATATTTCTAGATCCATATTTAAGAAACAGTAATAGGATAATATTAACAGAAACTATAAGCTCAGTTGAGTTTTGGGTCCTGAGATGCTACTTTCAAGACATGTTGCTGCCTGAATCTGAGCCCCAGTGGCCCCTCCTGCTAGGGCCAATATTTGAAGAAGTCTTGCTGTACCATTAAGACATTGGTTTCTGCCTTCATCTATCTCCTGACCTCCCCTGGTCCTGCCTGAAGCAGGTTACTTGGACTTGATGCACAACAGAATCCTAGCAACTCTAGAAAATGCCCCCTTTATGAGAGAGAGAGGTAGAGATCCTGTTTTCTGGGTCTGGTCCCTATGGGGAAGCACTGGAAATTACTTTAAAAAAAAATAATCCAAGAGGTGGATGTATCCTGTCTCTCTAGAGTATGTGTATGCCTGTTAGGGTGGAAATCGCTGAATGTCTGGACCAAGCATAGGCAAACTCGGCCCTCCAGATGTTTTGGGACTACAATTCCCACCATCCCTGACCACTGGTCCTGTTAGGGATCATGGGAGTTGTAGTCCCAAAACATCTGGTGGGCTGAGTTTGCCTATGCCTGGTCTGGATGTATGGCAACAACTTTGCCTGAAAAGCTAAACAGCTTTTGTGTCCCCTTTCTGAAATGTGGCAACCCTGTGTCAATGCACGTACAAGACCAGTGGCAGATCCAGGGTTTGGAGGGGTTTTGACTGCCCCCAACCATCTTTGATGAGCCTGCCTCCTCTCCAGCAGAATCCTTAGCTCTTCCTCTTCTGCCTCACCATTGCTGCCACCTGCCTTCACACCAGGCAGAGAGCCAATGAGCAAGCAGGCATTGGCAACGACTGCTTCTCCTCTCTCCACCATCATTGTCCAGGGCTGGATCTATACTGATTTTTTTTTTAAAAAAAAAAGCTATAGAAGAAAACGCCGTGAAAGCTCTCGATGCAAAATCCCATCGGTGACGGAACCACTGCTCTACATTGCCATCTGGTGCCGCATGTTTATAACACAGTTTGTTGTTTAGTTGTGTCCGACTCTTCGTGACCCCATGGACCAGAGCACACCAGGCACTCCTGTCTTCCACTACTTCCCGCAGTTTGGTCAAACTCATGCTGGTAGCTTCAAGAACACTATCCAACCATCTTGTCCTCTGTCGTCCCCTTCTCCTTGTGCCCTCCATCTTTCCCAACATCAGGGTCTTTTCCAGGGAATCTTCTCTTCTCATGAGGTGGCCAAAGTATTGGAGCCTCAGCTTCAGGATCTGTCCTTCCAGTGAGCACTCAGGGCTGATTTCCTTAAGAATGGAGAGGTTTGATCTTCTTGCAGTCCATGGGACTCTCAAGAGTCTCCTCCAGCACCATAATTCAAAGCATCAATTCTTCTGCGATCAGCCTTCTTTATGGTCCAGCTCTCACTTCCATACATCACTACTGGGAAAACCATAGCTTTAACTATACAGACCTTTGTTGGCAAGGTGATGTCTCTGCTTTTTAGGACAATTCATGTAGCTGAGTCTCAGGGCAGATTAAGAGGCAGATGAACAAGCAATTTGTTTCTTGGGGTCGCAGTGGCTTCCAGTGAGCACCAGGGGCAGGTGGGACGCCATCTCATAGGATTGTGCCACCCAAGGTGGCTGTTGCAGTCTGCCTCATGACCAGGCCAGCCCTTCCTATCAGAACAGTCTAGAAAGAGGCTACAGATTTCTAAGCTAACT